GAATTCAATGTTTATCGAATCTTTTTTTATGGATCCAGCTATAGGTATATCCAGGGAATCGAGATTGCGAGCGAGGAAAAGCTTGTTGATAACTGAATCACCGGGGTAATAACAGTGGTCTAAACAACGTTGAGTCTATCGCGCGGCCCGACAGCCGGACAAGGAGCAGGCCGACACAGCCTCTGTATGTATCCGCCAACCCGCCGGCCCCCTTTTTCTCTTCCCCTTCTTCTCGCCACGTTCTCTCCGTCTTTGCCCAATGCGGGCAGCGGCCTTGTTGGGGAAGGTTGGATTATTCCTTGCTGGCCGGTGGGCTCCGCTGAGCTTTTTCCATCAGAGCCCCTTTCTGAGAGGAATTGCGGTGTGGAAACATCGCGGAGATGCAAAAGACTCCGAGTGCCTCGGCGCCGCCTCATACCGGCCGGCTGCCGGCCGCCACGGACATGGATGGGCTCTTGTTACGCCACGAAGCAACTCTGCGGTACGAGCCTTGGAACATGTCGTCCGAGGCTTCGTACTTTGTACATATTTTGTACAGTAACTTAAAGTCTGATTCTTGCGTCTCTGTGTCCCCTGATTCAAGCGTCACGGCAGGATCCGGACACGATCATGTAATCTGCAGCCCCTGCCCCCCTGTTGTCTCCGGCCCCCGTCTCCAAGCAGATGACGACGGCCGATGGCATGACTCGTCACTTGGGCGGGAAGGCATATATTGAGCATTATACCCCCCGTGATGCAAGCATGTAATCTCGTAAGGATTCTCCCCGTCTCCACCATGTACCTTTGTCGGAGCTGAAGACGTCTTTGCCTTCATTTCGGTGGCCGTGATAATCGCGGCAAGGGCCTCGATCCATCTGCATCTTGGCAGGATTGTGTCGAGTACACACATACGACATGCCGACGCATGTACAGTAGGGCCGGTAACGCACTTGTGCATGCTCCCTCTCCCCAGAGGTCGCGGCTGAAAAGCCCTTGCGGTGAAGTGACGCACGCACACCATTGTTGGACGCTGATCAAGGCACGGACGTTGACATGTACGGCACAGCAAGTTATCTGTTCATGTCTTGAATGTTGTTGAGTTGAAAAGACTCTGATATTTCATCCGAGCGTTACACGTGCTTTACGAACTTCTTCCCAGTCGAGTTCTGCACGCCATGTCACATATCATTGCTTTTCTGTTCTGTACCAAGTACGAAGGACGCTGTTAAAGGCAGAAATTATCCGCCTGTTCCCGGGAAATGGCTGGACAGCGTAGCCAAGGTACTATGTTTCGTACACGTGGCTATTCGACGAAATGTTGTGTTGCTCCCACACGATGGTCAAGGATTTCCTTGCAGCGGTGTCTCGTTTGATGGAAGATAGAATCGTGTTCTACCCGTGGGCTCCAAATCTTTCCTCCCCGTGCGCCGAGTCCCTTGCGCCGAGTCGCAATCGAGCCGTTGGGTCGCGGAGGGGGAGGCCAACGTACATACATATATGCATCTGCCATGTGTTTCTATCCGAGGGACATACGTACATACATACAGCAGTCATCATGCCGCGTCGTGATGTACATTACATGCACGTTCATGATCGGTCAACGGATGACGAGGTCCGTTCCTCTGCGTCCCTGCTTCGGAACAAAAGTACGGATAAGGGAGGGAGAGATCGAGACCGCGGGGGGCGCCTGTATCTTCCGGGCCGTCCAATGAGACGCTTTTCGCCCCTGCTTCCCGTCGTCCCTTTGCAGTCGGTTTGACGGATGCAGGTTGATGTGACTGGTATGTACAGTAACTTATATGCGTGTGTGCGTGTATGGACGGAAAGCAATAGTCCTCTCGGTATGCCGGGGCGACGATCCTCCCGCAAACCACGCTTCGGACACACCTGTTCGCCAGCCAGAACGCGCCGTGCTGCAGCCTCGCCCTCCCGGATGCGTGTAAACCTCCGCACAGGTCCAGGATATCTGCTGTTGGGGTCTCGGTCCGACCGCAAAGGAGCAGCTTCATTTATATGCAAAGTCGACCAACACGGGCAGCCGAACGTGCGTGGCAACGGCAAGGATCGCCCGCGTGTTGGCCCCGCCGGCCCCCTTTCAGGACCCGGTGAGCGTGTGCGTGCGGTTGGGCGATGACCGGAACGTGGCCGCCGTTTTTGGTAGGACCTCCGAAACCCGGTTTTGTTTCCTTGTTGGTTTCTGGGCGTCTTCTCGTCTCGTTTAGTGCTGTGTTTCCTTTTCTTCACCTGCCGAGCTCAAGTCTCGAAAGAGCAATAAGTGTCTAAACGATGCACGTCTTCACTTAGCCCCACGTCTGGGCGTTGGAAATTCAAACTCGTGAGCAAAGTGTCCAGATGAGGACTTCGTAGCGCTGTTGGCTCGGCTTGTATGCGGTCAGGTCCGCACGCTCGTTAAAGCTGTGTCAGTTTACTCGATACTCGCGTTATTCATTGCACGCTCCAACCTAGTCAGGCCTGGAGCTCTCGTCCAGCATTGATCTACGCAATCATCGACGACGGTCGTCCGTCGTAGCAGGTGCTCCGTCAAGACAACCCAGCCAAGCGAATCCTTCCCTCATGCATGCCGATCCCGGCAACCGGACCATGATTGCTCTCGTGGCCATATGTACATACCCTTGTTGCTGCGAATTACCTGCCTCTCTCGGAAGCCAGGCGCAAAATGCGGCTGGGCGAGGGATCATGGCATAACGGGGGCTGCCTGTCATGACTGCAGTCGGGCTGGACGTGCAAGACCCTCCAGTCAGCCATGGGGTTGCAGAACGGGAGCCGTCAGCGCTTGCTGTACGTGTAAGTCGAGTCCTTTCTGCGCAGTATGATCCATCCATACAACGTCGTGGGCAAGAGTTCCTATTCGTCCCGTCCTGTTACAGGACACGCTTGATGCACCAGGACGGATACGTGTAGTTGGGGACAACACACGTCGGCCCGTCCATCCATCCCCATACATACATGCTATATTCCACGGTCGAATACGTACGGCTGGCATGCAGGCAACTTACGCTCTTTCGTCACTGTTGCATCCGCCAAACCTCTCTCTCTTTAATGCTCCCTGGGGGCCAAGGCCAAAGGCCGCTTCCTCCCCTCGGACATATTTTCAGTTACCAACAGCAGCATTGCTGTACGCTCCTTTCCGCTTTCTTCTCCCCACCCTCTGCCCCTCACGGCGATCCTGCGCAGTGCACGCCATCGCTCAGCCGCATCCATCCACGAGGGCGGCACTTCGTCTGGTACTGGGCATCGGACCTCCCTGCATGATCTTGTACCGTATCTCTATGTATGCCGGTCGCTCGAAGAAGAAGAAAAAATGCATGCTACATAGAGTAATAAGGGGACGGTCGTTGTTGGCATCCTTTCCAGCCCCCTACATACCCGTCAGGCAACGCTGGGCTGAGGAGGACCCTGAAAACTTCCAACCACTGTTGGCACAATGTAGTCAACATCGCTGTTCAACTCCATCTCTTTTGTGCATCGCCCCCGTTGATCCCTAAGCTCGACAGGCTCGCTCCCATCTGCCAGTCAGTCAAGCTGCACGGCACCCGCAGGGCAACTCGACGCTGGAGTCTTGGACTCTACTCTCGAGTTCCGTTTCTCTATTCCATCGTCTCTCTTCCTAGCAGCTTACACCAATGCCAGTGCTTTAGGGAATGCATATCACTCTGCACTATTCCTTGTTTTCCCCTGGACGTCAGTCAAATCATCCCACAATGATTGGCAGATAAGAACTAGTAGAGAGAGGCTGCCGTTGGCTCTCCGCTTGTCGCTTCCTCGCTGAAATGAGGGAAAGGAGACGACAACTCCCGTTCTGTATCCGTATACATAGATAGATACTGTACGTGTGCATACTGGTGAATGAGATGGATGCATGGCCCCTGAAACGAGTACCTCCTCGCTGGCCGATCCAGGCCTGCGCAGCACATGTGGGGGAATGACAGCCGACGATGATGATAGATGGGCCAGCGAGGAGGAAGCAGCGGGCAGCCGGTTTTGCACCCGGGGGGGGGGGAAGCAGGGAAACTCTTCCACGTCCCTCCTCCTCCTCCTCCTTCTCCTTTTTGCTCCTGCTATGTCACCCAACACCAGCATTGTCAGCCCCAAACGTATCTGGGGTCCCTGCTCGGTCACATCTCCATCTGGAAATCACCGGGGAAAAGCAGCAGCTACTGAGCAGTACAAGGGGGCATGGGGCGGGGAAAGGGGCCCGCCTGCACGGAAAAGCACAGTCCAAGTTCCCCGGCCGCCTACCCATCCGAGACATGCGTAATTGCTGCTCTTTTTCTCTTCCATCCATCCATGGAAAGCTCCCTGGAAGAAAAGCACGGCCTTTCCTAGCTAGACCGTTGTCGTCGTTGGCTGTCAAAGCCTGCACACGTTGCGCTCCTATTCCAGACCAACCGGCGAGACACAACGACGGCACGTTTTTTTGAAACAAGAACCAACCAGCCAAGCCATGCATGCTCTTTGCCCATTCCCTGATTATGCTCCGTAATCCCTGCTCGGGGAGCAAGGACAAGGTGAGGGGGGGGGCGAAAAGAAAGTCGCTGCGGCGGCCGCGCGCCATCCCGGTTACTACGCGCGGCGGCGACGGCACATCGCCAATCTCGATTGGATCGTAGGGGACCAGGGAGGGGGTGTCAAACGTGGTCTGTGACCTTATTTGTACGTACGAGTTATACGTCAAGTGCGTAAGAACAATCTTACGGGCTATAGGGTAGCTCGAGGCATCCACAAACGAGATGGTGGCCCGTTGCCAACCATCGCCGAGAGAATAGGCGCATATAGGAGGATAAAAAGAGAGGAGAAGAAATGCTGATGACGAAAACACTCTTTCTCCTCAAAAGATCGAGTGGTCTAGGCACTTATTATCAATATTCGCGGTCAATGGACCCCATTTCTCCATGACCAGTGGCCCACGCAATGTACGCGCTACCCATGTCATCGTCAAGCATCTCCGTCCATCATGACTCGTCTCGCAGATTTGTACATGCTTCGCCGCTGCACCGTCCTCAGATGCTGAGCGTGGTCGTGAGCGGCAGGTTGCGGCTGCTATTGCCGACATGGATGCGGTGCGTGCCCTTCTGTAGCCTCCACTTCTGCGCCGTCGTGTCCCAGACACTCAAGTCCCGCCTCGTCAGCTCAAACGACACGACTTGCCGCTCGCCAGACTTCAAGTACGTCTTCTCGAACCCGCGCAGCTGCCTCGCCGGCTCGCCGGGTATGCCCACGTACAGCTGCGCCACCTCCGCGCCGGCCCTGGCGCCCGTGTTCTCGACAGAGACGCTGACCACGGCCATGACGTCCCACAGGTCAGTCGGACCGCCGGCGGCAACGGCGCCGACGGGGTGCGGGCCTCGGTTGGCCACCCCGGGGAATCGTATGGCCAGGTCGGAGAAGGCAAAGGTCGTGTAGCTGAGTCCGAAGCCGAACTCGTAACGGGGCTCGATGCCGTGCTTGTCAAAATACTTGTAGTCGAGATAGGTGCCCTCGGAGAAGTCGGACTGAGGAAACTTTTTGTACTTGCCGTGTGGTAGATCCGGGTTCAGCAAGTGGCCGTAGTCGGTGTCATTCTTGGCCACCGTGTACGAAAGCTTGCCCGAAGGATTCGAGTCGCCGTAGAGCAACGAGACGAAGGCTTCGCCGCTGTCACGGCCAGGGAGGTGCGCAAAGATGATGGCCGTGACGTTGGGGTGGTCGACAAACGAGTCCACGAGGCGAGGGCCGGCGTTGTGGAAGACGACAATGGTCTTGGCGCATTGGTTCGCCACTGTCCTGATCAGATTATCCGTGTATTCGTCGTGGATGGCTGGACGGTCGTAGCCCTCGCATGCCCAGGCGTTGCCAAACACGATACACGCGTCCGAGAGCGGATCGACGGCCGGCTCGGCCGATTCGAAGTCGTAATAAATGGCCGTGTCCTTGTGGGCTGCCTTGACCTTGAGAGACTCAAAAGGGGACGTGAAGACGGCTGGTGTCGTGGCCCCAGAGCCGCAGCCGCCATAGAGAGTGCCCTTTTTGCCAATAGTCGAGTAGTCTGGGCTGGGCCTGGAGTTGATGAGGGTCTGGCCAAGCTCGAACACGTCAATCGACTCGGCACCAGATGCCCAGGATGCGGACGCGAGCAGGCCTGATCCAGGTGCATAGGCGTCGGGAGACTTGGCCGAGTACCCAAAGAGTGACAGCATGCGAGGTCTTTTGAGAGGAAGCGTCTTCTTGGTGTTCTTGACGAGAACGTGCCCTTCGATTGCCCCCACGAGAAGCACGGGCAAGGCGCTGGCGGCGCGGCCTTCGACGGCCTCGTGCGGTTTCGTCAGGTCTTTGGGCATGCCAAAGCCCGGCTTGGTGAAGATGGTATCCTGCTTGAACTGATACCACGTAGTCATGATTCTAAGGGGCCGGGCGTCAACATTGTCTTTCAAACGAGCAGGAAATACAAGCCAAAGGACAGCAGGGGACCTACCGGGTCACCATGTCATCGACGCGAGATTCCGGCACAGTGCCATTCTTGACAGCCTTGATCAGGTTATGGCCCCAGAACTGGTCGCCGCTGGGCATGGCCATGTCCAGCCCAGCCAGGGCGGTCGCAACGCCCGCATGCTGCGCGCCCCAGTCCGTCACAACGAATCCCTGTGGAGCAAGGTTAGCACGTAGGCGAGGAGCGCGCCTCCTAGCTGCTTCAGAGGGACGTACCTGAAAGCCGAGCTCGGTCTTGAGTAGCCCGTTGAGAGTCTTACTGTTGGCGCAACCGTAGGAGTTGTTGATGCGCTGGTATGAGCACATGATGTTGCCGGCTCCGGCTTTGACGGCGTCTTGAAACGGCCTGGACGGGGGCGATGGGTCAGTAGACGAAGGGGGGCTCGCTGCTGTGCGGGCGCGACTTACCAGAGGTACATCTCATGCATTGTCTTGTCGTCAATGTTGGAGGATATGGCCTCATCTGCACCCGAGGCCGAGGGAGTCCGGTAGGTCTCTTGTTCATTGGCGATAAAATGCTGGCAAGACGGCCAGTAAGTGATCCGCCTAAGCCGGGTTCGGGGAGATGCCAAACCTTGACGGAGGCCTGGACGCCTTGGGCCTGGATGCCTCGGACGCTCTCGGAAACGAGCAAGCCCGAGAGATACGGGTCGACGGAGAAGCCCTCCCAATTCCTGCCGCCACGAACGACACGCCAGGCCGGGCTGACGACGGGACCGAGAAGCACGTTGACGCCTTTGCGGCGAAACTCGGCCGCCATGGCGGCGCCGCGTCGGCGGGCGAGGTGCTTGTTCCAGCTTGGGGCGACGGCATTTAGCAGGCGGTCAAACAAAGGAACAAAAGGGCCTCCTCACCTAGCGCCGACGTGGATGCCGCTGGGATAGGCATTAACCAGGTCGGTGCCACGAAGGCCGTTGCCGGCGTCGCTGAGACACATGCCCGGGAAACCGAGGCGCTCAATGGGGGCGATGGAGCCCGAGCATCCGGTGCCGAGATCGACGCCGCCCGTGAGACCGACCTGCGTGTGGCCGAGTCAATCAGCAAACGAGGAGAGAGAGAAAGGGTTGCAACCCATACCTTCTCCTTGAGCGTCATCTTGCTAACTAGGTCCACGGCCATGTTGTGGGCATGCGCCCAGTCACCGCCCGTCATCGGAGCTGCGGGCGAGAGCCATGGGGGTCAGAAGCCGGCGCGAGGACGGGGTGGGAGGAGCTCCAGGCGACTCACGCGAGGGATAGATGGGGGGCGACTGGCCGTAGAAGTAGGCGTCGTCCGTGATGAAGCCGTCTCTGTTCTGGTTGCTGCTGGCCGCCGCTAGGACCGTGGCATGCTTCAAGACGGCCAGGCCGGCGAGGCCCGACAGCAGAGCTCGCGACGGCGAAAGCATGGTGGACGGGCGAAGCGGAGGGACGGGAGAGACAGGCGTCGCCAGTGGATGCGGCCGGGGAGACGGTAGGCAGAGATGGATGGACAGGCGAGCTGGGTATTCATAGTCGAGCAGCCCGTCTCGCGTTCCTCGCAGTCTCTCTCTCCCTCCCCCGCCCTTGCCCCTCGCAGATCAGATGGTCATCGACGTGCCGAGGGAGCGGCAAGCGGCGCATTTGTCTATCCAGCCTTGGCTGCAGGCGCGGCAGCAGACCGCAGGCCCCCGCCCCTCCCGGCTGCCGCTTCTCTCTCCGTGTACGGCTGTTTGGCGTCGGCAGCCGTTGGCGGTGCGCGAAAGGAAGCGAGGGGTCGAAAAAGCAGAAAAAGATGCTTGGCCGGAGTGGCATAAACTCCCGTCTGGGGAAGTGGAGTCGCCTGCGGGGAGGAATGCATGTCTCTCCACCACCATCAACCTCCCTCTTTCTCATCTGTAGCAGACATATGTAAACGTGGCGACAACTCGGGGAGCATTGCACGCATCTGATGCCCCGAGAATTGTGCAGAAAGACTCGGCCTTTTCCCTCCGCCTCTTGGCAGTCAGCGGACTGGCCTGGGAGAATCTGCTCGTGCACGCAGACAAGGTCAGATCCCTTGATCAATTTATCGGAATGTCCTGAAGAAATCTCAGCCATGCGAAATCAAGGGCGCTGCGTTTCCCGCAAAAACTCTTCCGAGTCCAGGCGCCCTCGTCAGCTCGTCCGGGCTCCCTGACAGGCAGCCAAGCAGTGACCAAGTCTCCCAGCCATGTTCCATCACTGTGGGCGTGGCTGGCTCAAGTTGCGCAATCCCCTCACCGCAATCGCTTGACACTGCGTCTTCAATATTCCTTTATTTCCCCACGCTATGCTCGTCCACCTGTGGCGTCAGCTCCCGACCCTTTCCAATCCCCTGCCAACGACATAAATTAGACAGGCCCTTGTCAGCTCGTAGGCCTGGGTATCATTCGTCAAATCAGTAGCCCATCGGCTTCTCCACCTCTTTCAGCCAGCCCATCGACTCGATTGCGGCGTCCAGCCCAGGCACCTGCCAGTCGCTCCTCGTGTAACCTTGACGCAACAGGGGCATCTGCTCGGCGCCCAATGAGCCCATCTCCCCTTCGAGTCATCATCCTTGGCTCGGCAAGCTCGACTGCAGGGCTATGATCTCCGATGCATTTGCATTACATGCTTCAATGGTGTGACAAGAAAGTAAAGAGGGATATATGGCAGAAAAAAAATATGAGGAGTGAATCGGATTACCGGCCGTGGATCCCACGTAATCGTACAAACTTGTCCGGTCCATCGCGCCGTCTCGCATGCATTCCGGCCGGTCATCCCGGCGTGGGCGCGGGCCGAGGACGGCGGAGAGCGCGTAGCCCAAGGCCGGACACGCATATTCGTCGCCTCGGCGATGACGGTGAAATGAGGCGAGAATTATGACCATCCCATGTGTGATGAGGCCAAGGTGCGCAGCCATTGTCCCAACGCTTAGTGGCTCACAGAATGAGCTGCTTGAGGTTGCGCTGAATTATCATGTCCTGCACGGAGCCCATGGTGATCTTGAGCAAGTTGGTATCTGTAGCGTTGGTGAAGTGGCCGTAAATCTCCTTTTCCTGGTTCCGGCTGAGGGCGCGGAACTTGTCGAGGAAGTACTTGCTCGCTGCCTTCCAGTCGTCTTCCGGCCCGTGGTAGTCGGTGAAGCCATGCTGGCCGATGGGACTGTGGGAGAGCTTCTCCTTAAACAGATCCATCTTGTTGAGGAAGAGAATCATGGCCGATTTCGCGAACCAGTGAGAGTTGGCAATTGACTCCCATAGCATAAGAGCCTCGTTCATTTGGTTCTATAATAGAGGTGCCTAGTCAGCTTTCTCGAATAGGTTTAGACGGGAGGGAGACAAGAGGGACGGCCTTACCCCATCCTTGTCTTCCACCAGGCACTGGTCGTAGCCGCTGATGGCCACGAGGAAGAGGAGGCAGTTGACGTTCTCGAAGCAATGGATCCACTTCTTGCGCTCCGATCGCTGGCCGCCGACGTCAAACATGCGATAGGTGAGCTGGCCCAGGTCGAATATAGTTTCGGTAATGCCCGTCGTCCGCAAGCGGGAGCGGAGAAGGTCCTGGTTGCTGGGGACAAAGCCATCGGCCCATATGCGGTCTATATCGTCGAGGAAGCTGCAAGGCCTCGAGTCAGCCGCCATGGCGAGGGGATTCCATATCGGCTAGGGTTGGACATACTATGCCAGGTTGTCGTGCAGCGCGTACTCGTTTCCTTTGGCAATGGCCGCCTTGACGCCGCCGTCCTGCCAGAGCGCCTTGATAGGCTCGACATAATCCCGTGGCAGGCTCTCTTGTAGGCCGACCTCGCGCTCCACGAGGATGTGGGCCATGTATTTCTGTGCCAAGCGAGTCAGTCTCGATGTCTCACCGGGCCCCAGTCAATTTAAAGTTGGCGAGGCATTGTATGAAGCTTCCGCTAACGACGGAATGACACGCTCCGAGACGGGAAAAGAACTAACCTCGTTGTCCGAGTTGTCAAACTCGTAGCCCATTTCGGTCATGGCCCCTGATATGGTGCGAAAGGACTGGACGATGTTGCTGAAGATGACAAGCTTCCACTCGAGCCTCTCATGGTCGTTGAAGCCTTGCGCGTAAATGAGCTTCATCTGCTTAAGGATTGTCGATTTGCCTGATTCACCGGCTCCTGTTACACAACATGTGAGCGGGTGGGCCAGATGGTACACGGACGGTAGAGCCTAAACAAGGCGACGGTGACGCAGCAGCTGCCCCGGCCCTCGTACTCTTTGCACGCCCTGAGCCGTGTGGGCGGCGGCGGGGAAAAGAAAAAAAAAGGAAAAAGGGGAGAGCAAGGATGGCCGCTTTCTTCAGCGGCTTGTGCAGCTCGCATTCGGGGAGGGGCTTGTTGGCTGCATACCTAGCAGTAGCAACTTGACCTCCCTGGCCATGCGCTTCTCGTCCTGGCGCAGGATGCGATCAATGTCGCGGGAGCGGGCGGTGTCGCCATTGTCCTTGCTGCTGCGAATGCCAAAGCACATGTTGAGGATGCAAGCGGCGCGCGGGTGCTGGGCGGCTCGGGTCGGGACGAGGGAGAAGGGCGAGGCCTGGGGCCGTGCGGCGACACACCAAGCAACCAACTTGTGTTGGGAACAAGCGCTGGTCGGACGGAAACGGACACGCGGCCGTCGAGGTCACAGAAACGGCGGATAGATGGGAGAGACGAGGCGATGGAAGGAGAGAGAAAGAAGACGGAGGACGGCGGCCGAGGCACTTGGGGAGGGGTGAGAATTGGCTTCGACGTAAGCAAACGCTTCTGTTTCGTCCGTCGGCGTTCGGCGCCTGTCGTTGGGAGGAGGGCGGGGGGGCGTGCCAGGGTATATTGGTCGTATATCGGTCGACGAAGGAAGCAAACCGCCGCAGCTCTCGTCGATGGCGGCCTTGGCTTGGGTGGTGTGGATGTATGTATGTATGAGCAAAAAGGACACGGACTAAGGGGGGGGGGGGAGAAGCGGGAAAAAAAGACGAAAAAAAGAGAGGGGAAAGGGTGCAAAAAAAGAGACAAGAAATCGGGTCACCCCTCGTCGGGGACCCGAGAGGCTCCGCCTACGGCAGGGAACGCGGCGGTGGTGGTTAATGGGGAGGGTCCCTTGATCACGTCCTCTTTGCCGCTGCCATCTGCCATGGCATCACCAAAAAGGCGTTGAAAGTACTCTGTAGCGAGCGGGTGGGAAGTGGGGAAAGAGGGGAGGCGAAGCCTGTTTGGCCAGGCTGTACCGATTAGGTAGGTCGTGGGCCGGCGACCATGTTTCGGATTGCCGCTAGCTGAGTACCTAGGTCCTGGCAGGTACCTTGGAGTACGCAGCGCTGCATGTACGGTTGTACGGTACGAACATGGACATGCACACGCGACAGCGCGCTGCAACTGCAGCTGCAATGCACATGCTCCGTACTTACTGACGCATGCACTGCACTGTACATGCACTAACAGCAAGCATCGCCGTCCACTGAATACTAATGTCTAGTCAACCAGCGCCTCTCCAAATATACAGGACAGTCTAAGTTACCACCTACTAAACTACGTGGGCTGTCGGCCTGGCTACCTAGGTAGTGCTACTGTCGGGCTTCTCTTTCTTTTTTAGATGTAGTTTCTTCCTCGCACTCAACTACCGGTAGGCACTTGGCTGGCATTGCCTGTGTGGCCCAGAGCACCCCCCTGAACCCTTAAGGTGCCATGCGTGCGACTTGCTCTGTTATACCTCTTTGGCGAGCACTCCCAAGGTAGGTCTTAATTATCCATCCATCCGTATTACTCTACCTGATACCCGAGTTATGTAATCGAACGATATAATCCTCATCCCTGGTTCGTCCAACCCGCAAACTCTTTCAAGCCTAGGAGTACCATCCGCGACCAAAAGCCATGGCCGAAGCGACAAGATATTCCTCGGGCGTGTCCCTTCCACTCAGAGCTCAGCCTCGGATGGAGAGAGTTTGCTCCATCAATGGGACGCTCCACATGCCCTCGACCCCGTGAACGGACCACCCGGACAATACAAGTCATGCTATCCAGGCTCCAAATCAGGTTCGCCTACGACCCGGGTGCCGTCACCCGTCATGATTCTCGGCCGGGAGTTACAGGTACATACATACAGGCGCACGTGGCGAAGCGTTCTGTCAGTTCCTCTCCGTGCCACCCAGGCGCTTCGACATGTGAGTGTGTGTGTGAATCTGGTCCGTGTACATACGTACACATGTGTGCCCCCTGTGCTCCTCCCGCTCGGCCCCGTCTGCGCGGGAGCCTCCGCCTGTCATCCGGTAGAAGGCCGAATCTAAGTTTGCACGCACAGGTACTACGGCCTAGAAGAGAGCCTAGAAGAGAGAGCAATCCGTCGCACATCCCCCGTTGGCAGGCGCTCGGCGGTCTTGTTGGTCCGGTCTCCATCCACCGCCCGCGCGTCTTTTTGTCCGCGGCCTCCGGTCCCTCTGGTGGAGATTCTGCCGAGAGTCGCGAGAGAAGCAAAGAAAGGGAGAAAAAGGAGCAGGAAACGATGAACGCCAAGGCATCATGAGCCGCTGTCGGGCATCCTCGGCCCCGTCGCCCGACGCAGCAATTGCTGAGAAGTCGGCTGGAAACGAAACTTAATAGGTAAGCGTGCACAGTGTGCTCCTCCGCTTGCACGCAACCTGGACCTAGGATCGGGGGTCCTGACTCGTGTGCCCCTGATACCCTGTCCCGCCCCCCTTTTGGTCCGCCGGGACGAAGCACAAAGGCCCGCGTCGCAGCAGCGAGCGCCTAATCACGTACTGTACTTCATAAATGACATTAGAACGGGCTGAAAAGGGGGGATTTGTTTCGAGCGCCCAAAACTTATTGCTACAAGACGACGCTCCATCACACTGGAGTGCTTTGCGGCTCGTGCAGAACCGATCTGGCACCCCAGCTCGTCCTTCGTACAAGTACGAGGACAGTACTTTCACTTGCCCACCCCCTTGATCCTGATCTCGGTGGCTGATTCCGGTAGCCTTGGCTTTTGCCTCCCCACGGGCCGCACTAGATGGTATGTGACCAGGCGCCAATCTCTCACGGGCGAAAGCAGATTCTGCTGTCGAATGCTCTCTTCACTTGGCACTCTCTGATCCGACGGGACTCCATCCAGCATCGCTGCGAGGTACTTGCCGAGCACTTGCAGCGATGTACGTATTCGACTTGAAGCGAGGTAGGTACTGTACTGTACAGGACGTTCTCTATGATACTGGCCCCATGGCAGAGGGTGTGATGTGGCTTGCGCCCGTTTGTGAATGGAAGCGCTGTGATTGGCCGTGCCATCGACTTCTCGAATGCTTCGAGAACTGGTCTCACCAGCAAGTCTCAGCGTGGGAACTTGGCCAAGGTGCATGCTGTACCGAGTACTAATTATACATGATGCAAAACACGGCCACGGCAGGGTCCCGTTTGCTCATGCAAGTGTACTACACATACGCCATCTCGACCCGCGGATGCAGCAAATCGACACCGGTTTCGGGGTCCCGGGCTCATGGCAGCGCCGGCGAGGGGGGTTCACTGAATGAAAGACCAGCATTGGCCACGGCTGCTCCGCGGCCTTGATTGCCCTTTCATTCGTCCGACCATTAGAGCACCCCCTCATGCACAGCTGTCAACGGCCCATCACCGAGGCCTGCGTCGTGTTGATGTCACGAGAGGGCAGCGGCAAGGCGGCGGTGGGCGCGGAAGCATCGGAGCCCGGAATTGGAGAGCAAACCGTGGTCTGCCATGTTTCAGCACCCGTCCCTCTGCGAGGACGAACCAGGAGGTCAGACAGTCATGCCACGGTAATTAATGACGGGACCGACACAAATGCTCCGTACGCGTCCGTGCACATTTGACTTGAGGAGCAGCTGGGACAGGATGTCGGGTCTTGACGTGGTCTTGACGTCCCGTGGATGCAAAGTGCAGTGTATAGCAAAACGGGGCATGCTGTTGCCGTTGACACGCGTCAGTCGCTGGCTACGCTGCTTGTGTGTGTTATCCGCGTCACTCCGGCGCCCGGTCCGTCTTTGCTCGCATCCATCGTTGAACCACTTCCAATTTGCTCATGGCCCATGACCAACACCAACGGCCGCAAGCAAACCCCCCCCCTTTTGGCTCCGGCGCTAACTTAAATCCTTGCTGCGCCGGGCCAAGGGCCACCAGGCATTATCCCTTCCCTGTCGCCCTCGGGGGCCTTTCCGCGAAGAAAGAACCTCGGGGATTGGCCCGGCCAATCGCCCGGGTCTCCCGCCACGCCTCGAAGCTTGAGAGAGCACGACGACTGCACGGCATTGATGGTTTGCTTTGTTCTGCCGAGGCCGCAAAATCAAGAAATCAGTCGCGTCCGGTGCCAGAAACTTGGCAGTAGGCGCGGCGTGATGCGGGATGCATGTCTCTCCGCATGAGTCTTATCACGGCGTTACCGGGCTCAAGACAGGGCCGGCCAAGCACGTGGGAACCCCTCGTATGTGCAATGCACTTTGCCCTGCCGCAGACAAGACTGCCAAGTCTCGAGAAGCACCCATTACTGAGCTTGCGGGCAGTGAGAGAAGTCAATAGCCGCCCCGCCGCTGTGGCACCGGTGAAAGGCGCCCAGTATTACACGCAGCAAACGATGCAGTGCGTGACGACGACGACGACAGAGTCTCACAAGGCGACCCCCCCCCCTCCTAAATCTGATCCTGACAGTTCATGATCCCGGCATGACCATGTGTGCGAGCGCGCGAGCACGTGGCTAGCAAACACTCCTTTTTGTGTCCGCCGCATCTCGGCACTTCACTCTTCGGCTCCCTCCTTTCTCCACCCGAGGCTACAATGATGTTTCACTTTGGCCAATTCAGCACCGTCGTGGAGTTATCAGTACTCCCAGAGTCAGAGTCAAGTCTTGCGGGTTGCTCTGTCCAGGCAACCCCTCGTTCGGTAAAACGACTTGGAGGGTACGCATGTCAAATAAATGCCCGAAATCGTGGCAGCTCGGACTGGTTCCGAGACACATCGGCTCAAGCTCAAGGCCCCCAGGCAGCAAAAGCGCAATGCCCAACTTGGATTTGTGGCTCTGTTTGGCCTCCTCACACGGCCCAGGATTATAGACAGCATCCCCGCCCCCAAGGCAATTCGACTCAGCCGCGGGTCATACTGCACTCCGTGTGCGTGTAAGCTGACCCTTGGCCCCCTTAACCCTCTCCAAGGGTGGTCGACTGGAGGGTGTGCGAGATGCATCCTGCAATGGCGACGTAGTAAAAGGTCACCAGCAGTGTAACGGGTGCTGCATGCTGACAGGATTCAGCGGTATGGTCTCTTATGTCTCTCCGGTTGCTGCCTTCACGGCAGGCGATCTCGCACATGCTCTAACGCCAAAGTTCCCAGGAGAACCCTCCACTGCAGTGCGTGCTTGAAGATGTCTTGGGTGCGGAAAGGGAGATATGCTGAAGATGTAGCATCACCTATGGACCGCATAGGAATTAGTTAACAAAGACGGCCTGCAAGGTGTTAGAGAGACATGATGATGGGACAAGGTAGCAGCAATGGACGGTACAAATCTCCCGGGAACAACATGTACTGTACTCGAGTTGTGGCGCCGAAGCAAAGTCCTCAATCTCGCTTCATTAATGACAAAAGGGCCACGCAGCCGAGTGTCAAGGACATATTGTCCTAGCCCACCGAATGAAGGTGCCGGATAGCTGGTATCAAGCAGGTCAACCCCCTTTTCTCCGCGTGAGAGACAGGATCCTTGTCAAGGGCAAGTTGTCAGAGCATTCATTGCACGAGTGCCGAGGCCAAGGACCGATGCCTAACCCTCTATCAACACCAACCCGTGGCTTTGGCTGATCCCTGGAAGCTCATTGGTTGTCAAATTCGGGGACGGCAACCAACGTCTGATGTAGTGACAGCCTTGCTGCCTCCCCTTTTCTTGCTCAGGTGCATGTACTGTATGATGTCGAGAAATGCACAGGCATGTCACTACCTTCCCGAGACACTTAACCAGGCGGAGGAAAAACCACATGGCCGGTCCAGCAGCAGGGAAAGGTCACGGAGAGCGACCATGTTGTTTTTAACCTGCCTACCGCCTTACCTTGTCAGCCCTCGCTTGAGGGCCTCCCCCTCTGTATTCCCAGGGATTTGTTTCGATGAAGCGCCAGCCCATCCGCCACCGGCACTTCATCTCGGCAAGCGCCCTGAGGAGACCAGCTCAAGTACGTGAACTTGCTTGAGACCGGCATTGAAGTCGTCGTTGTCGACGCCCAAGGGTTCGGTTGGCCTGGAGCCGGGGGTATGACGTACGGTAGCTGGGATGGCCGCGATATGCCTGAGTCGGTGCCAAGTACGAAATAGTGCGTATTTTCAGCGCAGGGGTGGAGGGGAGAGATGTAGGGAGCATATTCGATAGATGCCTGGACCTTGCCGTTGATGCCCGTCTCTATCCAACCACAGTCTTGTGCCACCGTCTCGTAATTGCACCAATGCTGCGGCACTCGTGGCTCCTCTCCCGGTTCAAAACCTTGGACAGGCTTGATGAAGAGATGCACGTTGGCCACGACACGGTGGGCGGCCGATATCGACTGGGACCTGAGCCTTGGCCGGCAGAGCTGGCTTCTTGGGCATCCTGTGCGGAGATTGAGCCCGAAAAGCCTGGCACTATCTGGGGATGAGACAGGGTCATCCATGTGAGGCATGGAAGTCTATTCGACGAGCTCCGGATGCCAAGACTCGCTGCCCACGGACTGCCAAGGTTCGAAGTCGCGTAAAGTATCAGAGTACGGATGGATACATGCAGGGGCATCTCTTCACTCCTGCTTCCATGGGATTTCTTCTTCACCTATTCTCGAGCCACCTCGTCTTCTACCAGGATGATCCTTTTGTGAATACTCCACTGACCACGACATTAGCAGCCTCCCCGGAGCCGAGGTGTGACGACATGAGCGGCCCGCACGCACGCACTGCAGGAAGCTCACCACCCATCCTGGACAGGCAGTCGTTTTGATCGCCAAGACAACTGCTCTTTGTTGATTCAAGTCTCACTGCTGCACTCGGGCTCCTCCACAACGCAGCCTCCTCTATCAGACGTATCGTATCCCGCAGCTCGTCGATCAGCCGGTTCAGCTCGTCCTTGCGCTCAGACGCATCCGCTCGAGACATGAGCTCAAAGTCGATGAGGGTCGCCCTGCCGTCATGGATGAGAAAGTTGTGCTTGTTGATGTCCCCGTGCTTGAAGCCCGACTCATGCAGTTTGGTCAAAGCGTCGCGACACAGCCCGAAGTCGTTGGGCGTGGCGTGGCGAAAGTCGGTCACAAGACCTATGATGAAGCCGATAACTCTTCCCTCTTCCGCCAAGTGCCCGAGGAAGGGAGGGCCGATACCACGACCCTCTAGCAATCTGTATGCGTCAGTCTCCTTCTCGAAATACCCAATCTCGTACGGGAAGCGCGTGAACTTGGCGGCAACGGTGGATGCGAAGTGCGGACAAGTAGCCTCGTGGACACCGACGTGGAGCCTCTCTCGCAGTTGAAGCTCCAGGTGGTCGATGCAGATGGGGTGCCACGTCTTGGTAACGCCTGGCAGTATTTCCTTCGCGACGGATGCAAAGTGAGGCTTTTCAGTCGCTGGTTCCCGGGAGATGCGGCCCTAGTTCCAATCTCCTGGCGGGAACTCGGAGAGCATTGGAATCAGAGCCGGCTCGAAGCACATGTCGTCGACTTCGTAGATGCCCCGTTCGATGTTGACGTATTTGACATACTTTGCATCCACGAGGAGGCGGAATTCGCTTTCGTCTTCTGGATCAATACTTGCCTCGAGCATTCGAACGCTTGGGGTGTTGCGAGCCATGCTGATTTCGACTTGAACTCACATTTACAGAGTATGCCTCTTTCATAGAAGGCTTCGGCTCAATAATTAAACTGTCCGTAGATGCCTTTTGAACCGGCTCCCAGAGGGCGATGCCAGGCGCTGTGGACAAACATCTCCATAATTTCGCTTCGCTGGCTACCCTCGTCTCTAAGGTGTACAAGGTTCAAACGCGGCAATAAAGAGCCCAGCTCACAGAAACGTTGACGTGAGAACGCGATCCACGCATCCCAGGAAAGCATAAACCTGCCCAACGCCGTACCCCTGTATGTCGCATACCCATAGTCTGTCAACATGTTTTGCAAAAGATGAAAGAAACCGGGTGAATTGACGGCAACAATCCCGAGCACGCGCCTAGGCATCGCCTGGATCCTCCAAGAACTCGTAGCCCTCCTCCGGCGGCAGCAGGTATGCCGAGACGGCCAGGCCTACGGCGGAGAGGAGGCAAAAGACGGCGCTGACGGTGCTGAGATACCATGAGAAGTCGAGGTTCCACCCGGGAATGTTGAATTGATCGTCGTGGTCGAAAAGATAGGCCTGCGGAGAAAACGTCAGCGCAGTCCGAATGCATCCAGCCAAGCCCCGGCGCACGGGGGAGCGGAGAACGCACGACAAGGGAAATCATGACGAGCTCGACGATGGCGACGAGCGACAGCATTCCCGTGACAAAGGGCCAGCCCGTCTCACGTTTGTATTTGCCGCCGCGCATAATGACGAGGAAGGTGACAAGGCAGGCGAGGCACAAAATGGTGGCAAACGAGGCCATGAAGCCGACGGTGCGCCACATGGAGCAAAAATAACTCCCGCCGGCTTGGCACAGCTCGGGCGAAGGAAAGTCGCGGCATCGTGGAGAGTCGAGGTTGGAGCAGCTCTTGTGCAGGCCGATGTTCTTCTCAAACGTCTCGCCCTTTGCTGTCGTGACCGAGTATGAGACCCAGTTGGGGGTCGCGAGTGAGGCGATGGTCATGGCGGTTGCTGGCGAAAAGAACCAGGTCAGCTCCATTTGTTCGTCGCGCCGTGTCTGCCCGCGACAGCAGAGTGCACGCAGATGCCGTGGGCTTGCGGCGTCGTCGAGTGGCGAGGATGACGACGTCACTGGGCGGGTCTGGGGCAACGTACCGGCTACAAAGGCCACGAGGGCCGACGAATAGATGGAGACGCGGGTCATGGCGGTCGGAGGAGCGGCTGGGCTGGAATCGAGCGTTGCGGAGAGCAGCTGAATGGGGGGGGGAGGGGATGAGAGGGGAAGAAGAGGAGGAGGTGGAAGGAGATGAAGAAGCTACGACGAGTCACTCCCCGTGAAGCGTTAGTGTCGAGCTGGCAGCTTCCATCCGTACCTGTACCTGAGCGGTGTTCGCTACATGACAAGTGCACTAACAGAGCTGGAGCTGAGCTAGCCGCATTCAGTCTGCATACTGAGGGTGGAGTACGATAAGAGTCTACCCTTCGGTGTCGGCCCGCCAAGTACTGGACACCTCGGGCGCATCTGCGAAGCTGAAGAGGCTAACGCAGCTGGCCAGATGACGAAACTGTCGGTGACGGCGGCATCCCAAAGGCGCCAATAAGGCAGTCGCTGCGTCTAGTGGCTCATGCAGTATCACGGCCTCTGTCGGCACCTAGGGCAAGGCGCGGGCGACCGAGTGGCTCAAGGACCTGCAGCCGTCGGCTGGTCATCATCTGGTCCTCCTGTCGTCGGTTGGCGGAGGCCGGAGAGGAAGACGGGTTTCGGCCGAGGGGGAAATTGGGTGATGGACATGCCCTACGATCTCGTTACAAGACATTACTGCCCAAGGAAAAACGGAAGAATAACCAGTCGGCAGCTCGATGCTTGCTGTCCATGACCGAGCAATGCGATGTCTATACAGTATTGTGGGTGTTGACACCTCGCCTGTGTCGTGGATGCACTGAGATGAGTGCTCACAATGTCTGCATAAGCAGATACTGGTTGCATTTTGCGCAGCGACAGATACACATTTCCTTCAGTGGCTCGCTCATATCTCATAAAATCGTGTCGACGCCAGCGAACATTACATCCTCATCGGGCATATCCGAGCTCTGGCCCAAAGCACACCTTCGCGTCGTCCGAATCCTTCCAACAGCACCTCCCAATTCGAAGCCATGATCCATCCTACCTCACTCCTAGACCACGGCCGCAGAGTTGTCGGTACGATGACCAGCCCCATTCTTGACGAGCACATTGTCGCTCCGGTGCGACCTCCAAAGCATCGCCTCGGCAAGAGTGTTGCAGATGAGAAAGAACCTAGACGCTGTGTCAGATGGCATCCCCTCACCCGGCAGTTCTAGGGCCGACCCACAACCCAAGGAAGTTGAATGCCTCCATTGTATGCTTCTTCCCGCAGTTCCCCAACAAGGGCGCTGTGTAGTAGCACCGACCGCGGCTCCAGTCCTGGGCCGAGAAGATGAAGGACGTGAGCCAGAGATACGACAGGATCAGGTTCAGCGGCATCAAGTAGCCCCCATAGCTATCGATGAGAGGCAGGACCATGCCGAACAAGTAGATGGCCAGAGTAATGGTAGCCTGGACAGCCAAGTCAGTTCCGCCCGGGTCGCCAAGGGCAGCTCGACTCACGATGACCTCCTGGAAGATGATGTGGGTGCCGCGGTAGGAGTCACGGTGAATGAAGTATGACGCCAAGGCCATGACGATCAACGACGAGAGAAACACCATGAAATGGTTTCCCAGAATCACCATTCGCAGCATGGGGTGGCTTCGTGCCATGATGACGGGCGGCAATGTGTGTGAACCGAGGTAGCAACGTCGTAAACTTCGTAGAAATCCAAGGCTTTGCTGACGCGGGATTCCGAGAACGAGTACGAAGTACGAATTTGCCCAAGTAGAAGCACGGCAGGCCCTGTTTATAGTCGGGCTCGGCTTCGTCGGACATTGTCGTGCCATCACAATGACGTGAACTCACCTCCCGGCATTGCCACGTCTGCCGTCCTGTCAACCAATGGCTGCGCCAAGCGTACGCTGTACCACATGGGCACGGCCGGGAGTTCAGTGGTCAATCCTTCGTACATGATGTCAAAATTTGCCGGCATGCATGTACGCTGGTTGGCTACTGTGCAGACTACGCGGAGCACTCGACCCGGCTCCCCCCCCTAAGAGAAGTCAATGCTGTCATGGCGCTTGGCGGGCAGCGACTGATCACTTGACCAAGGCAGCGGAAGTGGTCTCGAACGCCGGGTGACTGGGACGTTGGCTGGGGTCCGAGCTCGAGTATCGCAACCCATGTTCAGTAAGCGTCCTGCAAGTGGCCTGGGTAGCTTGACTGCCTGCATGAGACGCTCTGCTCAACCCCAACCAAGTTCTGCTCTGAATGGGCAAGTATGCTTGCATATACAGCAACGTTGCCGCATCCGTCCTTGCCGTCAGAGCCAGTCTAGGGAGTTTGAATCCAACTCCGTGTGTTTCCTATCAGCGCGCCCGACGATCGTTGATCTAGAACGATCATATACAGCAAGGAGCAACTTGCAGATGATGGCAATCTGGAAGCTTTCAATAAGAGTATCGATGGGAGTTCTTGATCACAACTACAGATGCCATTCATGGGCTGCCTCGAATCAGGCCACCACCAGGCCAGATTCATGTTATTCCACAGTCCCCCACAGCAACTGTTGTGAAGCGGCAATAATAGCTCGTCCAGTACTTTGTTTGTGACGTCAAATGCTCCCCTTTGCCACCAAGTGTCGTTTTCTCGACATTTGCCTGTTTCTATCCCACCCGTGTGTAGGTTTGCACCAAACGAAAGCTATCCGATTCGCAAAGTTGGCGTCAAGCAGCCACACGCAAATGCAACAAGGCCACAAGGTGGTGTCCTCGCTTCAACACAATGACGCTCAGAGCTTGAAGCGGGCGTGAAGAGGTTATATAAGACGGGCATGCGCCCTGGCGAAACGGAGCAACAATCTTTCAACCGAACAAACTTATAACTCGAGTCAAGCTTCATCCACGCAACAACCAGTCAGAGTAAATCCATTTGTGAGCTCTTCATAGCCATGGACACCGCAAAAGAAACCCTGCAAAAGGTGACCCATTCGTCCAAGTCCGCTCTCTTTCCAACCAGCTCGTGAAAAGGGGCATCCGCGTCAACGCCGTGGCTGCAGGTCCGGTTTGGACGGCGATTATGGACACTGCGGTCAGTAAAGAAGGCCCAAAGGGCCATGGGCTTGGAAACTCGACGCCCATGGATAAGATTACACAGCCCGTTCATGTTGCCACGAGCTACGTGTTTCTTGCCGTCAAGGAAAGTATGTACATGAGCGGCCAGACGCTGCATCCGAACGGAGGCATAGTGGTCAATGGTTGAGTGCTGATTCTTGTGAACACGGAAAGCTCTGGCCATTCGGCGTGTCCCTGGCGGAAGTGTGCTTCATGGCCGATATATGCGTGGATTCTGTCGCTTTCGTTGTGTAACGTGATAGTACAGAATGACAACGAAGAGTTCCCTGTTTCTCCGTTTCCCAGGTACTGTGAAGACGGCAGTTGTAGGAAAACTAAACTTCATGTTAACAAGTGGAGTTCAACATTGGGACCCGTCTGTGCTGAATCGCGTGCATATTTGATGGTGTTCTCTTTGTCTTATTGCAAGTCTGAGATTATCTTGATCATTAACTCCCAGACAATAATCCTCACAGGGCTCTTCGTCTAAAATACCGTGGCATCGGATACTTGGCAGGAGAAGCTCGCCTGTCGTGTCAAAAACGCAGATCGTGTGCCTCCCCTGTCAACAGCCGACGATCCATCGAGGACGCACGAAAGTTGCAACATTGAATTTTGGCAACGGACGAAATCACGTCACTCTGGCGTCTGGTGCGAGTACACGTGCTGTCCCCAGTTGCGGCTGTCAAAATTGACAAGTCTGTAACCGAAGGCTTGCTTCGCGTTTTCTGGCGTGGCAGAGGCCCAGAGAGCGTCATAGTGATGATGTTCATTCATCGCCTTACCGGTTGCCAGACAATTCTTGTTTCTGCATTGGCGGCTTGGTACGCAGCTCAGGGTTGAAGAGAACCTTACACAAACAAGATTGGTACAAAAGTAGCTTATAATGCCAGTAGTATGACAATCAAGAGGAAAGTGACGTCAAGATTAAATAGGAAAGGTGTACGAATGCCTGGTAGCTTTGGGGAAGCAAACTCCCATTTCGCACAGCAGCTTTTGTCCCCCTGCTGTGGACACTTTGGCAGCCACCAATGACCAGCACGGTGCTTCACTTCTCCTGCATGTACATACGTATATATGGCAGGCTTTCGATTTCCTGTAGCCCCCGTCATTGGCTACCAAGATACTTGTGTATGAAACGTTTCAGATCCCGAGCTCAGTTCATGGTCGGATCATTGTGACATCACACAAACGCGGCTTTAGATCACGAGAAACGACATGTGGCCAGCGACGCACATTTGTTTCCTACAAGTAGCGTGCGCTTCCCGTTCTCACGTCACTGGGGACAAGATCTGCTCCTCATTCTACCACCAAATCAAAACCAGCATCATGGCCAATCGAGACAATCATGGCGGTCTTCCCAGAGGAGACGACTTCGACAAGGATCCAGAGAGGGTCGCCGCTGGCCATAAAGCCACCATCGCCAACCCGCGTGAGTACCTGAGGCGTTGCGATGATCTATGCAGAACTTTTATCTGATGAGAACGTGCGCAGAAACGTCTGACAAGGCAAAGGCGCACTCAACGGCGGTTCTAGGCGACATGGGGGAGCCAAGGCGAGCCCAAGGACAAAACGAAAGCGATCTAACTCAGCAAACGGGCAAGGACCCAAGCAATGTGTGAGTACTATCGCTTCTGCACCGTCAGATGCCTTGGACAGTCTTTGACTTGATGCAGTGCTCGCGGTCTCAAGGCGACTATCAGCAACCCTGGCGTTTCCGCGGAAGCAAAGAATAATGCAAAGGAGAGGCTTAAAAAGGAGGATTTTTGATCGACTCCGAGGATGGATTGCTGGGGAGAGCGAAGAAAATCTTGATATACATCGCGTAAAGTGCCAAAGGGCTACTTCTTTTTCAATTTCCTTCTCATTGCTCTAGCAGAGAGCGCAGAGCCTATAGCCTGAAGAGGAGAAGAGCATGAATAAAAACAGAACTTCTACCTCGAATAATCAGCGAGGTGACTTTGCATCTAGAGCGACACATGATCAGCAGAGGTCGGAATTCGCATATGCAGTAGCACCATACAACATGGGGCAAGCAGCTGCCCAATTACGCTTGCGACTATGTATGTCTGGTGGCAGGCTGCTCCCAGGCATACATTAGTAACGATGATTGAAACCCCATTCTAAAGTTTGCACTACATTGCATGGGCCACACTCAAAGTTCGAAAGCCCGGGCGTCGCTAAGCAAGCAATTCTATCTCCTGGTGTATGGTTTGAGCCCACCTCAAATTGTAAGAACAGGATGATAAATCATGGCGAGGCTGGCAAGGAGTTAATCATGGTTCATCACATTCTTAATTTGCATTCCCCAATGTCGGGAGCGTCGCAGGCGGATAGCTGTGCAGTGGACGCGCCTCAGATGACGCCCACCGCGGACGTGGCCATTAGGACCGTCACATTGCAGTCAATGCCCGCGGAGCCACCGAAACTGGCTATAGGAGTCCCAATAGTGTTACAGGCATGGGCACCATGCCAAAAAACCCCATGCCCCTGGACGTTGACAGCAACCGGCTCACCGCACAACAGATGATAGGGCAGGATGAACAAACTAAGCGGGGCTTCTTGTTCTCGCCACAGAAATCCAAAACAAGGCGAAGAACTCGCCGAGCTTGCCAATGTTGCAGGAATAAAGCAAAAGATGCAGCGGGGCGCAGCCGTGTAAGAGGTGTGATGCGCGGGGAAAGACCTGCCAATATTCAGATAGTCCCAAAGAAGGGGTTCGCGGGAACAGTACAGTGACGGGAGACACACCAAATCCACCTACACAAATTCGCCTCACATTATTAAAGCCGAAAGGACCAAGATGAGCTCGCCCTGCGACCTGAGCTGGAAGAATTGCGTGGTGCTCGAATATAGGACGCTCAGGATCAAATGGAGTATGTTGTATTCACCATGGCTAAAACGCTGGAGGTTCTGAAACGACGTCTTCATTGTGTTGTATTTAGTTGAGCTCTCTCATCGCTCGTTCCCATCGTTCTCGTACGTCGTTTTTCGGGACTTGCTCGCACACTTTACGTTATATCGCTGCCCGTGGCCACCGGCGAAAGGGGGAGGTGACTTGCAAAGCTATTGCGAACACGAGCAAGAGCTTTTCTAGTGCTGGACGGCAGTTCGTATAAAGATGATACCCAACGCAAAGCAGCCGAGCCAACAGGCCCCTTTGTCATACCCTACTCTTGCGACTGCGTCCGTTTGGGCTGATAGGGCCAAGAATGAGGCGCTCGTGAGCCTCTGCTCTTTCAAAATCCACAATGATGACACTAAATCCGTCACACGACGCATTACGTGGTTCTGCATCATGATTTACCACAAGGCGTTTGTGCATTTCTGCAAGCGCTGTGGAGACTTTCGTGATGATCCCAGGCCCCACCGATCAGTGCTATGGTTGAGAAGACGCCGAGCATAGGTTAGAAGCAGGAAGGTCGTGTATATCTTCTCATCGGAGGTGTGAGGGAAGGTTAGGTCGAGGATTCCGAGACTCACAGGAACATGCGTTCCTTATATAAACGGTGTCTGTCTATGGCTACGGAATGCCACTAGTCCATCATATGCCCTTGGACAAGACAAAATAAAGCCAAGGGTGATAGAACGTCTCGTCATCTACCGGATCGAGAATGGTTGGCAGATATTTGGTTCGCCATTCATTCTGAAGAGCGTCGCTAAAGTAAGCTGGATCCAATGTGATGTATCTGGCCTTGCAATACTCCCAGTATGAGGGATACCATCCAGCCTGGCCCCAGTCAATGACGGCCGCCACTGTTGGATTTGAGTCTGGCGATAGGATGATGTTGGGTGCAAGGAGATCGGCATGTGTGAAGACAATGGGTACTTGAGCGCTGATGTCGATTCCACAGCCATTTTGAAACTGTCTAGCGGCGTCGGCGCCGTAGAATGGCCCCTGGAGGTTGGGATGATAGGCGAGGAGAACATCGTTGAGAGGATTGTCGCCCAGGCTGCCTATACGAAAGGGGTCCATGGTTAAGAATTCTCGACATGTCGCACGATTGGGGATCAATTTACCAATAAAAGGCTCATGCGTTTGCGGTTTGAGAGCTCTCCACGCCTTAACCATGTGCTTGAGTTGCTCGCAGATGGCGTGTCTAGCATCTTCGTCGAGGTGGCCCCATTTCTCCTCCAAGGTGCAGCCGTCAACTAAGGCCATGTAGATGAAGGTCTGTCCCTCATCTACCGTCCAGCCAAATACTTCAGGCACAGGGACGACATTTTGCAGTTGTTGGTAAACCATCATCTGCGTGCGAGCTTCTGCGATTGTGACTTCAGCTCCGTATTTGACGACGAGCCCCAGCGACCGGATTCTGACGGGCGGCGGACCATAAGGGATTTCCCGGTGATCTGCCGGATCGGACGATTCGCCGGATTTTGGTTCCCTTGCATTCCGGTGAAGATTTGAGTGAAACTCCACGAAAATAATATGAAACAATCTCACATTAAAGCAGAAGCAAGAAAGATGCCTAGCAATTCCATTCAATCTACTTCGCAGTCATCAAGCCACCGTGGCCGCTTCCTGTGGCGTCCCGATCGCGCAAGTCCCCGCATTGCGACTACCATCTCCTGGTCGCGCTCGACAGCCAATGATGGCTTTTTGGGACGTGAGGAAGTGGTCAATGCCGGCTTTGGATCTTTACGCAACTTAATGTTTGGCGATTTTGAGTGTTCCGGAGCTGTCGTCGGTTCTGGTGGAGCCGAAATGGCGACGACAATCTCGTCTCGAACGCCCGGACTCTTCTCGCGAGTCTGTGGAGCAACAGAGGTCCGGATCCCATTTCCGACATTTTTTCTGGTTCTTTCGCTTGAGCTCTTTCCGTATCTGCCTGTTTTCTCCCGCTCTTGTTGTCTGGCTTCCTTTGCCTGACGTCTTTGCTCAGTTTTTGCCTCCCGCTGCCTTCTCTTCTCCAGAGCGAGAACTTTGAGGTTTGCCGCCTTTTGCTGTCGCTCAAACCTTTGTCGTTCTTTCTCCAAGGCCTCTTCTTGCTTCTGAGTCTCCATGGCTGCTTTCTTCAAGCGCGCTTGGGCCACTTTTGCAGGGCTAAATACCTGCGCCGAGTTAGGATCTACACGATCGAAAGGTAATCCTTCAGAGCTTTACCGCGCATTCTGCGCTGCTTTTCGTGAAAGATAGTCTCCCGAAGTCCCTGATTCTCATATCGAAGCAATTCGTTCTGAGATTGGAGACTTTCGAGAGTACTTTGAGCTTCCGACTGTCTCGGCTAGCGTTTTTGAGGATCCATCGACTACCTTGTCGACAAGTCGGCGCAAATCCCGAGCAGTGGGCTGCTGCAGGGCGAGCGAGTCAACGGAGCTGTCGCCAGACTCAGACTCATCTTCTGTTTTCTCCGCGATCTGCGACAAAACGACTTCAGGGTCAAATGGGAGGAGTCCGGTCCGTTTCCAACCACTTGCGATGTTCTCCGCCGAGAAAGATGACCCGAATGCGTTCCAAAATAACGACCAGAACTCGCGTTTCGATAGCCCGATGAGTCCCTGTGTCTTTGCAGTCCACTGGATGAGCTGGTTGGTGTATGCGGTCGAAAGAGGGCCAAAAAGGGACACATCAAGGGGCTGCAGCCTGTGCGTGGAATGCGGCGGAAACACGGCAACGATTATCCGATGCTGGTCACACCACTCCAGGAAGTCCATATTGACATGACTAGAGTGTCCGTCGGTAATCAGGAGGCGGTAATCCCGGCCGTTTCGCGCCTTTTCTTTCGTGAACCGGTCGAAAACACCAATGAGCCATTCCTTTCCAAGTTCATGGTTCGTCCAACCCGTTTCTGAGGTTGTGAAAAACGCCGCTTGGTGCTCCGGATCAAACTCCGTGAGCCAGGAGTCCTGAACTTGCCCTGGCTTGCCTTGGTAGATGAGAAACGGGGGTAGCGCTGTCAGGTCTTGACAGACACATGCCAGGAACGTGATCCATGATCTGTTGCCATCCTGCGCAGCACCGATCAATTTTCCTTGCTTCTTGGCACGAACAGAGAATACTCTCTTGGTACGATTGATGACGCCGAGGAGAAAGCCCTTTTCGTCCACATTATACGTGTTGCAAGGCAGGATGTCGTATTTCTCGATTTTCTCGCCAATCTTGTACGATCAGCAATGAAGGGATGGACTTGGGCACCTACTTACAAGCTCATAGTAGGCTCTGTATCTAGAAGCATTGTCTGCTCTCTTTCTTGCGATATCAAAACCGTCGAACCAAGTGCAACCGAGCTCATCGCTGTTACGTCGGACGAAGCTATACGGCCAGTCCTTTCCGACCTCAATTTTGGCGATATCCTGGGCAAAACTTTTGATCATCGGCAGCGTAGGCGGAATCCCACGTGATGAAAGCTTGCGAATATACGCAACAAGATCCCTTTCTTGCTGTTTTGAGAGACGTGACTTATACAAACTGTCGGCATCCCGTCTTGACCTCTGTTTGCCTTGGTGTCGCCGTCGCAGGGTAGTCTCGTCGCAATTGAACTGACGCGCAGTCTTGGCATAGTTAACAGTGTCACACAGCTTCAGAAACTCAAGCGCTTCATCAATCGGGGCCATGGTGGTGGAGAAATTCAGGATTGAAGTGGAGACGTGAACTGGCGGTGAATCCGGCGAATCGCCCGATCCGGCAGATCACCGGGAAATCCCTTAGAAGTCCGTACCGCGGATGTTGCCGGACTTGGCGTTGATGGCTCTGATCTCGGCTGGTGCAGGAAGCGCAGACGCCCGTCGCTGCTCGAAGAAGCTGGACTCGAGGCATGCATTCATCTGGAAGTCCTTTGCCATGTTTCTTTTGAGCCTGCCTTCGTGGCCGACAAAGAACAGCGTGCGAAGTTTCACCACACGCAGGGTCGGCCCTATTAGTGTCGGCAAGTTGATTGAGCACGTGATCGACCGGTGTGCTATTACTGTAGACAAATAGGTTACGTAAGCCAACATGACACCGCAATCAGACGTCGCAATTCCCTCCCTGGTACCTGCTGTCGGAACTTTGGTTTTGCGGCCTGCCTAATAAGGCTATCTACGAGTAAAAGAGAGTCCAGTTGAGAGGCTTAAAGGATCTATCAACTAAAGCTAAAAAGCGAGTCTATAAAGCTTATTACTAGTTATTAGGTCGTTGCTTTAAGAGAGAAAGAGTATATAGATGTATAGGGCTGATATTTGAAGATTTTGAAGTCGAATCGGCCTCGGGACCCTTGAATTGAATGAAGCCGAATCGGGTAAGGTCTTCAAATTCGACGAATCAAAAATCAGGAGTCTTCATTCAATTCATTCATAAAAATTGTGAATGAATGGCGATATGGTCGAAACGTAAGGCGAAAAAATTATCACCGCTTCGCGGCCAAGGGACATACAGGGAGGAAAGGGTCAATACCCGAAGCCACCCACCAAGGGCCTCTTCCTGTTCTTCCTCGGCAGGCTCACATACACATCAATAAACAAGCTGCTTTGACCCCATCATTAAGGGTTTGCCCGCGCGGACACGGTAACTTCGAGTTCGGCCGCGCTTGTGATGACGCTCTGCGTATTTAAAAGTCTGTTGTGCGTGTTTCAGTTGGATTCCACCGTCCACACTCCACTGGCAAAATCCTAGTCCCGCGCCGCCCGCGTCTGGCGGGGCGTCGCTGGGAAATCGAGGCGAAGGACGGCAGTTAGGGCGTCCATATATTGTGGTATAACGACCCTAACAGTGCCTGATACGCCACCGTTTCAGCAATCTTGCCACCCTATACGGAGTATTAAAAAACACCATGAAGCTCATGAACAGTGCCATTTTATAATGCACATGATTTAAATGTAGTGCCGCTCGAATGTTCTGGATTTTCTCGTTCGGATGATATAACCTCGATAGTTACATGTCGTTAACATTTGCTCAAGAAATGCCACATCATCTTGAAGGCAATCAATGGATAGCCCATTTTTTGGTTGGAATACTACATTTCAAGCACATATTAAGCTCGGCAACCCATATTCTGGATATATAATATAATAATTATACCGCTGTACAGCCCCCAGCAAGCTGATTCGAAAAACGCGTTCAGATCCTCAACATCTCAATACTGCGCGAACAATTGGAAGTGACACGAATCGAGTCAGCTCGCGATTTGGAGGCTGTTAGGGACTTATCTACTCCTCGAGCCCAATATGACTGCTACTTGTTTGTCCATACAAATTAGCCGATCAGGAAGTACCCGAAAAATCTGCATGATAAGGATATATTGTGCCAACTAGCCGCGTTCAGACGCGTTATTTCCGCTCAGTTGACCACCTGTTAATTCTACTGCTGTCGGAAAGACAGGGTCGTCAGCCCATCCACCTTTTGCCTGCGTGGCGCAACGGTCTTCGCGACAACTGCCACGACATTATTTTACCACGACCTCGCCTAATTCCTGCTTCGATATTCCGACAGCGGCTTCGGATCAGCCCCCGAATCAACGCCCTGACCGACGACCTATCCTACCCGTTCAACCCCGACTCCTTGACACTTTATTGTGGTTTATTTGGTGTCGTTCCGACTACCTGTGTCGCGTCCATTCTCGAGCCTTTCAGCCAAGATCAGGTAAAACTTCATTACTCTCAATCTACCCTCCTTATTTAATTACCTTACGAGTGGATAGCTAATTATAACATGATACGTAGTATGGCCCCTGCTGAAACAAAAACATCTGCCGCAGCGAATTTCTTTGCTCCAAGGACCCGGCGTAAATTGCCAACGCAGAATTATGCCCGCATCGAACGTCCTCAATTCAACCCTCGGAATCCCGCGCGCGCGCGCGCTGATTCTAGCGCAACTCCGGCTCCTTCCTCTCCTCTTCCAACTGGCGAAGATACAATTGTCTGCGCGCCCCCGGGTCATCCTGACTGTGAGTCAGATGATGACATGCCCGACGCGGATACACCAGAGCCGCCATTGAACAGTAGTCATATGACGCTCGCAGAGAAAGCCGGACTTATCAAGAAGTGGGCCGACAACAAACAAAAGCATGTTCGCAAGAAGAGAGACAAGAACAGCCACGTCTATTGGTATATGCAGAGGAAGCTATAGACAGAAGCTTTTACTCAGAGGATAAGGATGGGCCGAAGATCTTCCAAGAGTTCCGGTGGACTTGTATAGAGTGCCTTCAAAATCCCAATACTCTTCGGAAGAGATTCCAGGTCCTCGAATCGAACCGCCGAGGGGTTACCTCTGGCATGGGAGACCATTTAAAAATCCACGGTATTACGAAGGAATCTCACCACGCTCGAATTAATGGATACGGCCGCGCCATTGGTGGAGGAGATTATACAGAGGCAGACGCATGGAGCGGTCGACCTAGGCAGAGAGCAAGACTCACGGCAAAGGAGTCTATCCGCCGGTGGTTTGTAAACACCGACAACCCTTCTCTGTTGTCGAGACTCCTGCTTTTCAAGAGATGTTCTTGGCTCACAACACAACATGTGTGTACAGGAGTCGTATAACGTTACGCAATCATATATATACAGACTTTGTCGAACGCAGGGAGAAGCTGAAGATTGAGCTTGAGTACAATTGTGCCACCATCTCGTTCACCCTTGATATCTGGACAGCACCGAATCAGGTGCCCATTTTCGCCATTATTGCGCACTGGATTACACCGGAGTTTGAGGAGAGAGAGGAAGTTATTGAGTTTATTGAGCTCAAAAGATCTCACACTGGCAAACAATTAGCTGAGATAGTTGAGAGGACGCTTGAGGAGCTCAGGCTCAAGCCTAAGCTTCTCGCCATTACGGGAGACAACGCCGGCAATAACGGCACGCTCTGTCAGTCTTTGTACGATTCTCTCAAGACCAAATTCGACGACAAGGTGAGCCCAATAGGAGGCCCGCATGCGCTTTCACGGCAGGAAGAGTTGGATCCGCTGTCTAGCTCATATTACCTCGCTCATTTGTGAGGGCGTCTTGCAAGATCTCAAAGCAGGCACAGCGAAGGAAGCCAAGAAGATGCTTGACAAGTGGGACGAAGAGAATAAAAGCAACAACTACACCATTCCGGGAGACTCTAGTCGAAGTGGGATTGCCAAAATCCGCCTCCTCAATCTCTGGATGTTGAGATCCGGGTCTAGGAGCAAGACTTCAAAAGCATGCCGCGCACGCACTACCGGAAGCCAACCTACGATGTCGACACTCGCTGGAATTCGGCCTACGACATGATTGACCAATTCCTCGAGCTTGAGGCAGAGTATACTGAGTTCGTTGATACTCACCCGCAAGTCAAGTGCCTCCTGCCCTTATCAGAAGAGATTGTCGCTCTCTATCAACTGTGGAAGGTTCTGAAGCCGTTTAAAGACCACACTCTGAAAGTCTCCGAAGTTATGCCGCCGATCTCACAAAGTCTCGATATCTATTGGGATTTGGAAGCTCTCCTTGATGATGTAGTCGAAGGAGTTGGCGACTTTACAGACCTTGATATGTCCATTCGAGACGCCTTCTCGAAGGGCAAAGCAAAACACGTTACTTATATGAAGAAGCTTGACGATCAAATGATGCTATTCGCAGCTCACATCCTGGATCCGCGTTATAAAACTCACCAATTGGAAATGATGATACCGGATCAATACTCTGAGATTATGGCTAAAGTCAAGAAGTATTTCAAAACGGAGTGGCCGGAGCTAGCAGCATTGAATGCCACAAACTCAACTATGAGCCAATCCAGGCCAGCTGAGCGTCCTCAAGGAGTCTCCATTGCGCAATGGAGAGCCATCCAAATGAAGAAGGCGAGGGAGGCGGAGACGGGCGCGGCGATCCCTATTTCGGAGCTTGAACGGTGGCTTGCAGCTCCTCGAATAGAGTTCGACGAGTCTATTGCAAAGTCTCCAGACTTCCTACTGAAGTGGTGGAAAGAACACAAGGTCGAGTGGCCACTTTTGGCTGCGGCGGCGCGTGATCTTCTCTGTCTCTGGCTCTGAAGTTGACGTGGAACGCCTCTTCAGCGGTTGTAGAGACGAATTCGGTATCCGCCGTCACGCCTTGAAGGCAGATACGGTGCGAGTACTAACACTTTTACGGAGTGCTTATACTCAGGAAGATAAGATCGATCAGGCGTTGATCAAGGCGGCCATGGAGTATGACATCCTGCCCTTTGCCAATAGTATTATTTGGAGACCAGACCACATTCCGGGCAAGCTGGAAGATGGTATGTATGGATATACCCTCATTATATATGTAGGTATATGCTAATCTGTGTTCAGGCGAGAATCCTCCTCAACCTCTTCCTCCCACCGAGGCTCCCACTGAACCCCTACCCCAAACCTCCTGCATCCCAAGCCGATAAGTCTGCGATATCAACCCCTGTCTAGATACAATGGAGGCTTCGGAGGATTGGGGCTCTAAGAGTGTAGCCGTGTACAGTGGCGGATTCGAACGCGTTGTACCGACGTATTTTGAGGATTCGGCAGAGCTTTGAAAGTGCTTATTTTCAGTCGATTTGCCTAGGACAGGCGGATCAGTATTTATGTAAGTTAATTTTTGTAGTATTCGGGATTATCGACTTCTTAGAAGGCTATAACTTAAAACTATATACTACTTATTGGCGTTTTTGAGGCATCTTTGCAATCGCTCAGGTACACACCAAATTCACTTCGTTTAGGGATCCTTCAAACTATTCATGAATGGCCTGAATTGGCCCAAACCCAACTTGAATCGCGAAAATTGGAGCTTGAAGATTTTGAATCAAGATCCAAAAAATTCAATTCATTTGATTCATCCTTCATTCAAAATCTTCAAAATCTTCACCTTCGTCTATCACCCCTATAGATGTAGGGCCCAATTATCTATACACCTCCTTTTATTAACTGTACACCAAAAAGTGGATCAACTGTGGCTGGGTCAGGCGCAGTGCCGATGCCGCTAATTTTGGTGCGCCCATTCCCGGCCGGCCAGCTGGCCAGTTCGTGATGCTTGCGTAACAACATCCTGTAACCGTAACTATCAGCAATACCATCAAAACTGAAGCTATTCGCACCGCGTTTTCTGCCCTTACGAGCCCGAATCATGGAGTCGCTTACGAAGACACTATTCCCGACCTTCCAGGCCGCGATGGAAGCCGCCGATACCGTTGCTGAGGCTGAGGGCTACGCCCTACACATTCGAACATCGAAGCGGGATAACGCTGGCCAACGCAAGTCTGCACTTGTTCGTTGTATCAAGGCCGGCCCCTACGAAAATCGGAAGGATAAAGCTGCTCATATCTCTCGTCGTCGCCTCAATACAGCAACCCAGAAAACAGACTGTGAATTTCGCCTCTCGTTGAAGGAAAAACGCGGTTACTGGACTATCTCTTATCTTCACGATGTTCACAATCATCGCCTTGTTGATGACCCGATGGTCTTTCCGAAGTACCGGGCGCTTGTTATCCAGAAGTATCGCGACGACATTATCCGGAAGTTTAATAACAATACCCGGCCGACCGATATTGCTGGCGAGCTTCGTGACCTGGTTCACGACGATCCTCGTTTAGCCGGTATCACGGCTCAAGACGTGAGTAACGCCTTGGCTAGGCACCGTCAGGAAGAACTAGCTGGCCGTACGCCTCTTCAGTTTCTCTACGACCGGCTAGATAAGTCCGACTTCTTTCATCGAGATAGTCGTGATCCCCAGGGCCGGCTAACTGGGCTATTTCTCGCGCCTCGTGCTACCTTCCATCGATGGCGTCAGCATCACGATGTCCTCGTCCTCGACTGTACCTACAAGACGAACCGATTCAATATGCCGTTATTGAATATCTGCGCGGCCACTCGAGATAACAAAACGTTCTCTATTGCCTCTATCTTCTTGAACGGCGAGACCGAGTCCCATTACTATTGGGCTATCTCGTTGCTGCTAGTCCTTTGCGAGAAGGAGTCGATCCCATTTCCAAGGGTCACTGTCACGGACCGAGATACTGCGTTGCTTAAGGCGTTAGATAGCTTTCGCGAGCTTCAAAACAGTACTAACCTTCTCTGCACGTGGCATATTAACCAGAATGTCGTTGCGAAATGCAAGCAATTTTCCCTAAGGCATCAAAAATCGGCAATCGAGTCGTACGGGCCCCGGCATTCCAAGCGTTTCTACAAGAGTGGAACGAGATCGTCAAGTCACAAGATGTGAATAGCTTCAACGAACGTTTACGCCAATTTGAGACACCAGGCCGCCACCCGCTTGCAGCTATACAATACTGTTGCAATACGTGGCTAACGCCTTGGAAGGAGAAGTTTGTATCTTGTTTCGTTAATCAATATCGCCACTTCGGGCGTACAACGACCTCGATCGTCGAGGGACTTCACTCTCATATGAAGAAGTTCCTTTGGTCCTGTACGGGCGATTTGACGACCGTTTTCCAACGATTCGAACGCTTCTGGGGCCATCAGGCTGCTCAGATCACAGCGATAGAGAATCGAAACCTCCACAAGATATCAACGTTCTCCTACAGGCGCCGTATATGCCGATCCGCGAGCGAGTATCGTCATATGCGTTAAAGCTACTAATAGATGAGCATCGCAAGATCCTCTAGACCCCGAAGTCAACGGGCCAAACCGCCGCCAGGTCAATGTCCTTGTAATTGGGCTACTAGTCGAGGGCTACCGTGCTGCCATCGAATCTTCGAGTCTATCAACACCAATACCTCCCTTACACTCGACGACTTCGACCCATTTTGGTATATTCCGATCGATACAAGCGCTCAGGGCACAAGCCCTACTCGGGCACCATACGAGCCACAAGTTATCAGGGCTAGGGCCGCCCCAAGGGCTCACTCAACCTCGAAGAGTCACGGCGGTCAAGATCAACGCGGCGGGATCCGTCACATCACGAGATCGCTGAACGGCATGAGCGGGCTGAGGCTATACGACTGCCTCCTCCTCAACGGCACCAGCGGCGATGACGGGTACGGTAACGGCCGCGATGACTTCAACGGAACGAGGGCTGCGGCACATCGAGGAAAACGGCGATACGTACGAGGCAGGCACACGGATGCAACGGGCGTATCAACAAGCCGGGCGTCAAACGCCAGTCTCTGATGATGACGATCAGCCGGTACGGCGGGAGACCCAAGACTGCATCTTCGTCGCCGGCCTCACGGACGATGCCGCCCTTGAGGATGTATGGGATCAATTGGAATCACAGTTAGATGAAGCGGATCAGGCACGTAGTGCACTCGAAGAAGGAGGCCTGTTGTAAACACCAAAGAATAGTCTCATCAGCATAGAAAGCGCAGTACGAATAGCTTCAATTTTGGGTGCCTTATCGTTGAAGGAGAACTGTTACTACCTGGCTCTACTTATCGTAGAGAATGTGTGCATACAAATTGGCGGTATCGGCCCTCTTCGGCCGTCAGCCACAGTTAATCCACTTTTTGGGTGTACAGTTAATGAAAGTGGGTGGATAGATAACTTGGGCCTAGATGTAAGGGGATTGGTCCGAGTGAGGTGCACAGAGGAGGTCCCTGATAAGAAGGTCGATAATCTAATTACGGGGAGGAAAGAAGAGAGAAAGCGGGCGCAGCTCCTACGGGCGCGAGGGCCGCTTATAGTTATACACACGCACGCATAGGTGCGGAACAGCCGGCACCAATACACACCGGGTCCAACCCGTAACAATAGACTACACTATTCTTCTAAAAGAAAGGGTCTATAGGTATAACTGTATATATATATATATATATAATTATATAGAATCTAATAGAATTCCCTACTAATTTAGCTGCGAATAGATATTCGGAAGCGTCTTATAGCTTTATAGGCGTTCTATATAATAACTACTATATCTATTACCTCTGAAAGCTGCCTTAATGCTCTCGTCGTCTCTAACGGTATATAGGCGCAAACTATAATATTAAGACCACTAGTGATTCCTATAAATTGGTCTATAGCACACCCTAGCTCGTTATAATAGTCATAACATTACTTCCTTATATGCTTTGCGGGCTTTATAGTCTTGATCATTAGGGCGGGGAATATATATACCTGTCATGGTGCTAAGGCCCTTGATTGGTTGTTTGGTTGCTGGACCAAACGTTCTCTTGTTTGGTCAATTGACGAAGCTATCGCTAAGTTAATTCTGTTCCCTTTTGTCACACTCACCCTATGGCAGAGGGGGTCTAGTAGCGCGACTACGGTTTTTGCCCTCTTGGGCCAAGACCCTTATAATACCTAATTATATAGCATCGACGCTACGCCTTAACCAGCTATACTTACCTACTTTTTGGTAGGCCGGACAGTTAGAGTGGCAGGCCGGTTAGTTAGGGCCTAACTTAATATTATAACAAGATTAAGTTGGTCGGTTATAAGAATTAGCTGTATTAAGTTGGGTTGAGTTAGTTGATATTAGCCTGGTTGACAGCCTCTGTTACGGGCTGGGCCCGACGTGGGCCCAGGCTTGGCCCGTGCAGACCCTTGATAGGCGTGGTCAATTAACTAACCAGACAGCTTAGTCAATTCGTCTTCTTTTGCCCTGCTGCCCGTGTGACGCTGTGGTCAAGTTGGCTGACCGCAGCAACGAATAGTAGCATGACCACTGCTTTAACCCTTCTAGGGCCGACCCGTTACCGTTGATTGCCACCCAGCTTGTTATATATCTCACGGGAGAATAAGAAAAGGAGGCATAAAGAGTAGGGACTAAAGAACTCTTGATTTTACTATCTATAGTAGAAAAGAGGTAGGGTCTTTATAGACTGCCTTAATAAGTAAATAGAAAGTGATTAAGATCAAGTAGAGCATAATGACGCCACTAAGGCGTTGGTGCTATTGACTAGAAGGTTCTTTGGGGAACTAGATGACTGGTCTGAATGAGGACAGGGATCAGACTATTCAAGGCTAATATTACGTCCATACATACCAATTCACCAGGCAAAATAGGGCATCTCCGAGACTTATCCATATGTATAAGCAAAGACCACTTGATTGATACCTAAACTAATTTTCTTACAGGCAAGAACTCCTATACTCTCTTTATTTCCAGGAGTCCTTACTGTTCAATGGCTTGGAGATAAGCGGCAACGTCGTGGTAAAAATACCCTCTTCGGCGAGTTGGCGAGCAGACTCAATGATCCACGTTTGACTGTTCCTCTGAGTGATCTTCTTGCTGGATTTATCCTGGGCCGTGGGAACCTCGGAAATTAGCATGGGGCACTTCAATAGCAGCACACGCCGGGTAAAAGTCTCCCCTAACCGGTTACACGGAATCTGTAAGGTGTCCAAGGGAGAATACTTGCCTTGTCATTGACATCGTTAAGGGACTTCCCAGGAGCCGCAACCTTGTACACACCGGCTTCAAAGGCGCATACAGGTATACTGTCGTTGCGCTGTCTATCAAACATGGCCTCCTCGTCAAAGTGCTTGGCATTGACCCATTGCAGTGGAATCCTTGTTGTGGGACGATTGTGAGTTCGCCTAAAGTCGTGGCGGCGCTTGATTTCGAATACGAATCCGTTAATGACATCGCCGGTCGCATGAAGCAGAACACCGATGTCAGGGTTGGCGTGTGAGCGCACCCAGTAAGTCCAATGATCCTTGAAAGGCGAGCCGCTGAAAATGAGAAGATCAACCACGAAGGCCCCAGTAGGCCCAGTCGAGGCTACTATCGGCGGCTTGGGGACAGGAATAGGATTGGGATCCTTTTTGATTGCTGGCGGTGGCGGTGGGGGAGGAGAAGGAGGCTTGGCGATGCCGATGCTCGGTGAGTCGTTGGAATGCATGATGACCTCTTGAGGAATCTCCTGGACAGGTGTTGAGGAGAGCGGGCCCAAGAGGTCAGAGTCATACCCGGTGGACCCAATATTTTAGTCATACCATAAGGGTCTGCCGGACCAACCTGACTCTCCTAGCATAAAGACATAATGCAGGCCTGGCCCAGGTACAGGGATGTCACACATAGGATATCAGCCTCCAACAGTCTGACCCCCTATTCGCACAGTCCGTTTCCACATTTCCCCACAGAAACTTCTAGGAGGCATCATCAACGCATCAGTGGCTTCCAGATGATCCGATCAGATGCTTCCATTCACTACCATTCCCTTCCATTCTCATATTCAGGCAGTCTATAAAGATCTCGCCTCTTTCCCACCTTAGATAGCAGAATCAAGAGTCTTCCAGTCCCTGATCTTTATGCCCACTTGCTCATCCTCCGTGCGATAGTTATGAGCCCGGTCTGCCACTGACTGGGTATCTTATTCTTGTTCACTCCGCTGCGCAGAATAGCTTCCACAATGAGCTCAGCTCTAGATCTTGATGGCTCTTCCAAGGGCACCGTGCTCAACGGCCCTTGCGACTGGAAACAATGGATTTCTATCATCAAGAAATTCGCCACGTCCCACAGTCTTTGGGACTTTCTGGACCCTGCCGTCAAGGAGGGTAAGCCGGTTCTTCAGCAGCCAGTTGAACCAACATTCCGACAAATCAACCACGAAGCATCTGATCTCGTGGATCTGACCTCGGAGGAATTTCGCCGTCTCGAATTCCTCCACACCCAATACCGCTCGAAGCTTCAAGGGTATAGGGATCAAGTGAAGGCACTCGCCAGCCTTCAACAACACATCGTCAAGACCATCGGCAACTACTACAGCACCATTGCCGAGGAACACGACGTTGCAAAGCAACTTGCCTTGCTTCAGGCTCGTGTGGCCCCAACCGACTGGGCACTCGAGAGGAAGTTGTTCAGCGTTATCGTTCCACCCTTCAGTCGCCAAACAGGACCAAGATCGAAGCTTGGGTCACCCAATGGCAGAAAGTCCTCACTGAGGCAAAGCAATTAGGGCTTCCTGATGTCCAGGACCTTCGCCCTACCCAAGATTTCCTACAGGCTGTTTCGTCCATCAACGCCCCATTCACAGACTATTGGGTCAACAAAATGGAAGACGAGGCCGTATTCGGCAAGCCTGATTGGAAGACGGACTTCCCGGACGGCATTAAGATCAGTGAGATCTTTGAACGAGCTCACCGAATCAAGGCCGCCAACAACAGCAAAGGATCATTCGGAGCTGCCTTCCAAGGCAAGGGAGAGAAATCGGAGAGGAAAGAGGACAAGCCTAAGTGGTCTTCAAGCAAGAACGCTGATGGTGTTCCTATGTGTGTCTGCGGAGAATATCACCGCTTCGTAGATTGCTTCTATCTCATCAAATCAGCTCGGCCTGATGGCTGGACTCCTGATCAGAAGGTTGAGAAGAAGATCAAGGAAATCCTCGACTCAATCCATGGGCAAAGAAGATGACGGAGAAAGCACAAGACTTCAAGAAGAAGGAAATGGAGAAATCGTCCGACTCCTCCGTTAAAGGCACAGCGTTTGCCGGTCTTCTACCAGCTCCTGACAACACACCGCCTCCTCAACACCTCCATCAACCAGTTTCTCGACGGGAAAGGCAGTCTACCCGCTGTATGACTCCTTTATCCTTGATTCCGGATCAGACACACACATTTGCAACAACCGATCCCGTTTTCTTGACTACACCGCCCTTGCAGAGCCAAAGAGCTCTTTGCAGGCGATAGTCAACTTCAGATCCTTGGCTACGGCACAGTCCGTATGAAGCTTGAAGAAGGAGGACTTTTTCAGCTCAACGAAGTTGCCTTCGTGCCAAAATTCCACACCAACATCGCATCCCTCGACCGCTTTCTTGCGAAGGGATACAACTGGAATCCACTATCTGGACGCGTCTCTAAAGACGATCAGATTATATTTCATACGAAACGCCGCTTTCGTCAACCGGTCATCGAGTTCAACCCGATTAAGGAGGACTCTCACGCCTCCAACTTCACATCTTCATCTGCACCTCGCGCAGTGAAAACAGCAGATGCTACGCTTTGGCATAAGCGCCTAGGCCACTTGAACGCTCAAGCCCTAGAGCGTCTTGTTGAGAACACGACGGGTTCGAAGATCAAAGGCCCAGTTACCATCGATTGCACCGCGTGTTCCTTGGGAAGGAAAGAAGGTCGTCTCTCCGAACCCCTCAAAACCGAGCCCCAGACCATTCTGGAGAATCTACGTTGATATCTTCAGTATGAACACCTCATTCAACGGCAAGGAAGCTGTTCTTCTTATCAAAGATGAATTTACAAGCATGATCTTCATCTACCTTCTGAATGACGCGACACAAGGGTCCGTTATGACTGCTTTGAGAAACCATGAGGCAATGATTCAACGCCAATGGAATCTCAATATTTGCATTATCCACCGTGATAACGATCGTTCTCTTCAGAGTGCGTATGAGAGCTGGATCGAGGAAAGGGATTCAAGATGAACCTTCTGCCCTTACACTCCCGCTCAAAACGGCTCTGCAGAGCGATCTGGGGGTAATATCTGCCCAGGCCAGAACAATGGGAATTGATGCCAATTTACCATCTGATCTTTGGCCAGAGACTTGGAAAGCAGCAGTGTTTTGCACAACAGATCGCCCATGCAGAACCACAGCTTCCGAACGCCTTTCCAGCTGCTTCATCAGTGGCTGCGAGACAACAACAGAGACATAGGCTACCAGCAAGACCAGCCTGACATCACGTTTCTCAAGGCATACGGCTGCAGAGCCTATCCCTTGACACCCCAGGCCCTTCAGAACAGACAGAAGAAGGACCTAAAGACCGACCCTCACACAGAAATCGGTTATCTCGTTGGATATGATTCCACGAACATTTTCAGGATCTGGATTCCGTCCACATCAGAAGTCCGAAGGGTCCGAGATGTGACCTTCAATGAAAGCATCTTCTATGACGGAAATGATCAGCCACCAGAACCTATCCCACAGCGCGTGGAAGTACAGCTTCCAGCCCACATCGAGGACGAGTCGGATTACGAGGAAATCCCCACTCAAATCGATGAACCTGAACCTGACCCCGTTGAGCAATCTCCCTCAACCTCAGACCAAGGAGACGCCACCACGATTGTGGTACAACCCGAACCATCTGATCATGAGGACTCGGATGATCAGGATGAGTTTCATGACATTCAGCACCCATATCCGACACCGGACCCCGGTCCGAGTGACTCAGCCACGGCGCTCAGCCCGCTCACCAAAGCTCTGCCAGGCCAGAAATTTGCTACTTTCGTCAAACAACTCGGTCTCGTCGATATCTCTACGTTGCTAGGGATCTAGTTTCTTTCTTCAGTTTGCACTGCCCACTAGCCAGCACAACCTGGGGGGGTATGTCACACATAGGATATCAGCCTCCAACAGTCTGACCCCTATTCGCACAGTCCGTTTCCACATTTCCCACAGAAACTTCTAGGAGGCATCATCAACGCATCAGTGGCTTCCAGATGATCCGATCAGATGCTTCCATTCACTACCATTCCCTTCCATTCTCATATTCAGGCAGTCTATAAAGATCTCGCCTCTTTCCCACCTTAGATAGCAGAATCAAGAGTCTTCCAGTCCCTGATCTTTATGCCCACTTGCTCATCCTCCGTGCGATAAGGGACATCCCAATGCCGTCTTCTGGCTAGTTATTTGTGGCATCTGTACCTACATAAGCCCCTCACTCGTCCCAATAGATAGGCCAAGACATGCATCTCAGTTCACCTCTCTGAGCCCCTATTCCTTCCACTGTGCTCTTAAGCCCCTGCTTGAGAACAGGCTTAAAATGTAACTTGAGATAATAAAGAATCAGAACTTCTTGTAAGAGGTCTAAGCTTTGTAGATGAGACTAAGGAATAAAAGACGAAGTTAAACCTCATCTTTAAGGCCCCCGCGATAATTACGCGTCATTTTATCACTGGGCGCAGCTAAGCGCCGTCTTGTTGCAGTCTGCATGTGGACGCTGACGGCGCTTAATGGCATCATGTCAGATGGTATGTTGGCCTGCAATGTGCTGCAGGCTGCAGCGTCAAAACGGAGAAAAGACGACAGGAATGACACTTTGCGGAGTCTTCCTAGGCCGGGATACTTTAGCTCGCCCTGATAATGGAGCCTACCGAGCGAATCTTCGCGAGAACAACGACGCGCCTTCCCGCTCCTTAACCCCATTCCGCGAGGAATCACCAACAACACAGATACGCCGCGCGAAAGAAGGCATCGTTGGCATATTGCGAGCCCTCAAACGCTTTAGCATCCGGGGCTTAAAGCATATTGAGGATGGCGATGTCGTAATAGTGAGGATAGGCCCCTCGAGCCTCGAGGGCGAGAAATCGAGTAATATGTCGCAGCTGACTCCGTATGTGTGGGCGCTCCGCCGGCGTCACGGCGTCGAGTATTCTCTGACCGCTCTGCAGATGTGCTGCCGCCGCGGCCTGGTCGTCGTTGACCAACTCGAAGGCGGCGAAGAAGAGGGAGCAGAGAACAGCCTCGCGAAGGTCGGCGTGGCTCGCGCTGGTGGCCTGACGCGCCGCCCTGAGAGCCTGGCCGTAGCAGTCGAGAGCCCGGCCGTAATAGTCGGGCGCTGTCGCCGCCTCGGGCCGCCGCGCGGGATCCGGGCCCTTGGCCAGCATGAGCGTGTGGACGGCCAGGTTAGCACTGCGCAGAGCTTCGCTATCACGGACGAGCTGCGGCATCGTCTCCTTCCAGAACATGTCGTCGAGCACGTATCACCGTGACTGCCCCGACTGTGTTTCAGGCATGACAAGTGGCGGCGGCTCATTGCGATGACAAGGGGGTTGACAAGTGGTCTCAGTCAGCAGGGACGCTGTTCCGTCGGCAAGAGGCCATAACGCGTCCTCCGATCGCATCACTTCCTTGAACTTGGGTTGACCACCTGGGCTTTGGTAACCGCTGCAAACCCCGGCCCATTTCGTGCAATTCCTGCAGCCTGGCTTTGTTTCATCGCACTTGATGTGTCGTCGCCTAGGACAGTCAGTCTCCATCGCCCGTCAAGTTTCCAAAAGGGGGGGCGTAAAGGGGAGGGATGAGGCCTAGCATTGCCGCCTCACCTGCCTGCTCGTCATTAGTTCGACGCCTTTCGGGAACTCGTATGGAATCGAGCACTTACAAGTCATGCATCCAGTCCGCATCTTGGAGAATCTCGCACGAGTGACTCTCTGTGGTCTTGAAACTGGAAAGGAAGTCGTCATCATGACATCTCCTCTCTTCAGGGTGCTATCAAATGCCGCCCTGCCCTCAGAATCGGGGATCGAAGTGTCGCCAGCAGCTTCATGACTACGTCTGGTTTTGTTGGTGAGGAAATCCAACTGATCAAAGCCAGGAGAGTCGAGGAAGGAGGGAGTCCCGCCTTACAAGCTGGTAAAGACAGCGCCAAAAAAAGGGTCCTCGTCGAAGTCACCCAAGTCGCTGTGCTGGTGGTGGCCTAGGTTAGGCTTGGAGCCGGCGGCGATGTCGAAGTGAGTACGCCAAATTTCGAAAGGATGAGCATCCCCGCTGTCTATGGCTGGCTGAGCTATGGTGGACGGGCCTGCACCGTCGGCGCTCTGGTCGACAAACGGATCATCCTCGGCAGCCGCTGCCGCCTTGTCCGTTTCCTCCAGCATCGAGATGGATATGCCGCTGCATACGGTGTCGTGGCTCGTGGCCGCATAGTCCCAACGGGCCTCGATGAGGCCGCCAGTTGGGGCCACGCCGTCTGCCCCGACGATGCGGCACATGACCTTTTGCATGACAACCGTCGGGGTGATGTCGCCGAGGCGCCAGTAGACCAGGCGCTTGTCCTTGAGATGCGTCCCGCTTGGCTTCGTCTGCGCGCCGCTGGCCTTGCCCTCGTACCTGGCCACGATCACGACATTGTGCAGCGTCGTAGGGGCTGTGAACTGAACCGACAGGCTGAGCCGATACTGCAGCAGGAGGCCCAGCTTGTCGCCCTGTCGCTTCCACTCCGGCTTCAAGAGCAGCAGCGCGTGCTCGTCGTGGAGGGACTCTTGCACGAGATCCTCCTGCAGCTTGACTGGCAAAGACTGGTCGGGAGCCTTGTAAGGGTCAACTGCAGTGGGCCAGTGGCATGCGGTATTCTGCTGACCACCATGTTCGTTGTCAACCGCATTCCCCGAGTTGATATTCTGGCGGAGCGTGGGTGCCGGGTCGACATTGAAACCATGGTTAATTTGGCGGGACAGCTCGGCAGTCGCAACGTCGAACGAGCTGGCCAGCGTGACCGATCCGAGGCCGATGGTGACTTTGATGTCCTCGAGCGCCTCAGCCATTGGGATAATATGACCGCCGCCAAAGGGGTCCGAGGCGACAATGTAGCCGTATACCTCCAGGGTTTTTTCGTTGACCACCCATGACCCCGAGTCACCGTCTACAATTTCTGTCGACATTATTAGCGGTATATTCGGACCCGGCAGAGTGCACATAGGACGAAACACATACGCTTGCTGTTATCGAGATTTACCACCAAGGCGTTAACAGACACCCGGCCAGGACTGAGAAGCACTTTTGAGGACAGAGCGGAGAGGGACCCTCGTTTTGGCCCTTCTGATGCCGTCAAGACAAGGACCGACTGCCTCTTGTGGGCAGAGCCGGATGGGACGGCCATGACGAGGTCCCGGGAGCGCAAGATTCCATCGTCACAAGCCTTTGGGCTCGAAGACTGCCTCGGTTGAACGCGGTTCGGTCTATAACTGAGCATGTCGATGAGGGCCCAATCATAGTAGCCCTTTGATTCGCTATTGGCAGCGATTGATCGGCCGGGTAGCAAAGTGCCCTGTGCAATGGAACCCACCTTGCTCAACTCGGGGGACGTCCAGGGCCCATCGGTGTCTGTTGAACTCAACTGGAGCTTCTCTGCCTGTCCAATCTCGTCTTCGCCCAAAGAGTAAGACAAGGTGCTGAACGAAACATGGCTTTCTGAAGTGTCAGATGAAGCGTCGCTTTCCGAGTCCGAACCCTCGCTTCTCCAATCATCCGAGTCGTCATCCAACAAGACATGGCCAGCCGCCAGCCCGTAGAGTTTGGTGTCTCCGGACGGCAAGACTGCCGCCAAGATGCCGCCGAATGTACACCTCTTCCTGTCACCGGATGGCAGGCAGGCTGTTATGGGCGCTCCGCAATATGTGTCGGCTGTGTAATATTTACCCCCTTGGATGATGGGAAGCAAGACATTGATGTCATCACCTGCCCACTTCATCTCCAGTGGTCGGCCGATAACAAAGACCTCAAACAAGGGCAGGCCTTCATCTGCGGGACGACACAGAGCCCCAACCGAGTCCTTGTAAAAAAATTTCCTCACCACCTTCGCCTGCTGGCCCGAACACAGGATAACGATGCAAGGCTTCGCGGTCTCCTCGGAGCTCCCAAGGACCATCAATCTCACGGCCATCGGGCGGTACTTCTCCCTCGGTCGCTTGCGGCGGACGTAGTTCAACAGCGGATGTTCTATCTGCCTGTGGACGTCCTGGAAGCGAGACAGAGTTGCATCGTCGACGGCCTTGTCGAACTCGGCAAGGTGGGCGAGAGGTGCGAGGAGCGGTCGTCCCTTGCTCTCATTGATGGTGCTTTGCGGGGGCTTACTCGACTGCGCATCCGGGGATCCATATTGACTCCCGTATCCCGGATCTGGCATATTGTCCGTAAACTGGGGGTTCATGGGGGTCTGTCTTGCCCACGGCGATACTTGTTGGGCGGGCACAGCGTCGACGGTCATTGTCAAGTTGAGCGGGACGCGAAGGGTAGACGCCTGGTTTTGTCTGCTTAAAGCTACGAATATGCTGGGCGTTGTGCATAGCTAACGGTATAACGGCTGAGCCAGTGCTACATTCGCTATGCATCTGATCGTCGCGTCTCTATTGGCTTCTGTCCAAACAACCCGGAGCGCTGCCTCGCCCGGCTAAGGCGGCTGAGCAGTCCCGGTTGTCTGCCTTAATACCTATATTTAAAATCTCCGACGCCCACAGAAGGTTTTGTCAGTAGTTCTACCCCTCCCCCCTGACGCCTTTCCGTGGCTTCCAGCATGTTGGAATCTCCATACCCACTCCAAGGCATCACCGACGCTGACTTACAGAGGCTCACGGAGGCGCTTTGGGACTGGTACATCTGCGAAGCCTGTCAGAGCGGCGCGGAATGTATCATGGCCCGCTGCGCATGGAAGCGCTCAGCCCGGTTGGGGCGCTTCTTCGACTTTTACAAGGACATCACAACCTCTTATGTGCCCGACTTATTGCCATGCAGCGAGCCGGCTCTCCGCAGGCATGAGGACATTATTGGCACTATCCTACTTCTCAGGGAGAAACCAAGCTCGAAGCGTTCCGAACTGACGCACGAGTGCTTCTCCCGACGCGACGCCAAGCCGCCCTCACTGGCGGACCAGCATCGGGCTGTTAATCTCATCGTACAGGTCATGGCCATGGTCAAGTGCTCGGCCGAAAACCAACCCTTGGGTGTTCTCGAGCTTGGAACACAGCCGCTGCTATGGCGCACGGATAAATCGCTAGCCGAATTCATGTCGAGCGCCTCTCCGCAGTCTGACAATGTCAATCTCTGCGTACACGACGACCTAAGTAAGGTTAGGGACGTGAAATCGGCTCTCTCGGCGGCAAGGCTGAGAAAAGTGGCCGGGCTAAAGTTCCAGGGGACTGATGACTTGAGAAACCATCTTCGAATAGACGGCCGCAGAGGCGTCGTGGAAATTTACCATTACACCAGCGTCTTGAAGGAGCATCTGGTGGCGTCGCGGCCTGATGATGGTACTGCTACATTTGAGCAATCCATCTCCAAGTTAGATTTATATCCGACAACCGATTTCTTTTTGGCGGAACTGCCGACCGTTTAGCCTCAGGGGCAACATCCCGAGACAGGTTGCGTTAGAAGCCCTAGATTCGGTGCAAAAGATACTCTTTCCTTTCGACTCTGATTCCGAGTGTTTCCTCCGCGAACTAGTGTCGAAGCAATCTTTCGACCCCGATTGCCTGCGATACGACTCGACCGGATATCGGATGCAAGCTGAACAAGAGATATGCTACAAGTACTTTAGCCGTCGGCTTATGGACCTCTTTGAGGAGCTTGAGAACCCTAACCCTCGGGGAATCCTTGAGAAGTGGTTTCAGCGCAAGAGCGGAGCGCGCTATATGATGATGGCGACACTTGTTGGCGTCCTTTTTGCCGTTATCCTCGGTATGCTTGGGCTCGCTGTTGGGATATTCCAGGCATGGGTTGCGTACCACGCTTGGAAATATCCGCCCGTGGCCGCGCCTAGAAGAATATTATATGTCTGTAAAACTTAGTGCGACAGATTCGCGAGCGACCTCGGCGGAGAGGCAAAGAGGACAAAGGTGGACTTTGAAATATATCGAACGCAGAATACTGATTCGCAGTATAAAGGAAACATGGCAATTTTTCGGGAAAGATTTCCGGCCGATTGCAAACAAAGAAAAATCAAGTAAAGAAGGCAAAGGCAGAGCCTGGTAACTAGGATAAAAGCTCTTGTTCTGTTGCTTCCGTAGTAATCTAAGGAGCTGTTTATCTTAGGTAAGTGACAAGTCAAAACAGCAATTCAGAATAAAAAGGAGCTATATATGTAGTAGCTTAGAATAAAGAAGGTCTATGCATGAACTTGGAATAAGGTCTATGCTGCAGGATGGAAAGGTTTATGCTGTAGAGTAGAAATGTATATGCTCAAGTACGTCTATAAAATACGTCGAACAGCTGTTAAGTTGCCAAGGCAATGGGCTTAACGGCTGAATATCCAGCCCGAAGGCTGAACATCGTATACCTGCAATTCGGCTTTCCCAAGGAGGGCCCCTAGAAACCCCCCTTTCGCCTGCAGCGGCCAACCAGCTATTTAAAACGCTTCCTAGCAGGCCCAGTCTAGCTATATACCCTATACCTCACCGCCCCTTTCCTGTAGCTTAGGGAAGACGACGTTTAGTCAAGATAAAGTGGTGGATACGGCGCATCGGTAAGCTGTTGAGCCTGACGGCGTTTTTGGTCAGCGAGGCGCATCTTCATCCCTATCTCATAGTTAGCCGTGAATGCAATACGTAGGAAATGCGCATAACCTTCCGTCGGCGCGTGGTTATAGAGGCTCTGACGATCGAAAGGCGCCTCAAGGGTAAGCCTTGCAGCGACGTAACCCGTGATACAGCAACATAGCTAATACCGGCCTGGAAGTCGCGTGAAGCGAGGTCAGTAACTATTTGATCCTTCGTTAGGCTCTGGCATTTGTGAACAGTGATAGCAAAAGCCACCGTCAGGAAACTGCGTGCGAGCGCAGGTCTCGTTGCCCACTAGGAAATCACGCCTGACTGGGAGGATGGGTGAGATTTTCCTGCCCTCATTAGTTGTTAGATATGACGGTCCGTCGTAGCTGTCAAAGTCCACCATGATAACGGCTGGGGGGTCTTCCAATGGGTCGGCGCCTGCGTTCCAGGCGATATCGTATACAGTACCCTGAGCACCGTTAACTAGGCCAGCTGGCTGCCATAGGTTAGTAGTGAGCATTACCCTGGCGCCCTTGGCAACAGGGAACTTGTTAGATAGATTGCCAGCATTGTCGCTTGGTGCCTGTCCCGCGCCCTTGCCCTGATTCTTTGCCTCCACCTGTATTGCCGGGGCGTTGAGGTGCACCATATGCTCGTGGTTGTATTCGTTGACCCGGGCCTTTGTAGAATACACCCGCAAAGCGGTACTGAAGCTGTCAACCTCACCCTGCATTAGCCTAGCCTGTACCCGATTACTAAGGAGGTTCCAGGACGTTATAGACAACTTGACTTCACGCAGTTCCTGCAACGCCTGACGGAACTGGGCCTGATCATCGCCAACCTGGCGCTGTACCGTGATCAGGAAGACAGTGCGGTCAAACAACCGGTAGGCTACCTGCCCTTTCCTTTCCAACGAGGACAGGCCGGTTCTCGTCGAATACAGGGCTTTTGCCGGACTGGTGGCAACTGGAAGAAATCGCCCACAAGCAAGACGCTCACACCACCAAAGAACTCGACTTTGCGCTGTGGAAAGGCCTGTCGCAAACGGGAATCGATCCGCGCGAGCTGCTCAAGCCCTAGCATGCTCTTTTCATCGATAACGAGGTATTTCACGTGCCGTAGGCGGGACTGAAGGGCGGCTGCGTCGGTTGGGGAAGGTCGGTAAAGGACCACCCACAGGAGGCGTAGCAACGAATGAATAGTGCTACCCTGTATCTGGTTACTCGCAACGCCTGTTGGCGCCACGCGGCAAATTGGGCTAGGATTCGGTAGGGCGGCTGCCTGAAGATGGGAGGAAAGCACCTTGATAAGGAATGACTTGCCTGTGCCACCACCACCATCAACGTGAAGAAGGATTTGAGTAGGATTTTGCGCCTGGAAGTGACCTATGAATGTGTCGTACACGAGCCGTTGTTGTGGGTTCAGCTCATCACGCCAGTGAGGGCCAAGGACCTCCACATTGTTGGCTACGGGGTGGCTAGCGATAAGGTCTTTCCAGTAGCCATCTCGAAGCTCCGGATAAGTACCCACATGCCGGGACCAGTCGTAATTGACGTCGATATCGCGGTGGCCAAGTATGTAAAGGTCTTCCTGGGTAAGGGGTGGTCAGGTAAAGGGCAGCCAGGCGAATCCAGTCTTCGTCATCAAATTCTTCCTCCACAGGCAGAGCCTCGTATTGATCCTCTTGAGGCTGTAATCGAGCCTCACTTGGCTGGCCGTAATGGTCATCATCGTGACTGTGATGCTGCCAACAATAGGAGAAGGCCTGAACGTGGGAACTAAAAAGCTGGCCGTCGAAAGTGAGGAGCTCATCGAGCCGGCGATGTGGGTGATTTAAAGTCAGCTTTACACGGCAGTAGTCTGGCCACTGCTGGCCTTCTGGATCAGCCTGATAGCGAGGAAAGTAAACCAACACACGGGGCCTGCCGTGGACGTTGCCTGGCTGCCATTGCTTCCACTTGGAAGGGTCTCTAGAGCGGAAATTCCAGAATTTGAGGAAGGAGACGTAAGTGAGGTCCGTTAGAGCTTCTGGGCGTTGACTGTACTTCTCGTAGACGTTGGGTGCCTCATCAACCTCATCGCCGTCAATGCGGAGGTAGCGGGAATGCCTATCAGAATTACGGCAGTCAACGTATAGGCAGGTACGTGAACCCTCCTGTAACGGCAGGCCGAGGAGCAAGTGGCAAACCTCCTGCTTCGAGTAATCCCGCTCAGAAACTAGCTGATTTAGTAGCTTTGACGTAAAGGAAATCAGGGGGTTGTGGTCCTTAACCCGGGGCATCAGGGCCTTCCCAATCTGGGCAAAAGAATCGCTCTTCTTTTCTGACTTGGAGCAGTATTTTGCTGCGTAGTCGATCACCTGCTGTAGACTCGTGCAGGGCGAGACATCTGTATTGGCTAGCCACGCAACGGTAAGCAAGCGGTTATAGTGGTTAATCTGGCCATCGTTCCGCGCGCCCCTAAAGCTCCAGTGCTTAGAGTGAGGAGCCTTGTCAAGGGAGGCTAGTAGGCGCTGGCCGTGAGGAAATCCGAAGCGGCACTCCATCTGCTTGGTATGCTTGCTGAGGTGCATACAGTAGTTGTTACAGTGGTGGCGTTGCACGCGGTTGACTATCATCGATAGGAATTGAACGGTAAGGGTGTTGCAACAGATTAATGATCAGAGGTTTCCTTCTCCGGGTGCCTGTATGCGCCGAGGCTCCGGGTTGATAGCAGATATGTAATATCCCCAGATACGGGCGAATCGCTCTCGGGACCGATCATTGTCAGGATCCAAGTCTGGGTGGCCACTTAGCCAATATAGGCCATGGTGGTGACTGGAACCCCTGCCCTGCCACTCGTACCGACCCCAAAAGTCCGTTAGGTTGAACTTCCGCTTCAGGACAATAGCCTAAGCAATGTATAGCGCTTATGGAAGTGGTAAGCGGCGATGTGGGCGTTGTCTCGCAGCAGTTGCCGGGACAGAGCAATCCGCGCCGCCTCGGGAGCTGCTTGCCACTCGTCGAATCGAGGCATATGACGGTATAGGGATTCCCAGTGGTAATCAGCTGCACTTACAGTAGCGAAGAGGCCGGGCCTGCCTAGATTATAGGCATATGCTTCCAACTCCTTCCTTTGCTTATACCAATACGGTCGGGTTCCCTGATTACCGCTGCTTGGCGCGTGATCGACTGGATCAGGGCCTGAGCCTCCGGCTCGTCAGGCTCAGCCATCGCCTCCTCTAGGTCAGCGCGTGTAAGGGGTTGGCGGCGGCTGTCGCGTTGCCTGACAAAGTAGTCACTTCGCTTTCGGACCTGCGCGCGTAACAGCGTGTTGAGGGCGACGAAAGGCCACGTCTTATGGCGGGCAAAACGTCCATCACGCCATCTCATCGCATGGCCAAGGTAGTCCTGGTACGTGATGCTCCGTAGGCGAGGCTCCACGAAGTCGGCCTTGCCGTCAGGGTAGAGGGTGGGAACGCGAGCGTTAACAGCGGCTGGGAACGGTTGAACTCGTTGATGGGGGTCCTGCGAATGGAAGGCAATGGCATCTGGTGGTGAGCCTGCGCGCTACGCGGCATGTACTCCAGATCAGCCATACGCTCAGGGTCAGGGGTACCGTTGAGAAATCTAGACTGCAAGGCGTTCAATTCGGTATCGGTAACCTGCAAATTCGGGATCGCTGATGCGTCGGCATCGCTAGGATCCTCATCCATAGCCTCCTCAACGGGGCCTTGGGGGACCTCGCCGTCAGGTATGTCAGCCACTTGGCTTGCAATGGAACCCACTATACTTCCATCAAGAGGAAGCCGGTGCAGGCGATCCTGGCTCACGACAATATCGCGATAGCCCGGGTGGTGGCACTGCAGGTAATGCAGCCAGGTCAATAGGCATGAACGGCGTACCCGGAAATCGCGAGCAAACTGTTGCTGGAAGTGAGGGTCGCCTTCCATATTAGGAGGCCGTAGGAGCACGATATCTAGCTCCTGCGGTAGCACTGGGAGCTCTTCAAATAGCCTACCAACGTTGCGAAGAAAGTGGACAACGTGGCCTCGATATTTGTATTGAGCGCCGCGCACTTGTAGGACCTTGACGTGTACGTGAACCCTAGCAATGAGCATCTCCTCGACCATCGTTAGATCAGGTAGATTGCCGGGACTTCCCGAAGTCAAGGTTATTCGCGGCGCTAAAGTAGGGCTCGTTAGGGCTTTCTTCCTGTCTCGACCGATGCAGCGGCTGCATATTTTAAGCGGTTTGGCTTCATATCAAACCAACGCTCCTGGCAGCGAGTGCAACTGTGCATCTTGTCGTCATTCAGGGCGGTATAGAACTCCCGCACAAGGGCCTGATCTTCCTCATTGAGGGCAGGCAAGTTAAGGTCACCTGTAAAAGGCGGATCAATACTCTGATCAAACAGTCGCACTTGAGGCTGTGTGCCTTGACGAGTATACCGGCCGCGGTGATGACCCTGTGGCAATAATGAAGGAGTGGTAGGAAGCGATTCCTGTGGTATAGGAGTGCCTTGCACAACAGGAGCTGTAGAAGCACTGTCTTGAATCGGCGTGCCCAGAACTACTGTTGGCAGGCCAGGGTAGGGGATAGGGAAAGTCCTCGACAATGCTTGGGGTAGAAGGCCTCAGCGGAGGTCTAAGCATTCTCGAGGGCGCGGGCACCAGGCAACGGAGTAAATCAGGCGTCGTAGGCCGTAAGCCGTTCGCAGACGCAGGTATTGGTGCAGTCCGCCTTGGAGGCGTCAGGTTAGCTACTGCGTCGGTCCTCTTCGTGGCTCTGCGTGGCGATGGCCTCGAGGCGATATTCCGCATGGCGGCAAGGACGGCTCGGGATTCGGTTATCCGCTCCTTCGGCGTGCCCTACAGTTGGCACACTCTCTTGTAAACTTTGTAGGGTCCTTGACGCTTCGAAACTCGACTTCGGGCAGGTCTTGCTTGCAAGTACGACAGTTGCGGACTGCCGGGGTGTATCGTTCTCCATCTGACCGTATATATATCCACCTCTTATCCACTTTGACTGCTAGATATCGCTCGGGCAGGAGGCTTTGCGAGGGCTTGGTGATGCTAGCAGAGCTGTCTGACGGTTGAGAGGTCCGAGACCGTGGTGGAGCTCGATAGGGAGAGTGTCTTTGAGGTAGTCGGCTCAGATCTGAATGATCTGGGAGGAAACTGCACTACCTGCCCGGGTAGGCCGGCTGCGGATGTGATTTGCGAACCTAGACACCGTTAGCAACTCGATGGGTTCGACAGATTCGACGGGAAAGGGAAGTAGAAGCGTGCGTATAAACCAACAAATTGATTGCGTTGAAGAAAAGAACAACTGAAAGCTGTCGGCGAGCTCTCCGAGAGCTCGCTAGTTACCTAGTCAACGCTCAGGGGTTTGTGGTGGGCCTTCATTTGGTGGCGTTATCAGCCGACCAATTCGTTCACGAGTTGAGGACAGGGGAGGCCAAGTAGCCAATCAGAACAGGGTTTATGCTCTTCTTTTTGACTGAATAAACGCCCTTCGGGCTGAATTATTGTCACGGTGCTGTGCCGCACAGACAGCAACGGCTGCACCGTGTGGCTAACTCAAGCACATCCTGTATACTCCACTCGCATAGTCGGGGGAGATGTTGTACAGCTGCGCGATGTATTTGACATGTTACATTGTAGTTGAGAGGCACGAGCGCGGAATACACGCATGTTGCTTCCTCGTCAAAAACGCACCGTGATCTCGGAGTAATTGAAGCGTGCTAGCCACTTGGCAGTGTTCTTGCGGGCGTTCTTCTTCTCCTCATCCGACATGACTCTCGACCAAAGCTCCCTGGCCTGTTCGTAGTCATTCTTATTTCCCTCGTGCCAAAAAGTGACTTTTCCTGCTGGCGGTAGCATCTTAATCGCCGTATGGCGCTTCCGCCACATCCGGTCGGAACTTGTATGCGAAGCTGTTCGGGGTATATTGCTTGTGCCCGCGGGGTTGGCGCCTACGTGTTGTTGCCCGTCAAAGATGAGGGACGTGTATGACTTGGTCATGAAGGGACAATTAAACGAGACTTTGTGCAGATTGACCCCGATTCGGTGGTATTAGGCGCGTCGGTAAAAGAATATGGGGAACTAAAGCAGTAGGTCAGGCGAATCTTCGATGCTAGGTAGTTACTATTGAGCCGGGGGAGAAAGCGGCTTATTCCATATCGCGATGGACATTTTCTAGGTTCTTGTTGAGAACGAGCCTGTCAAACTCGCGCATAGAAAACTGATTCCGCGGCCAAACTTTTGTTACGTTAAAGGGATCGAAGGCAAGATCTTCGGAGCTCGTCTCACGAGGGTTTATGACCTGGATGTAGGCGATCTATATAGTCTTTTCGCCCTGTTCAATGCCATTTTAGAGGGCGCGCTTCGAGTAGTCGGGGTCCTTACCGCATATACGGACGGCCTTATCTTGTATAAACTGCTTCTGGCTGTGATTGGCAATAAAGTGGTACTTGACGTGGACAAACTCTCCTTTCTTGTTTACCCACCTGAAAGTACGGCAGCTATAGCCGTGATTAAAGCGCCACCCCTGCGGTGTGCCGTGGTCACCGAAGAATATCAGTCCGGCGCGGTTTGCCTCTGGGCGTTGGCCAGGAGGTCGAACAAGGCGTCATGATCAAACAGAAAGCTGCTCGGGTTTCCGCATTGCGAGCGAATGATGTCCGGTCCTTGAATAGGTCTCTGCAGAAAAAGACGGGCTACTCTCGTCAGCTCGTTGCTTTGGAAGGGGACAGCAGAAAAGCTCACAAAGTTGAGCCCAGGACGCTGACGGGCAGTTGGCACTGCTGGTTGATAGCGCGGCCACGCTTGCGAGATGGCTGATGTCACACCATGTCATGTACTACCAGAATGTCTTAGCCACCGCGAAATGATTCATTGCAGCTCAATGATGTACGGTCCCTGGTCCTAAGGAGTTGGAGTTGTGGATTGAGAGCCAGAATCCGGCGAACCCCTGGCCGGTGCGGCCAGGCTTCCATCGATTTGCATCACTTTGATGGTCGATCGTTCTGCCAGCGCATGATCCTAAAATTCTACGAAAAGTGATTGGTTCATGGTGCATGGAGGCTTCAACCGCTGTTCAACCATGCCCGGGCGTCGACATGAGCCGGAGCAAAACCTCCTAGCCGTACGTGCAGTACGCTGAAGCGGCGTGGAGTCCCACGTTCACAATACGCATAGCGGACGTAACCACGCATGTCATCATGGCCTCATGGGGGCTTTCATGTTTAATCCAGACCACGAAAAGCCGCAAGGGGTCCATTGACTCGGCGGCGTAAACACAAACATCACGTTCATAATGCAGAGTTATCTACTTGATGCTCCTCTGAACACGATGCCTGAATACATGAACAGTGCTCTTGAAGAACTGTCATTGCTGGATCTAATTATTTCACCAAAAGGAAGGACACCTAAGATAATCTATTGGTGGTTCCGTTTGGTCCTCTTGCTCGGCCTCACGTCACTCTGATACATGCGGAAGAACTCTTCAGGCTCCGTCGGATGCTCGCCGGTGACGTCGTGGAAAGCCGTGGTAGCAATGTAGTTGGTCTTGCCCTCGCGCACCAGGCTGTAGTACTCAAGGAGATACTGCTGCTCCGACTCATCACTCTCGGACTGAGACTTAAGAACCTTCTTGGCCTCAGCCCTACGAGCCAGAACGTTAGCCTGCCATTCAAAATCGGGTTTCTCGAAAATGATCAACGTACTCTGAAATGTCTTCAAACTCCATCTCCGTGCCGAGGGCTTTGCTTGCTGCTGTGGCTAGCTCGTTTCCTGCGCAAAGCATCGGGCCTGTGTTGCTCATGTCAGTGGCAGAGTTCATGAGTGGCGAGACCTTGACCTGCCTGTAACGACCATCATTTGCCCCCGATGTCTGTCGTCAAAGCCATGTTTCCCTTTGCCCGTGAGGACGTGAGCGGCGACTTGGGCAATATCCTGGTCGATGATTAGCTGCAAAGGAGGTCCGCACGAAAGGGGGGAAGATCATACACCCAGAGCCACGGGCGCAAACTTGTGATTGCTGCCAATCGGCAAGGGGAGAACGCCCTCCTCTTTTGCCTGAGGGGCATATAGAAGCAAGTTTTCCGCATAGAATCCCGCCCTGATGGTCCCTGTAAGCAACAATCCTCTGCCAAGCCGTCCGCTTCAGCCTCACCGAATGACGCAGGGAGATCCACCAGTGGGGGTGCTGGCATCGCCCTTGGCTGCGAGAACGAGGGCTTCCAGGTCGATGAATTCTCTAATTCGGGGCTGCTTCTTTGGATCGGCGTAGTCGCACCCAGCCGAGCTTATGAGACACACGTTCGTAATGCCTGCCTTCTTTGCGGCAGCCACCAGCTCCGCGCAAATGTCAAACTTGTCGCGGTGGGCTGGCGGAACAAGGCAGATGGCATCGCAGCCAGAATCTTGGAGGGTCTTGGCCATGTGCCGGACCCGACCTGGTACGTGGTGGACAATCGACGCTCCGAGACGCTTGAGCTCCTGTGCTCGCTCGGACTTGGGATCGAGCGCGAGACCAACAACGGAGTCGACTTTGGGTGCAAAGTCTTGGTGCTTGAGGATGAGCTCGGCAATGAGGAAGCCAGTATGGCCGTCGGCCGCGGTGACGAGAACCTTGCGCGACATGACTGCTGTGAACGGTGCGAATGGAACTGGGCTTTGGCTCTCGCTCTGGACACCCCGTGTGGTGGGCAATCTAGAGTAAGAACGAACGAGGCTTTTATAAGAGGCTCGACCAAAACGAAGATCCGCACAGCTTCTGCAACTGGCTGCGAAATCGCCCTTGGGTTCCTTGATGCAGCCCTGCAATGAGCCGTGCGTTGTTTGGCGTAGTGAATGCGCGCCTCAGCCCGGAGCAAACAACCCGACGCCGTGATGCATGACACGAGAATGACGATGGCCCTCTCAGCCGTCAGGGGTCAGTTCGCCTCACGCGCACCGACTCCAAACTTGACTGCCGCCCTGAAAGTACGTGTAACCAACCGAGGCAGTTTCCGATTGGTACGCCAGTACAAACACCACACCGTCTTTTCGGTGCTCACTCAGTCTCTGGGATTATGCATTCGGTCCGTGATTCTTAAAAGAAGTTATGCCGGGCTAGGAATGGAAGAAGTCTTCAAACTTGGTGTGCGTCGCTAGTCTACTTACGCTCCCCCCTCTTTAGTCAAGTTTGGAGGCCCTTTACCCGATGGAATTCCGAGAACCACTGTCTGTAGGATGCCGGCTTCGTCACTACAAGGTTGTCTGAGCAGCATGATACTTGCGTGCTTTGCATTCCATCGCGAATGGAGTGTACAAAAAAACTTGGACGGCTTGGGGGTACGAGTCGTTTCCAGAGTACAACGCGTAGAGGGCTCTGGAACACTTTAGGCAGGGATCCATGACGCTTCCAAGAAAATAGACCGAACTCAATGTCACAGAACAGATTGAGCAGCGCTATCCGAGGTGAGGTCCTTGCAAGTACCTCGTGGTAATCATGGTCTTTTGACGGAGATTCAGAGCAAGGGCGCCTGATCAATCCACTTACCAGAAATGGGGTGGCGGGGCTCCCTTCCACCAATGGCATTACACGGCGGCTAGGCCTCTATTCCGGCTCGCAACGGATCGAGCTGTCATGGCTGTTGAGGAGTAGAAAAGATGGATATTCGAAGCTGCCAGCGGACAGGCAGACGCAGTGGCTAGCCAAGAGAAGCTGCAATTCCTCTCTGAAGAGCTGTCGGTCGCTCCCAAGAGACGATTGACGGCTCGAAAAGAAAGCAAAGCTTTGCCTCGGGTCATGCTGGCGCGGACCCTGGCTAGCGATGGCGACATGTCCCTCTTACTCGCTTGGGTTCCTCCAAGATTGGCTGACAACTGCGCGATGTAGCCAAAATTGGTCACGCCGCTGTTTCTGGCTTGCCCTGGCCGTCTCGCTGCTGCCGTGCTCAGTCGCCGTTGGCCGTTTGAGGGTAACACGAGCCACTTGGCGAAGGGAAAGACGAGCAAGAGTTTTTTTTCGGTTCAAGCCGACAAGACTCGATAGCCATGCCTTGAAGTGGCAGACGAACTTGCAGGGCAGTGGCGGACCGAGGTCTCATCCACGACGATATGACAGACAGGCCTGACAACGCTCACTCGAGGCTTTGAAACGAAAACTGGAGATGGACAGAGTCATCCTTTGAGTGCCGACACGAGAGGTGAGGTGAAAGTTTGCTGGCGGACAGACGCTTCAATTAAGGAAGGCGGTCAGTCGCGCGTTGGCTTGCCCCGCGTTCTGGCAGAATTCCATCAGGGTGACGGTCAACAGGAGCAATTCTGTCACGGTCAAGGCGGGAAACAGGCTGCGTCCAGAATGTCTTCGAGTCGGTGGCTTGCTCTGCCCCAGCAAAATGCGCTGTTGTTGGTCCTGCGGGGGCCCGCCAAAACATTTTTCCCTGCCGGCGGGCACCTCCATGGCATTCAAAGTCGGGCATCCAAACCTCGTCTGCTCGTCTGCCTTCCGACTGCACCATTATCTCTCGACTTTCGCCGCCGCTTCATCTCTGTGTCTCCTCCATCTACGAGCACCATGTCTGAAATCACGCACCCCACAATCAAGGGTGAGTCTACTGACCGGGTTTTCTTTTCTTCCTTTCCCTCCCGGACACTGCCCCGCGCTTCCATCCGACGCTGCCCCTCCATGGACGAAACTGTCCTGCGAGAAAACGATTCAGAAACTACGCTCGCAGCGGCGCTGCGTTCCTTGTCGCTTACCGGTCTGCAATGGGCCTTGCTGCGGGCGTCATTTCCCTCAATTGCCCATTGCCGTCAATCCTGTCCTGAAGGCGGAGTGGGGAAAAGTTTTCACCCTCGCATGCCGTAAACTGAGCCCAACAAAAATTTGACATGAAAGGGCCAAGGACAGAAGCGCGCCAAGGACCAATTCCTTCTCAGTTCTGGCTAACTGACGCATTATCTAGATGGATGGTTCCGGGAAATCTCCGACATGTGGCCAGGTAACCCGTCCTCGCTCACCTCCAACCCCCCGATCCAAGAGCTCATCATGTCCGCTTCCAACAGGCCAGGCCATGACCCTCAAGGTCGACAAGGTCCTGCACCATGAGAAGAGCCAGTACCAGGACGTCCTCATTTTCAAGTCCACCCATCACGGCACTGTCCTCGTTCTCGACAATGTCATCCAGTGCACCGAGCGCGATGAGTTTTCTTACCAGGAGATGATCACCCACCTGGCCATGAACTCTCATCCCAACCCCAAGAAGGTTCTCGTCATTGGTGGCGGTGACGGCGGCGTCCTCCGCGAGGTCGTCAAGCACGACTGCGTTGAAGAGGCCATTCTCTGCGACATTGATGAGGTATGCACGTCTCCGTGACTCCAACATTGATCGATTGATTGCTCAACCCTCCACTAGGCCGTCATTCGCCTTTCCAAGCAGTTCCTCCCCAAGATGGCCGAGGGCCTCACCCACGCCAAGAGCACTGTCCACATTGGCGACGGCTTCAAGTTCCTTGAGGAGTACAAGAACACCTTCGACGTCATCATTACCGACTCTTCTGACCCCGATGGCCCTGCCGAGAGCCTCTTCAAGAAGCCCTACTTCCAGCTTCTCCACGACGCCCTGCGCCAAGGCGGCGTCATCACCACGCAAGGTTGTACGTCTCAGTTTTTCTCCTGTGGAAAGTAGAGCGGTCTCTAGGATCAGCAGCGTGCGGAGGTTTGAGCCACCGCTCTGACTGTCATCGGCTTTCTCATATGCCCCCAATCCTAGGGACTGCCCGAGGCCAGTGCCGCTTCCCACAGGCCTGTTCTCGGTAGTTCCGTCTTGCGTGCTGCATCAGCGCGGGTTGGTTTTGATACTGGAGCCACTTCCGTGCTCCAGCCTCTCCTCGAGTTTCTCATCGAGTGGACAAGGAACATCTGACGCTAATTTGGCCAAACATAGCTGAGAACCAATGGCTGCACTTGGAACTCATCACCAAGCTCAAGAAGGACTGCAAGGAGATCTTCCCGGTGGCCGAGTACGCCTACACCACCATTCCCACCTACCCTTCGGGACAGATTGGCTTCATGGTCTGCTGCAAGGACGCCAGCCGCGACGTCAAGGTGCCGCTCCGTCGGTGGACCGTCGAGGAAGAGGAGGAGAAGTGCCGGTACTACAGCGCCGAGATTCACAAGGCCAGCTTCGTCCTTCCCAACTTTGCCAAGAAAGCTCTGCAATAAGAGGCGTCGCAGAGGCAAACGTGTATCTGGAAAGGAAAAGAGGACAACAAACTGGCAGGCGCTCAAAATGGGAGTTGCAATTGAAGTTCTTGACCAGATCGCTCCGTCAAAGATTGCATGGACACTGGTCATGTACCTTATACATGTATGCGCACGCAGAGGCTGCACGCCCTCGTCGACTAGGACCGATGGTCAAGGCGAGGTTAGGAGGCAAGAGATACCATGCCATGACAAGGAATGTTTGGCTCCGCGCGACCTCGGACTTGCTGGCGGAATGCTCAGCTGCGCGTGACGTCACGCGTTGTCGCTCTAGTCGCTTCCAAGCCCCCCTTGGACACGGCCAGATTCAGGGCGTGACCTAAGATTTTGGCTCCTCAAATTGAATCTTGCCCTTGCTCACGTCCGGATAGACGTCGAATCTCCGCTGCGTGTTGAGCGGGATATTCTTCCTTGCCTCGGCAATCACGGCCCCGTCGAGCTCACAGTCGATAATGGCCTCCTTGTCCTCGGCTTCGACGAGCACGTTTGCCATGGGATCAACCACCATGCTGTGGCCCCAGGCGTGGTAGGTGGCGGCCATGTCGCGGGCGGGGCTGCACATGACGACGTAGAGCTGGTTATCGACGGCGCGGGCGCGGGCGAGCAACTTCCAGTGCAAGGGGCCGGTAGTGAGGTTAAAGGCGCCCGGGTAGACGAGGGCAAAGGCGCCGTTGCGGGCGGCGATGGTGGCGAGCTCGGGGAAGCGCACGTCGTAGCAGATGGCGACGGCCAAGGTGCCGTACTCGGGGAGATGGACGAGGGCGATGCGGTTGCCCGGGCTGAGGACGTCGGACTCGCGAAAGGTGATTTTGCCGGGTATGTCGATGTCGAAGAGGTGGACCTTGCGGAAGGAGTCGAGCAGCTTCCCATCGGGCCCGAAGATGAGGCTCGTGTTGTAGTACTTGCCCGTCGCCGAATCACGTTCGGGAATGGAGCCGCCGACAAGGTATACGCGGTTGGCCGAGGCCATGTCGGCGAGGGCGTGAAACGAAGGCGCCTGCTCAGCCGACGGCGTGCCGCTGCCCGCCGCCGACGAGGACGGGCGCAGATCCTCAGCGTAGTCGGGGAAGTAGGTGCATCCGTACGGCGAGTTGAAGCACTCGGGCAGGACGACAATCTTGGAGCCGGCCCGGGCGGCCTCTGCGACGCGCGAGGCGGCGTGGGCGAGGTTGGCCGGCTTGTCGCGCCCGGCGGCGAGCTGCACGCACGCGAGCTTGACTGGCTGCTTGAGCACGGCCGAGGCCATGGTGCGGACCGAGGTGCGAGATTTGGAACTGTGACGGGGGACCACGGCGCGTCGGGTTGAGAGGCTGATGAAGCGGCCGGAGAGCAACGGCCGCATCGTCCGGGAGCTGTTGTGAATAGTGGGAGAGGAAGGGTTGGGGAGCTCTGAGGCACGCGAACAGTACAGCCGATGCGGGATCCCGAGTGCGGGGGCTTCTATAGTGCCATCAGGCGGGGCTTAGAGATGGGAGCGGGGCACCGGCACGGCACCACGCGACTCTGCCCGCCTTGCCTCCCAAACCAATCTCACCCGCACCTACTCCGTATCTATCCTTCATGATGGCTTGGAAGCTGGGGAGTCGGCGACCTCCGCCTCGCATACAAGAAGCCCGGACAATCCATCTCGGCACAAGCCGCCCAAGCCTTTCACCAGCCATACCTTGAACCCCCCCGACCCCCCATCCACACCATCAAGGACCCCATCACCCGAAGCCCCCCCCCCCAAAAAAAAGCCACGATGCCCTCGCCCGGCCTCACGCCCTCGCAGCGCTCCGCCTTTGCCCGCGACGGCTACCTCATCATCCCCGGCGCCCTGCCGCCCGCGACCGTATCCTCGCTCCTCGGCGAGACGCACCACCTGCTGTCCTCGTTCTCGCTCGCCGACCACCCGCTCACGCGCTTCTCCACGGGCCAGCGCTCCGCCCACGTCGGCGACGACTACTTCCTCGCCTCGGGCGACAAGATCCGCTTCTTCTTCGAGGAGGATGCCTTTGACGCCGCCGGCCGCCTTGTTCGCGACAAGCACCGCGCCGTGAATAAGATTGGCCATGCCCTGCATGCGCTGAGCCCGCCTTTTCGCGCTCTCTTGCGCCCGGAAGACGGCGAGGGAGCGGAACAGGCGACGACCGGGGTAAGCCCCGCCGCCGTGGCGCGCGACCTCGGCTTCCGCGACCCGCGCGTTCTTCAGAGCATGGTCATCTGCAAACAGCCCGAAATCGGCGGCGCCGTGCCCCCGCACCAGGACTCGACCTTTCTCTTCACCGACCCGCCCTCGGCCGTCGGCTTCTGGTACGCCCTCGAAGACGCCACCCTCGCCAACGGCTGCCTCAGCTTCCTCCCCGGCTCCCACCGCTGGGCCCCCATCACCAAGCGCCTCGTCCGCAAGACCGGCCCCGACTCCCCCGGCACCGAAATGGTCGACAACGACGGACCGCTCTTCCCGGCCGGCCACGACCCGCAGGGCGCGCAGCCTCCCGCCGCCGACGTCGGCGATGGTGCCTATGTGCCTGGGGAGGTCAAGGCTGGTGACCTGGTGCTTATCCATGGCAACCTTCTGCACAAGAGCGAGCGCAACACGAGCCAGAAGGGGAGAATCATCTACACCTTTCACATGATCGAGGCCGACGGCACCACCTATGACGAGAGGAATTGGCTGCAGCCGCCCGACGAGGGCTTCACTAAGCTTTTCACGTAGCTCCCATCATCTTAATTTGCGGAAAAGCAACTGTGCAGACGGGACGGGCATGCCGTCTCGAGGCCACGGCCGAGAAGCCGCCCTCGGAAGTCAGCCGGCTATACACAAAACGTCTATTACGGGTGGCGCGGCTAATCAACGTATATATCTAAGCGAGGTATCAAGTCCCGTGAGGGTGCTCAGCAACATGTCCCGGGTATCTAGCATCCGACTCAAGCTTGACCTAAGAATGCGAGCTCTCATAAACGTGTAACATCTGCATTCCCTTCCATCAATGTGCCCATGCAGCTCTTTCCCAGCCCGTTATCAGTCCTCGTCTTCGTCTGATGAGTCGTCATCGTCCGAGTCAAGCTCGCCCCCAGAGGACGATGAAGACGACGACGAACTGCTGGACGACTCGTAGCCTTCGGCAGATTGCGTATCCGCTTCGTCTTCGTCGTCGGACTCGTCCGATGAGCTGTCGCTGCTCGTATCCGACTCGCTCTCCGACCCTGACTCGGAGCTGCTGCTGTCGTCCAAGTTGACCCGGAGCTTCCTCCGCCGCTTCGGGGTCCCGTCGTTGAGTCTCGCTCTCTTGTCGCCGCTGGGGGCTAGCACTGGGTTGGTGTCGCTCGTGTCCACCGTCCCCGACGATTGCGTGGTTCGGCTGTCGTCCGTCTGCTCCCCGTCTGACAGCTCGTCGAGGACCAACTCTGCGCGCATGCGCTTCACAACCCGCCGGATAATGACGTCGACGTCTTGAGAGCTTTCGACAAAGCCGGCCTCGTCAAAGCTCTTTCTCTTCCGGCTCGGTGACCGTGTGTGCAGCAAGTCGGTGAGTAGCCTCTCGTAGCTGACCTGCTTAGCATCGAGGTCGACGGTGCCGGCCGGGAAGGCGGACGAGCGGTCCGACACGTCCTTGGTCCGGATCTCCATTGCAGTCTCTCGCAGCCTCGTTCGGACAAATCCCTTCAGGTCCCGGATGTAGTCATATAAAGTGTTGATGTCGGCGGTGGGGATTCCGTCGGCATCAAAGAGGTGTTTGATGAGGGCGGATTGGTGGTTCTTGTTGAACTTCCAGCTGTCGCGGGATGTCTTCCACAGGCGGAGGTACTCGAGCGCCGGCTTGAGATCAGTGGGGGCCACGGGTTTCTTCTTCTTCTCCGGGCCCTTGGGCTTCTTGTGCTGCTGACCAGGCTTGTCCTGAAGAGGTTTGTTGCTGTCGCCGGGCGCTTTCCCGTTCTTTGTCGGAGTGTCGCCAAACGAGACAGATTTGGGCTTTTGGGTAAATGGCGCATTCCTGTCTTTGTTCAGTCCCTCCCTTCGACTCCTTTTAATGTCGAGGGAGGACTCGGCGTCGAGTTTTCGCTTGATTGACTGCTGGGCGCCGCCTGGCTGCCCAACCACGGGGGTGCCGCCATTTGCGGGCTCGGATGCAGTAGGCTGCTTGAGCTTGAGGCCCAATCTCTTCCAGGCTGGCGTGTGCTGTGCGCCTGTGCGTGTGCCCTCTGTGGTCGACCTCATGTTGGGCTCGATTAGGCAGGTTTCTAGTCTTTCCGATTCGACGCCAGGGAGGAGGGAAGGAATTTTTCTTGTTGCCTCAACCTGGTTATCGGGTCGTCGCTTGAACTGCCGGGCGTGCTGCACGAGGGAGAAATGGATATTGAGAACAATTAAAAATAGATGCCTTGCCTCTGATGGGTCAACGGCCACTTTTCCCCTAGAGCAAGATTCGAGCACTGCTGCTGTCGTCGCTTGCTTGCTGACAAGGCTGCCGTCGAGCAACTTTTTCCCGTCCAGCTCGGGTTCCACCGGTTTGCGATGCTAGTGGGACCAGGACGGCCCGTGTGACGCCGTTCTCTGTTCTAATAAACCGGGGCAGCTCAGCGTCAAGTGCTGGACGGGCTAGCAGTGGTCCTCTAAGGCAGATGTGCACAAAGTCGTCGAGCGAGGCAAATCAGCTGCTGCAGAGACGCCGGTGCCGTGGCGGAAGGCGCAGCTGGTGAAACTCTTGTGACGTTGGATCCTGGATCGAGGCTGCTTGGACGCCAGATGTCGAAGGGAGATTGGGCAGCAGCCAGTGCGTTAACTGGTGGATCGTCATACAATTTCTTTTCGACACCGCCCTGCCGCCCAACCGCAGCTCTGGTTACGTAAGCCTGCTCTTCCTGGGTACTTTGTACCACTAAGTGCTGCCTCAGGCCCCCACAGAAGCTAGGCGAGGCATCAGCCCAGCCTTCTGGCATCCGCCAATCAGCTTCGGCTTCTAGCTCCAGGCAAGCTCCGGCTAACGTAACCGCGTCCGTCAACTCAGCTGGCTGCTGCATCCCGCCACGACCCCTTCGATACCTCGACATCACCTCTGCGCGCACTGCTCGGGACATTTGGACAACCACGCTGATTCAATCTGTCCTTGCCTAGGCAAGCAACTCGTAGCCATGTCTGGTACGTCCCAACGCCTCCATAAGCTTGCCTCGGAGGCTCGATGCCTTGGCTAACTCGCGATGCTCGTCAGCTGGCGCCTACGACCGACACATTACCATCTTTGCCGACAATGGCCGGCTCTACCAAGTCGGTGCGTTCGTCCCCGATGCCGCTTGAGCGACACACGGACCAATCCATGGTTCATACTCGCGGCCTACCCCCAAACACCAGCTGACGAATCGAGGAAAGAATATGCCTTCAAGGCAATCACAGCCGCCAACATCATGTCGGTGGGCGTCCGCGGCAAGGACTGCGCCGTAGTCCTCTCACAGAAGAAAGTCCCGGTAAGTCGTCATTCCTGTTGGTCGATCGGGCACAGGCTGACACGCACCATCAGGACAAGCTCATCGATCCCTCCTCCGTGTCCCACATCTTCCAGCTATCCCCGTCTGTCGGCTGCGTCATCACCGGATCTATTGCCGATGCCCGAGCCTTTGCGCAAAGAGCCCAGGGCGAGGCAGCCGAGTTTAGATACAAGTTTGGGTACGAGATGCCCGCGGATGTCCTGGCCAAGCGCCTGGCCAACATTAGCCAAGTCTACACCCAGCGGGTGAGTGGCCCTCGCGCATCCAACCCGTGCCCAGCGTGGCGCTGACACATTGGCAGGCCTACATGCGCCCGTATGGCGTGGCCACGACCATCATCGCCCTCGACTCCGAGTTCGGCCCCCAGCTGTTCAAGTGCGATCCTGCCGGATACTACATTGGCTACAAGGGCACTGCCGCGGGACCTAAGCAGCAGGAGGCGTTGAATCACCTGGAGAAGAAATTGCGCAACAAAGACCATGCCGAGGGCTCCTGGGAGGAGGTTGTCGAGCTGGCCATCACAACCTTGAGCACCGTGCTCAGCATGGACTTCAAGAAGGGAGAGGTCGAGATTGGCATCGTCGGCGGCCCGCGGAAGGATGGAAAGGAGGGAACTGACCCTGCGTTCCGGATGCTCACCGAGGATGAAATCGACGAGCGATTACAAGCCATCGCCGAGAAGGACTAAGGGGGTGCTTGGGTACGCTTTACCGATGTGAGTCGGGGAATCGACAAGCAACTGTCGCAAGCAAGACAGTCGGGTGTGTGGAACCAGTGTCATCTGTTGTCCTCATCGACGATGAGCCGATCTTGAGAACGAACCAACCGAACGGGACGCTACGCCCTGCTAGACACGGCCATGTTTCATTAGCCAGAACACACGTGGCATAGATTCACATTCTTGCCTCTTTCCGTTTCCTCTCTCCCTCGACGCTTATTGTTGATTTGATGTAAGTGGCATTTACGCTTGCCCATCTAGGGCTGCGGCTGAGACGCGAGGCTTCCATTGGGAGTTCTGACGTACGTGGAGATCCGAGCTTACACGACTTCGTTGATGTCCGTTCTCTCATTACAAACAGATTCCGACGCAGTAGTCACCGTCCGGTTGAAGAGCGGACTCTTCGCATGGCATATCGTAGCAGCGAAGCCCGCGCGGGCATGGGCGGTCTTGAGTACTGCCACACTTCGGCGTCTGTTTCGAGACGCAGATTCCCGGAATTTCGCAGGCCAAGCCACACGTGTGGGGAAACCGAGGATCGTCGATGCATCGAGAATAGTCATCGCACCGCTGCGGGATCGGCCTGCGACTGCCGCACGAGAGGAACCTGGACTTGGGCTCGCAGACACCAGTGCAGACGCTGAGGTCGAGGCACTTGAGGTCGTTGGGACACAGTGCGTGTGATATGGGCATGGGGCAACGTTGAGACCACAGGAACTGCTGGACAGGGAATAGCCAGCCGCCCAAGCTGGCGGCGAGGCCGAGTGGCAGGGGAGCGGTGCTGCTGAAGACGATGCTGAGCATCATGGTGAGGCAGGTTGAAGTCGTCGAGGTAGGCTGCTTGGAATCCCCAACGGAGGCTCGCTGGTTCGTATGAAGGATATAACTGACGACTTGAAACGAGTGGACGGTGGATTAAGCCAGTATTTGACGGACAAATCACCAAGCTACGACACGTGTGTTCATAAGGAATGCAGCCGTTTTGTTAGGAGAGTTGATGTCGTCTCTCGTTCTACCGTGTCTAGGACCTAGATAGGGCTGCTTTATGATCAGATCGGAATGTCCAAACGCTTTATCTCCTCACTGTTAGTAGTAGACTCGAAGATCCAACCACATTTCTGCCCCAACGCTCTGTCCTGGATGAAGTCGAAGCCGAAGCCGGCGTGACAGATTACGCAAAGTCAAGGATAATGACCCAGCTTTGTTAAGCAATAGCCTTTCATAAAGATGTCAATTGCAAGCCACGCAGAATAGAATAATTCTTTTGCCACCGTTGGCTCTTCCGAAAAAGGGAGGAGTATTCAGGGCAGGTCAATGTCAGCGGCCTGTTTGATATCTTAAGAGGAAGAGTAGCGGGGCGGGTCTGCAAACCCTCCACCCCGATTGATGCATGCTAGCCCCGGCTAAGCGGGGCGCGTCAGCAAAGCGCAACTAAACTCTCTTCAGCCCGCCTGTATCTTTAATCTAGCGGCCCCGATTGCCAGGACGCAGCAAACAGGGCTCGCCAAGGCATCGGAACGACGAGCGCTCCTCAGGACCCCAATCGCGAGCGGCTTCAAGCCACTCAGCTGGCGAAACCATCGCCATGTCCGTCATTCTCTGCACCGGTAATTCAGCTTCTCTAGCCTGCCGCACCGCGTTAGCTAACAACGATGATAGCCGGATACGACCACACGATTAGGTGCGCTTCGCAGTCGATCGCCGCGCAAGCCCTGGCGCATGTGCTGACGCCGCAACTGCTAGGTTTTGGGAGGCCCTCTCGGGAATCTGTTCGCGCACGATCCAGCACCCAGACTCGCAAGTCAACCGCCTGTGTATCTCACCAGACAAGCGGTTCCTCGCCGCGGCGGGCCATCACACCGTCAAGCTCTACGATATCAAGTCGACGAATCCGAACCCGCTCCTGACGTTTGAGGGCCATACGGGCAATATCACGGGCGTCGCTTTTCACTGCGAGGGCAAATGGATGGTGACGAGCTCTGAGGACGGGACGGTCAAGATCTGGGAAACTCGGACGGGCTCGATACAGCGAAGCTACAACCATGGCTGCCCCGCCAACGACGTTGTCATCCATCCCAATCAAGGCGAGATTATCAGCTGCGACCGGTCGGGGAGCGTGAGGATCTGGGACCTGGCGGAAAACATGTGCGCTCACGAGCTCATCCCGGAAGAGGATGTGCCCGTGTCGAGCGTGACGGTGGCGAGCGACGGGACGCTGCTTTGTGCCGCAAATACACTTGTGCGTCAGGCCGACCCCAGGTAACTTGGCGTTATTTGCTGACGCTGCTCAGGGGAACGTGTTTGTGTGGCTCCTTCGACAGACTTACGATCGGACCGAGCTCCTTCCTGTAACGCATTTCAGCGCTCACAAGGAGTACATTACGCGGATCCTCCTGTCCCCAGACGTCAAGAAGCTGGCGACGTGCAGCGCAGACCACACGGCCAAGATCTGGGAGGTCAAGGACGCCAAGCCGCGGGGCGACGCCGAAGCCGAGCCGAAACCTTTTCTGCTAGAGGCGACCCTGACGGGCCACCAGAGATGGGTATGGGACTGTGCCTTTAGCGCCGACTCGGCGTACCTGGTGACGGCCTGCTCGGATCACTACGCACGACTGTGGGAGGTCCACAGCCAGCAGATTATCCGGCAGTACAACGGCCACCACAGAGGGGCAGTATGCGTGGCACTCAACGACTATTCGGAGACACGATAGATGCAGTGCGACCCAGGGCAGCGTGGGCCAAAGGGGGCAACGAAGGAGTTGGAATCGAGTTATGGCGCGGCGTTTATCGGTGAGCTGGGACAGACATTTATTCTTTCTTCTTTTCTTTGGGTTGCAAGCCGCCGAAAGCAGGCGGGTGTCTGGAGCCCTGACCATATCACTGGCGCATAACGGGACCTCTTTACGGAGGTGATAACTTGAAAGCAGACGGGAAGCCCAATTGGCGAGAAAGCCGCGGAGGGATTGAAAAGCAGGGGTGACCGAGAGCGCGGGACGAGGCGTATCTGCAAGGGAAATGTAGCCAATACCGGCTGTGGCGATTGAAATTTGAATGTCACCGCGGATCCCTTGCCACCACTCGGCCCTACCAGGCTGGCTGTACGGGGCGTCGAGGCATCACGATAGGAGGGCAGCTACAAGAGTTTGGATCAGGAGAAGTGAGCCGACTCAACGGGCACATGTCAAGCTGAAGTCGGATTCGACAGGCCAATGAAAGAGGACGTGGTTGAATGAGAAATGGGCCCAGCTGTCGGGACGCACAGCCATTGGATGCACGTCAGCAAACCCGGGGAGCCAATGGGCATGGTTCCACGGCGTCGCAATCCCCGAGCCCGACTCTGCACTGCTTTTGTCCAACCTGCAGCCTCAGCCTCGTGCTGCGGCGCCGCCACGGGCTTTGGATGACGAACCGGGATGCAACGGCGGGCGTGGATCGCTCCTGCGAGATCCAGCTGGACAGGGGGCCGAGGCGCGGGTTCGGCTCGTGGACGGGACGGCCTGGATGCCGGTTGTCTGCAGGCAGGGAGTATCAGCGCTTTGTTTGTTTTGTAAGATGCTTCGCTTCGTGGGCGTCCCCTTGCAGGCTGCATGTGAAGATGTGGAGATGGAGAGAGGGAAGTCGGACGGGCTCCCTCCCGGGCCGTGGGTTCGGTGCATGCGTGGACGAATGCCTCTTGCGCGAACGGGTGTGATCTCGTAAGCAATGTAAAGTAGGTAGGTACTTTCCGTCTCCTTTTCTCCGAGAAGAATCAAGAAAAGCCGAATCTTGTTCGTATCTTGGTATCCTCGCGTCGTGAGGCAATCCATCGCCCGGGTTCCTTTTCGCAGGGTGGGGATAGCGGGAGCTTGTCTCGGCTACCCCCTGGCCCCTGTCACTGTGGTGCCCTGCAGGGCCCGGAGGTGATGACAGCTCAGGTACCGAGTACCTACAAGGCGCACACGACGACTCCCCTTCCTGCTGCGGCCACAACCTCCAAGACCCATCATCACCACCACCTCCCTCCACTCTGACCCCCCCTTGCCCACGCTGCCCATCCACCTCGACTCCCAGACTCGACGGGCATCGAGTAGCCAGCGGAGCCCCGATCTACTGCACGTAAGATAGTAAAGGGGAAGGCGAGCACGCCCAGGGAGTGCACCCCGCGCCATCACGGCAGCATCGGCAGCAGCCATGGCCGTCGCCGCCTCAGCCCCCGACGCCAGTCCTCGCCCGCCGCTCATCAACTACGTCGTCTCCTTCGTCCTCGTCAGCCTCGCCTGGGGCCTCACCACGCCCTTTATCCGCCGCGCCGCGCGCTCCCACCGCCCGCCGGCCCACGCGCTGCTCGACTCGCCCGCCGTGCGCGACTCGCCCGTGCGCGCCCGCCTGCTCGCCGCCTTTTTCGCCGTCGTCGACCTTGTCCGCAACCCGCGCTACGCCGTCCCGCTCTTGATCAACCTCACCGGCAGCGTCTGGTTCTTTCTCCTCATTGGCCAGGCCGGTGCGTTTCCCCCTTTCGCCTCGTGCCCTTGACTTGTCTAATCCCTCTTGCAGAGCTGAGCTTGACGGTGCCCATTGTCAACACGCTTGCCTTTCTCTTCACCATCCTCGGCGAATGGTACGTCGAGGGCAAGGTCATCAGTAAAGGTCAGTCTACCCGTCTCGAGGACCGCTCTTGGGTTGCTGACCGGGCCTGCAGATACCGGTCTCGGCATGGCTCTGTCGCTCGCCGGCATTGCCTTGTGTGTCCATAGCAAGACCTGAGAGGAACCCTTTTGTCTATAGATTCATGTTTTTGTCTATTCCGCTGGCCGCTGGCCGCTCCCTTGCAATAGAAACCCCAAGAGAGCCAATTCTTCCAGTCCCCCTTCCGCCGCCCGTTTTTTTGTGTAAGCCATGCTGATCCCTATATATACACGAATAACACTCGTATACTCTATCATGCAACCTGGGAAGCAGCTTAAAAGGCGTTCCAGCGCCTAAACATGCTCTCCCCCCTCTCTAGTCCAACACGCCCGTCTCATCGTCTCCAGCCGCCCTCGCACTCTCATTTCCCGACATGGTCCATGTAGTACCCGCCTACTGGGGCCTCTCATCGGCAAAGAAAGGGAGTCGTCATCCTCGAGGCTGTCGAGCCTGCAGCCAGCGCCGCACGCTCCTCAGGCTGGGGTCCTCGGTGGTCCAGCGGCCGAGCATCTGATCAGACGTGGCAAGCTCGGCATAAACGAACTCGTCGGTGATGGAAACAAGTTCCTGTTGCGTTGCAGGGACTCAAGTCAGCCCTGACGTCTCTCTTGAAACGTTGCCCCGCGTCTTGGAGCGACACCGTCATCATGGACTTTCCCCCCGACTCACTCACCACGCGAAGCTGGTTGTCGCAGGCCCGTAGGTGAGGCTCGGCGGCCGGGAATGGACGCTGGCCCTGCAGCATGTTGTTGCGAGACTCGATCCAGCGTTGGGCGGCGCCTTGACGCAGATATATCTTTTGACCCTCGTGACGTCGGGAAAAGGCGTCTAGAAGAACCCTGCTCTCGCTCACTCGGCAGACAGGGGGCATCTCGGTCAGTCTTGCGCGCATTGAGGATGCCTGGCACAGCTCCTCCGAACAGGCAGGCGGCCCAATCTCAGTCACATTGCTCCAGCGGCCCTCTTTCATTCTGGGCCGCTTTATATATGTGCTTGAGTAGCTTCAATGGGATGGTAGAACAGAGGAGAGAGACACGCACTGCTTCAACTCTGCCTTGGTCTGCTCCTGCGCTCCGCCCTGGGCCACGGGCACTCTCGTGTCGGCAGCGCACTCGAGGATGTGATGGCCGTCGACGGCGCACTGCCGCAGCGCGGCCCAGCCCTCGGTATAGTAGTCTTCGACGTTGTCGGGCTCGGCCGGCGCCGCGGCGATGTAGTACTGCAGGGTTCGGAAGTCGGCCAGTAACTCGGCCACTCTGGCTGTGCGACAATCGTTTACTGCGATTCGATGGAATGTCAGCTGGAAGCATGCTGTGATTCCACCAACCAGAAAACTTTTTTTTTCCTTTAGGGAGTACAAAGGGCACGCTCTTTTGCGTCGCCCTCCCACGACGCCAGGGGTAGACGGACACCTTGTTCTCCCCTGCGCCTCTGACGTGTGCGAGCTGGGATCGTTGGTGTAACCGGCGAGGTTCCGTTGTGATGGGAGCCTAGGGGAGCGGCGTGGGAGAGGCAGGGAACGGTGTAGAGAGCAAAGGGGGCGCACTTACATCCGTCCATGATGGCCGCTTCCAGTGAGAGCCCGACGGCAGAGAGTGTTGATGCTGTCATGAGGACGCAATGGAAGGCTACCGAGTCTCAAAGGAGCGTGAGGGAGGAGACTAGCATCAAGACCATGGGCGAGAAGGCAAGGAGGAGGAAGAGAGCGCGCTTCCCCCCAGATATAGGCAGCCTCTTGGGTCCAAGGGGTCGCAGCGTCTCCTGATGAAAAGCAAGGCCCTTTTCTCACCGGAGCAAAGAAGGCGAGACGACAAGCGGCAGTGCTGGGTAATCTACATACATACATGGGCGCATCACATATCCGAGAGAAGAGGCGGTCCAGCTCACGGCGTGCTCGGGGGGCCGGCCCCAGTCGAGCCGCACCCCGTACATACAGCCAGCCAGGCTGCCCTATGACACCTGTAGGTGCCATGTACCATGATTATCCCCCCTTCCGAAAAGGAAACGGCGGTGCCGGGGGACATGACGGATCGAGTCAATGGGGGGAACGGCCAAGAGGCAAAGCCAACGGGCCCAGGGGCTCGTCGGCGTGGCTAGCTTGGCGGGCTTGGCTGGCTGTGGTAGGTTCAAGGGTTGCAAGGCCACGAGCTCGCCGGTAGGGCCGGCGTGAGATGGTAACACAAAGGCCGAGCGAGAGCGAGCACCATGGGAGCAAGTCGAGCGAGTCGACGGTATACGCCGACGCAACTTTCGGGCAGCACAGGCCCGTGGCAAGCTCAAAGCTGGAGGGGGGCGGGAGAATAGGAGCTTCCAGCTGCCGCCTCGCACACGCGGCTGGCCAACCGGAGAGACGAGTCAGCCCTGTCCGATGACAGAGCTATTCTGGTTCTCTTTCTCTTTCGCTGCCACATGGCTGCAGGCAGACAAGGGGGTGGACGATGGGACGGGGAGGGAATCGGACTGGTACGACGGGGAAATCGGGGCGGGCCGGGGGGGACGGAAGGTGAGAGAGCCGGGAGGCGGTTCATCGTCTTTTCCCCCCTGAGAGGCCAGCGGCACGCAGATTTGTTAGGGCCATGGGGGCCGAAAGAAGGAAGATAAGCAGAAAGGGGCGCCTGCCGAGACACACGGACAAAGATGAAAGCCGCAGTTTTACAGTTAGCGTGGCAAATCGACCTCTTTTGCTCGCTGTTTTCTCAGCCACGGCCAGACGACGCCGGCTTTGCCTCTTCGGGTGCGTGTGTGTGTGCTTTTGCATGCACATCCAAGTCGAGCTGGGCGCCGGCCAATGGGCAGCAGAAGCGAACCCGTCTCGTCATCAGAGCCCCTGGTTGTCGAGACGTCTTGCCTCGGCGCCAATGGCGGAAAAGAAAGGGCTCGTCCGGAGATGGAGCGACTGGCTGGGGGCGTTTGGGGCCACTGGGCCGTCGACGCGAGCAGCGGGTTATAATTGGGCGACTTCTGGCGAGGTCGTGTTTCTCGAGGTTGCTGTGTCGCGGAGCGAGGAGATGCCACGACGGGCCGCGCCGTCCACGGATCTCTCCCTTGTGCATGCGCGTGCAGTCGCAATTCTATTCTACTCCAAACGAATACTACTACACACGCATTCAATGCAATCAACGATCCCATGCCTGGCAACTCCAAGAGTCTAAACACAACACCACACGTGCCTCACTCCAACCATCGACGAACGCCCACAACACACACCAATGCACTGACCCCAGGGCCTTGAGGACGTCCGTCCTTCACCGGCAGGGGAGCAGGGCCGGGTTTCAGAATTAAGCAGCGCTCAGGCTCGCCAAGGATCCGGGTCCCAAGGACTGGTCTAGGGAAAATGCGGGGGCGGGTGCGTCAGTGTGGGGATGTCGACGAACCGTCCAACACGCCGCCCTCACCTTCTCTCTCCAGTAATTGCCTCCATCATCAATTCATGGTGCCAGACGACGGGACGATCAGACCGCTGCCCGTCGATGATACGGATGAATGCCTGATACTCGAATGACCCTACATCGACAACAGCCGCATCCCAGTCGCCCCAGCCTCCACCCTCTGGACATGCCGCCGTGATGCCCGTGATGCCCGACCACGGCGCCTCCGCTCCTCTCCTCCCCTCCTCGGCCTCGCACCACCACCCCTCCGCCGCCCCGTCTCCCCAACACCCGCCCTCGGACCCGGGCCCGGACGCCTCCCGCGCCGCCGCCGTCCGCCGCCATGTCGCCCGCCTGCGCAAGACGGGCCGCCGCCTGCTCGACTCGCGCAAGAAGCACTTTGCCGTCATGGCCGTCGTCGCCCTCGACGCCGCCGCCCTGCTCGCCAATGTCTTCATCCGCCTCATCGCCTGCGAGATGCGCCAGGACCACGAACCCTGGGTCCAGGCCGTTACCTCGGCCCTCGAGACCGCCGCGCTGATCATCAGCTGCCTGTTTATGCTCGAGCTGGCCGCCTGCGTCTTCGCTTACGGCTTCAGGTCTGATCCGCCTTTGCTCCGGCACAGCCCGACGCTTGCATCGCTGACTCTGCTGCGTGTACAAGGACCTATTTCTCCGATTGGTTCCACGTCTTCGACGCCGCCGTCATCGTCCTGAGCTTCGTCATCGACGTCGGCTTCCGCGGCCTCGCAGAGTCCATCGGCTCCCTCGTCGTTGTCCTCCGCTTGTGGCGTCTTGCCAAGATATCCGAAGAGGTCGTCGTCGGCGCCACCGAGCGCATGGAGCTCTTGGAGCACCACCTGGACGAGCTCGAGATTGAGAACAAGCATCTTCGCTCACAGCTGGGGCTGGACTCGGTGGACCATTCCGGCCATGAATGAGAGGGTGTCGCCAACTTGTATATATACGTACGCACATATGCCACCACGTAGCACATAATCAATCCTTTGCCTCAGTCGCCCACGATGCACTCACGTAGACCTACCCACGCGAGGGATCCCATGGTCCAACAGACATATCAAGCAAAAGAGTCCCGACAGTCACGACTGGCCAAGGCAACAAGAGAAAATAAAGGGATAAATTCGGCAAGATTCCTATCCTACCCAACGTCGCGACACGCCGACATGTATCATGATTTGGAAACTTCCTCGCCCAGTTCACACCTAAATGCAGACCGCCAGGTTCTCCAAACGCCACTCCATGCTCTATGCTCGCCCCATATCATGCTTCATGTTGCCTTCTATCCCACCCAGTCTACCAATACGAACGCGCCGATGCAGCATTTCCCTCGTCATCGATTGAGACATAATCCCTCTCGTCACGTGTGCCGGCTCCGTTTGCCGCCGTTGCCAAAAGGGTCCTTGCCGTTCAAACAGCCGCCGAAAAAGTCGTCAAAGTCCCATCTGCGCTTAGCTCCGGCTCCCCTGCCCAGATGGCCCTGTGTCCTGGAGTTGGGTTTTGTACCGCCGTGGCGGCCCTTGGAGCTCCGGGACGGTTGCAGCGACGAGCCGTCGTGTCGCGAGTCGGACAGATCGAGAGTCGCAATGTTGGGATACGCATGTGATGATTGAAAAGTAAACGTGTCTTGCGATGGCACCACTATGCGGGCGGGCTCGTCGGGGACGCTGACGGCAACGACGTTTGGGGATGACGTTGGCCCAGTCGGTCGCTGTGTAGACGCCTGAGGTTCTGTGCTCGTCCGTGCAGCCTCTGGCGAGGTTGGCCGGTCCGTGCGGTCGACTTCATCTTCGCTCTCGGTGGTGGCTTGAAGTGCCGCTTCACGTCCATCCAGGCGCTCCGTCGCCCAAGCCCTCACTTTCCACCCTTCGCCATCGCGCAGCCCGAGGTTTTCCCTGTCCAAGAAGATGAGCAGGTTCTCCAGGCACTCCTGGTAGCCCTCGGCTCGCGACCTCGACTCGGCCAACGCTGAAGTCTTGTACAGTTTGGTGACGGAAAGGGCGGCCGCCTTGAAGACGTCGAGCAGCTGCTCGGGGGAGTCGTGGTGCGACGTCTGCTTCCCAGAGGCCCCGTAGTGCGATGCCGGCCCTCGAGCCGAGTCCATCTTGGTCGTGTGCGTGCAAAGGGGTGCAGCTTTTCGAGATGTCGCTGTGCCAGGCACTGTGCATGCGGGAGACGTCCGAGTGTGTTCAAGTTGGTAGAGCCTGGAGCTCTTGTCGTCGGAAAGGGGGTTCGAGCAGGTTTTTTGCAATAGTGAGCCCACAGAAATGGCTCCAACACAAGCGACGTCGAGATGGGATGGTGGATGATCGTGGCAGGAACTCCGTCGAGGCCCCCGAGTTTGTTGTCGCAAGTGGCCGGGAGGGGAAGGCAAATTGCTAGCCGGAGCCGAGGTTTTGCCGATTACCTCATCATCCTTCTTTCGGGCTTGCCGGCACCTGCGTCCGCTCTCGGGGTGCCGGCGCCCCACCCGCCACTGGTATAGCATTTGCTCCATCAGGCTAGAAGCATGCACCAAGTTCTGTCCATCAACGGCAATCACTTAAGCCTGTCATGAGATGAATACGTACTATTTTATGCTGCTAGGGACCGGAGTGTTTGGCACGCCTTTTGAACCCAGGAACCATTATTATATACAAAGTGCATGTGAATAATTAATAAGCACCCTAGAGCAAAGCCGCATTCGCCTGGATTGACGCGTCCAGTTCAGTCGGCTTGCTGACAATGATTCACTACGTAAGCTTCATCCACCCTGTAGACACTCGGAACATTTCAGGCCTGATTACCGCGTCTTTTCATTCACCTTGATCCCAAAGAATAGGCATATACTGTACATAGATAGATCATAGAGTGAACCAATGTCAGAAGATCTGTCCAAGGGTGAGCTCCAAGTCAACAAGGCCTCGTCACGTTCTATCCCTGACTTGTCTGCACATGATCAGGGCGTGTGCAGATAAAGCCATCAGCTTGAGGGCTACTCCGTAGGAGAGGGATATATGGCTGCTGTCCTTGTTGTTTACCTGCTTAGGTAGTAGGTACTTGGTATAGCAGAGGAAACCAGAGGAGGCGAGATGTAGAGAGAGGCCTGGGCATGGCCCTTCTTTTTTCCGCGGCAGGCGCCCTGTCCCGCCGCACCACCCGAGTACGCAGGTCGAGTTCGGGTGGATCGTGCACGCGCGCTAGGCCCAAACTCGCCGGCCTTTGAATGGGCACCTAGAGATTCCACCTCCTGCCTGTCGTTTCCCCAAAAAACATCTTCACCCAGCCCTCGTGTGACGAGCGATATTCGCCCTCGACTGCCATACACCCACCAGTTGCGAGCATCCCTCCGCTTCTCCCCGGTGAAACTGTTTTGAGCTCAGCGTCCCTCGTTTCAGAGCACATTCAACGCGTCTCGTCAACCTCTGTCGCGTTAAGAGGTTCCATCGACTTTGCCGCCGCGCCATGGCTCCAAGGCCCCGGGCCACTGCAGTCGATACCGACGCGTCCATGTCCGATGCGCCCGAGACTCGTCATCCCGACGACATGGTATGCTCTCCTCTTAACCTCCAAGCTGCTCCGTGCCCTCAGTGGTTGCCGGCTAACCAGTGCCATCAGGAAGTGGACGAGACTCCCGACTACACAGATTCCGACACCAATCCCAATACGACAGCCAGCAGTGTCATCGGCGAGGCCTTGGGAGACGGCCGGAAGCGCCGTACCGAGGCAAACCAGCTGCGGCGCAGTATCTTTGGCAAAAAACACGACCGTCTCGGTGAATCCAAGGCAAGCGACCCTCTTCTCTCGCCGACACGCCGTGCCGCATTTTGCCTCGATGCTAACTGTATCCTTGCAGGAAGATGACACAATCCGGAGATTCCGATACCTTCTCGGTCTGACGGATCTGTTCCGACACTTTATCGAAACCAACCCAGACCCCAAGATTCGCGACATCATGGCCGAAATCGACCGTCAGAATGCCGAGGCGGCTCGCGGCAAAAAGGGCGCCGGCCGTCAGGGCGGGGCCACCAGCGAAAGACGCCGGCGGACAGAGGCCGAAGAAGACGCTGAGCTTCTCAAGGACGAGAAGCACGGAGGCTCCGCCGACACCGTCTTCCGCGAGTCGCCCGCCTTCATCCAGGGCTTGATGAGAGACTACCAGATCTCGGGTCTCAACTGGCTCATTTCCCTGCACGAGAACGGAATCTCTGGCATTCTCGCCGACGAAATGGGTCTCGGGAAGACGCTCCAGACCATTTCGTTTCTGGGATACCTTCGTCACATTGCCGGCATCACCGGACCTCACCTCATCACCGTTCCCAAATCGACCCTGGATAACTGGAAGCGGGAGTTTGCCAGGTGGACGCCCGAAGTCAATGTTCTGGTTCTCCAGGGTGCCAAGGAGGAGCGCCACCAGCTCATCAACGAGCGCCTCGTGGACGAAAAGTTTGACGTCTGCGTCACCAGCTATGAGATGATTCTACGGGAAAAGTCGCATTTGAAGAAGTTTGCCTGGGAATACATCATCATTGATGAGGTATGTTGCACTTCATGGTGCTTGCACGGCAGAGATTCTTATACTACAACAGGCCCATCGCATCAAGAATGAGGAGTCGTCGCTCTCGCAAGTGATTCGGCTCTTCTCGTCGCGTAACCGTCTCCTGATCACGGGAACTCCGCTCCAGAACAATCTGCACGAGCTTTGGGCGCTTCTCAACTTCCTGCTCCCCGACGTCTTCGGCGATGCAGAGGCTTTCGACCAGTGGTTCTCCGGACAGGATCGGGATCAAGACACTGTCGTTCAGCAGCTTCACCGTGTTCTCCGGCCATTCTTGCTGCGGCGAGTCAAGAGTGATGTGGAAAAAAGCCTGCTTCCCAAGAAGGAGGTCAACCTTTACTTGGGCATGTCCGAGATGCAAGTAAAATGGTACCAGAAGATCCTCGAAAAGGACATCGACGCCGTCAATGGCGCGGGTGGTAAGCGCGAGTCAAAGACGAGGCTTCTCAACATCGTCATGCAACTGCGCAAGTGCTGCAACCACCCTTATCTCTTTGAGGGCGCCGAGCCAGGCCCCCCGTACACCACCGATGAACATCTCGTCTACAACGCTGGCAAGATGGTTGTTCTGGACAAGCTCCTCGCAAAAATGCAGAAGCAGGGAAGCAGGGTCCTCATCTTTTCCCAGATGAGCCGACTGCTGGATATCCTGGAGGATTACTGCGTCTTCAAGCAGTACAAATACTGCCGTATCGACGGCGGCACGGCCCACGAGGACCGTATCGCTGCCATTGATGATTACAACAAGCCCGGGTCGGAGAAGTTTGTTTTCCTCCTAACAACGAGGGCTGGTGGTCTGGGCATCAATTTGACGACGGCCGACATCGTCATCTTGTACGACAGTGACTGGAACCCGCAGGCTGACTTGCAGGCCATGGATCGTGCCCATCGCATCGGGCAGACAAAGCAGGTGGTGGTGTACAGGTTCGTCACGGACAACGCCATCGAAGAAAAGGTGCTAGAGCGAGCAGCCCAGAAGCTGCGCCTCGATCAGCTGGTGATCCAGCAGGGCCGGGCACAGATTGCCGCCAAAGCAGCAGCAAACAAGGACGAGCTCCTGTCCATGATTCAGCACGGCGCCGAGAAGGTATTCCAGTCAAAGGGCGGCTTGGGGAACATCGAAAACAAAGGTTCCGAGCTCGACGACGATGACATTGAGGAGATCCTTGCCCAGGGCGAGAACCGGACCAAGCAGCTGAGCTCCAAGTACGAAAAGCTGGGCATTGACGACTTGCAGAAATTCACCTCAGAGTCGGCCTACGAGTGGAATGGGGAGAACTTTGCCAATGTCAAAAAGGACATTAGCTTGAACTGGATCAACCCGGCCAAGCGAGAACGCAAGGAACAATCTTACTCGATGGACAAGTACTTCAGACAGGCTATGTTTCCCAACCCCAAGGCCGATGCCAAGCCGAAGGCGCCGCGGGCACCGAAGCAAGTACCGAATCACGACTATCTGTTCTATCCAACACGCCTACGAGACCTTCAAGACAGGGAAACGGCCTATTACAGGAAGGAGATCGGATACAAGATCCCTCTCCCTGATGGCGACGACGAGAACCTCTCGGAGCGCGAAGCCGAACGGCGGCTTGATCAGGAGGAGATTGACAATGCGACTCCGTTGACAGAGGATGAACGCCAGGAAAAAGAGGAACTTTCGAACCAGGGGTTCAGCAACTGGAACAAGCGTGACTTTCAGCAGTTCATTAATGGATCCGGCAAGTACGGGCGCACAGACTACGAGGGCATTGCTCAAGAGGTCGACAACAAGACGGCAGCCGAGATCAAGGCTTACGCCAAGGTCTTTTGGCAGCGATATACGGAGATTGCAGACTACAACAAGTACATCAAGGTGATTGAAGACGGCGAGGAGCGCACACGCAAGGTTGAGAACCAGAGGAAGCTGCTGCGGAAGAAGATGCAGCAGTGCAGGGTGCCTTTGCAGCAGCTCAAGATCAATTACTCGGTGTCGACGACCAACAAGAAGGTGTACACCGAGGAGGAGGATCGATTCCTGCTTGTGCTCCTGGACAGGTACGGCATCGACTCGGAGGGTCTGTACGAGAAGATGCGTGACGACATTCGAGAGTCTCCCCTTTTCCGGTTCGATTGGTTCTTCCTCAGCCGCACGCCGACCGAGCTGTCTCGTCGGTGCACGACACTCATCACCACCATTGTCAAGGAGTTTGAGGACGTGCCGGCGCGCGGCGCAAACGGAGTGAATGGGAAGACGAAGCGCGAGGCGGACGAGGAGAACGACGAGGATAGTATCCTGGGAATGGCGCCAGCCAAGAAGAAGTCGAAGAACGGCTTCAAGGTACGTTGGCGCCCGGCCATGGAAGATGTCGGCCTGAGAACGTCGACGGACTAACATGGACATTTACAGAATAAGGCTCTTGACAACGTGAAATCGAGCAAGGCTAGCTCCGCCGTCCCGTCCAGGGCCTCTAGCGTGGCGTCTACGGCGTCGAATGTTGGCGGCTCGTCGAAGAGCAAGAAGGGCAAGACGAAGAAGAGGTAGAGTGCTCACGTGGCGAGAGTGATGTGTGGTTTTTGAAAGCTTCTTGGGGGTGTGAGACGTCTCGTGGGAAGAACATAGATGTGGCGTTTTGTTATGATGAGGGATTTTTCAATTGACGGGTGACGGAGCCGCTGCGGCTGCCTCTTGCCCTCGGCAACGGGCATCAGAGGGGGGGTCCCTCGGTCGTCTGGCACCATTGGTGTAGAAGGGTTTCGGGTATCCTGCTTGGTGCACGGCGGTGGGCATTCAGTTGGGATGATTTTCCATGTTGGACCATAAAACTGATGGAAAAAGACAAAGAGAGAGCGCCAAGGTAGTCGGGGGGAGGTACAACGTGAGAAAACATGTGGCCCTGCAGAGAAGTAGATTCTTGATTCACACATTGGGAGCGCATCGCTCAGTCGTCCGTCCATTGGCACCATCGACCGCCCCGCCCCGGGGGGAAGAGGTCGTGACCGGCCGTGGGATCGCCAGGCCTCCAGTTGGGCGCGCACCCCCTCTCGCCCGAGCCCCCGTCTCAGAGGGAGGGAGTAGGATTTGGCCGCCATGGGATGTCCTACTCCTGTATCCGCTCTCCCAGACGACCCGAGCAATTTCATAGTCCCTTTAGAACACGGAAAACCCCTGGTTCGCCTCCCAAACGCCGTACTATGCAAGCACACAGCTTAATAAACGGGCTCGTCCCCCCTTCCACAGGCCGAGTCCCCCCATGTCGCCTGAATTTCCGTCCTAGGAAATCGTCGGGGCTGTGGGGATGGCGATGGCGGCGGTGCTCGTGGTGGTTGTTAAGGCCCTGCCCACTGCTTTGTCTTTTTTTTGGTTTGTTGGCCGCAGCTACATGCGGTTCGCACGTTCCCTCTCCACCTCGTACATGAAGTCGTAGTAGCCCTTGTCGAAGTGGTGAACGCGGACGTAGCCGTCCTCTCCGCCGGATGCGTAGCTCTTGCCCGTCGGGTCGGCGGCGACGGTGTTGAGGGGGCCAAAGTGGCCGCGGACACGGCCAATCTCGTCCTCAAAGATCTTGTGGTAGAAACGGGCCTCGAACTTGCCCTGGCGGGCAGCCGTGGTGGTGACGTCCATGGCGGCCTGGCCGCCGCCGAGGATGACATAGTCCTTCTTGGGCGTGACGGTTGCGCTGTTGAGGGGTGTGTCGGCCGGGTAGTTTTTCAAGACTTCGAGATCGCGGGCGGAGACGAGCTGACGGTAGCAGCGAAATCAGCATCATGTTTGCAGACGGGTGGGGGTTAGAACGAGTCTACCTTGGCCGTCTTGTCCTTGCAAGCGGTGATGCAGTATGTGCGATCGGCAGACCATTGGAGGTCGAAGATGGGCTGGTTCAGCTCGTGAATGGGCACATTGTCCAACAGGTCGCCCGTCTTGCCGTCGTACTGAGAGATGCTGCCGTCTTCGTGGCCGGCAATGATGTACTTGTTGAGCGCGCTCCAGCCGGCAACGGTGGCCTTGCTCTCGTCGCAGACAATGGTGAGGACCCTTTCGTCGCTCTGCTCGGCGTCAACGTCCGGGTTGATGTCCATGACGACGATGTTGCTCAGGTAGCCCATGCGCTTCTCGGTGACGCCCAGCAGCTTGGTGCCGTCCTCGTTGAACTCGACGCGCTTGACAGCGGTGGGGAACTCCCAGACCTTGAGGCAGCGGCCGGTCTTGACCTCCCAGAGGCGGATGGTGTTGTCTGCGGCGCCCGAGGCGATCATAGTGGTGGTGGGATCGACGTCGACGGTCCAGATGGCGCCGACATGGCCATGGTAGGTGCCGAGGCGCTCGCCGTTGTGGGAGAACCAGGCGCAGATGTGCTGGTCCTTTGCGACGGAGAAGATGATGTCGCCATCGAGATTGTACCTGTTGCGCGCGCGGGCAAAGCGTGTCAGCCACAAAAGTCCCGTCATGGCCGGGTCAGGAAGCCGTCAGGGAGGCGGAGGTGACGGTACCGGATCTGGGTGAGCGCACGCTCGTGGCCGGCGAGGAGGATGGGTCTCATGGTGGGCGAGTCGAGGTCGTCGTCGCTCTCTCGGTCAGCTGGCCAAGGGAGCGGAGCTTGTGACGTGGACGGGAGGGGAGGGGAGGGTATTGGACTGAGAGGCGGAGGCGAGGTGTTGGAGAGGGACGACTTGAATTTTTGGCGATTGTGCGTTTTGGTGGGGCGATGAATGGTTTAGCGGGGAGTCATCCGCCACAGCCACTGGCAGGAGGCCTTGCCGTAAATGGGAATGCGGGCCGTTCATTTTTCCTGGGGCATCCAACATGCTGTGGTCGAAACCGCTTAGGAGAAATTTGCACGGTTCTGGCCTGTGCAATTCATTACGCCTACATACCCAACTTGGACACGGCCTCACCATCCAATCATGCAGCCACTAAGAATGCGCCTGTACGACAACGAGCCGCCAATCCAATGCCGACTTCGGGGGACAAACGGCCGGGCTCGGTACAGGCCATGGTCATGGATGTCGGGGGAGGCCAAGTGCGATTCTCGCATGGAGGCCACGGCCCAGGTGTAATAGCTGTATACCTGGGTGCCTACCTCATGACGAGCCCGGCCTGGATTCACTTTGAGGCTCTATCGCCCATCCGCCAGGCTCTGCCCAGGACTTCCCTAGTCGACTGACCACAGTAGCAAGCTATGGTTGAGGAAGAGACGATAGGGGCTCACGCGTAGAGGGACAACAGATGGATAGATCTAATCCGTAGTTCGGCGGGTTCAAGACAAGAGTCACTACCCCCGCGCCAATGTCGAAGCTAGTCACTGAAGCAATCGCAAGGGTGGGCAGACAAGAAAAAAAAAGAAAAAATCAAGGGCTTTCTTTATAACGGCGTGGAGCCCACAGAGCTCCGCTCCAGAAACGAAGGATTATTCCAGAGCAGAGCCGCCGGGCCCGCAGGCTACCTGGACCGCGGCAATGGCACCTCGCAAGCAGCAGCAGCACATGTTTGCTGTCGGGCTGCCTCGATGGGCGCGAGAGATGCTACCAGCGACGGGGCCGCGACCCTTCACCAGCTTGTCCCACAGCCGCTGTGGCCATCGCCATACCCCTGGAAGCCGCCGCCGCCACAGCTGGACGAGACCTGGAGCGCCCCAACAACAGGCACTTCTTGGCGCCCCGGCGCTTATTGCTCACCCTGGTACCAACACTTTCGGGGCACTGCTTGCACAGGCACGCGAATTGTCGTCTCTCCATCATCATCACCATCATCGCCACTTGGCGTCGGCCGTCGTTTTGCTCTACCACCCCCTGGCGCGTCACGCGTCTCTTCCTCGCCTCCTTTGCAGCATTTCCAGCTCTCGTCGATCCCTCTTCACCACCTCGCCGCCCGCCATGGTCGCCCGAAAGCTCGATGGCACCGCCATTGCCAAGGCCATCCGCGACAGAATCGGCGCCGACATTGTCGAGAAGCAGAAGCTCAATCCTCGCTACCGCCCATGTCTTAAGATCATCCAAGGTACGCCCCCTCGCAGCCTGTCCTGCGTCTGCCATCAAAGGCGCCCGAGCAAGCTGACTGAATCTTCACCCTCTACAGTGGGCGACCGCTCCGACTCCTGTTTGTGCCACCCCTCCCCCGCGTCGTCACCACGAGTCCGTGTAGAGACTTGGAATGCAGCAGCCAGACGAGTTTGTAGTTAACACGTCCAGCAACGTATGTGCGCATGAAGCTCAAGGCTGCCGAACAAGTAAGTTTTGGCCCGCGCCTCCTCTTCACACTGCCCCATCCACTCACACAGCTCAGGCTGGCGTTGCTTGTGAGCTGCTTCACTTCCCAGAGTCCATCACAGAGTTTGAGCTGCTGCATCAAATCCGTCGTCTCAACCATGATCCCTCGGTCAACGGCCTCTTGGTCCAGCTCCCCCTGCCTAGCCATGTCTCCGAGTACAACGTCACGTCCGCCGTGGCCGACGAAAAGGACGTGGATGGTTTCGGCACCAACAACATTGGCGAGCTGGCCAAGCGCGGGGGCAACCCCCTGTTCATTCCCTGCACGCCAAAGGGCGTCATGCACCTCTTGACCGAAGCTGGCGTCGACGTGGCCGGCAAGTCGGCCGTCGTGCTCGGCAGAAGCAATATTGTTGGGAGCCCCGTCAGCTACCTACTCCGCAACGCTGATTGCACCGTCACTGTGTGCCATTCCAAGACGGCAGGCCTGCAGGCCTACCTCAAGACGGCCGACATTATCGTTGCTGCCATTGGACAGGCTGAATTCATCAAGGGGGAGTGGCTCAAGGAGGGCGTCGTCGTCATTGACGTCGGCACAAACTTCATCCCCGACTCCACCAAGAAGACGGGCCAGCGCCTTGTCGGCGACGTCGACTTTGAGTCGGCATCCCAGACTGCCTCCATCATCACTCCCGTCCCCGGCGGAGTAGGGCCCATGACTGTGGCCATGCTGCTTCAAAACGTTGTCGAGGCCACCAACCTGTTCTTCGCCAAGGAGAAGCTGCGCAAGACGATCCCGCTGCCCTTGAAACTCAAGAGCCCCGTGCCGTCCGACATTGCCATTTCCCGCAATCAGACGCCCAAGCAAATCACTCGCATCGCCGCCGAGGCGGGCATCGCTCCGCACGAGCTCGAGCCCTACGGCGCATACAAGGCCAAGGTGGATCTCAACCTCCTCAAGAGGCTCGAGCACCGCAAAAACGGCCGTTACGTTGTCGTGACGGGCATCACCCCGACGCCCCTCGGCGAGGGCAAGTCGACGACCACCATGGGCCTGGCTCAGGCTCTGGGGGCGCACATCGGCCGCTTGACGTTTGCCAACGTCCGACAGCCCAGCCAGGGCCCTACTTTTGGCATCAAGGGCGGCGCTGCCGGCGGAGGGTACAGTCAGGTCATCCCCATGGACGAGTTCAACCTGCACCTTACAGGCGACATTCACGCCATCACGGCGGCCAACAACCTCCTTGCCGCCGCCCTGGAAACGCGCATGTTCCACGAGAACACGCAAAAGGACGGCCCCTTGTACAGGCGGTTGGTTCCCGTCAAGAATGGCGTACGCGAGTTTGCGCCAGTCATGTTCCGCCGCCTGCAGAAGCTGGGCATCGATAAGAGCAAGCCCGACGACCTGACTGAGGACGAGATCCATCGATTTGCGCGGCTGGACATTGACCCGGAGACCATCACCTGGAGACGAGTACTGGACGTCAACGATCGCCATCTCCGCGGCGTCACCGTCGGCAGCGCACCGACCGAGAAGGGCCAGAGCCGCGAGACTGGCTTCGACATCTCGGTGGCCAGCGAGTGCATGGCGATTCTCGCCCTCAGCACCAGCCTCGCCGACATGCGGGAGCGCCTGGGCCGCATGGTGGTGGCCACTTCTCGCAACGGACAGCCCGTCACCTGCGACGACATAGGCGCGGGGGGCGCGCTGACGGCACTGATGAAGGATGCAATCAAGCCCAACCTCATGCAGACCCTCGAAGGCACCCCCGTCTTCGTCCATGCTGGCCCGTTTGCTAACATTAGCATCGGCCAAAGCTCCATCGTTGCCGACAAGCTGGCTCTGAAGCTCGCGGGCACGGAGCCGGACGAGGACCACGGCGAGTCGGCCGGCTTCGTCGTCACCGAGGCCGGCTTCGACTTTACCATGGGCGGCGAGCGGTTCTTCAATATCAAGTGCCGCACCTCGGGCCTCGCACCCGATGCCGTCGTCATTGTCGCAACTGTGCGGGCGCTCAAGGTCCACGGAGGCGGACCCCCGATCGCGCCGGGCGCCGCGCTCGATCCGGTCTACAAGCAGGAGAATGTAGAGCTTCTCCGCGCCGGGTGTGTCAACTTGAAGAAGCACGTTGCCAACGCCAGGTCTTTTGGTGTGCCCGTCGTCGTCGCCATCAATAAGTTTGCGACGGACACCGAGGCCGAAATCGCCGTCGTCCGCGAGGAAGCCCTGGCTGCGGGGGCCGAGGATGCCATCCTGGCCGACCACTGGGCTCAGGGCGGCAAGGGAGCCGTCGACTTGGCAAAGGGGGTGATTGCGGCGGCCGAGAAGCCGAGGCAGGAGCTGACGTTGACGTATGACCTAGAGGGCAGCGTGCAGGCGCGCATCGAGGCTATTGGCAGGAAAATGTATGGCGCCGACAAGGTCGAGTTCAGCGAGTTGGCACAGAAGAAGGTGGACACGTACACGAGGCAGGGCTATGGGAACCTGCCCATCTGCATCGCCAAGACGCAGTACTCGCTGTCCCACGACCCCGAGCTGAAGGGGGCCCCGACCGGCTTCACGATCCCCATCCGAGACGTGCGCATGGCCGCGGGCGCTGGCTACTTGTGAGTCGAGGTGATCCGCTGTTGGGTCCTGAAGCCAATGCTGACGCGAACCAAAACCAGGTATGCTCTTGCGGCCGATATCCAGACCATTCCCGGGTTGCCTACGGCGCCGGGTTACCTCAACGTCGACGTCGACCCCGAGACTGGCGAGGTTGACGGCCTGTTCTGATTGGGTATCTTTGTTGCTCAGTTTCGACTTTGGAAGTCCATTTACTTGTAATTCTTGGGCTCTCGGATGCGGACCCGGTATCCGGATCTTCCTTGGCTGGGGTAGGTTATCTAGGTAGGAATGCCGGTATCGGATCAACGGCCAATAACTCAACGTGGCATGGCAGTTTGGAAATGGTCTATGGGGATGGAGTAAACTGGTGATGTCATTTTCGACACAAGGCGAGGGAGGGAAGCGATGGGCATGAGCGTCCTCAACGGCTAGCCCCGATCGAGGCCAAATAGAAAGGGTCTATGGAATTAGGGCGTCACTTGCATTGACTGTAGTGTGTGATGTGTCGGCTGTTTGTGCTGTATACTTGGTACCGGGCGGCGGGCCATGACGATACGAGGGAGTTGTCACATGGGGCGGATGGATGCGCAAGTGCGAGGGAGGGGAGGGCGACGGTTGCATTTGCGACGGGGGGAGAGGATGGGTTGGGTTCGACGTCTGTGACTCGGTGATGGCGGTCTATCGTGATGGGATATCGTGATGGGACGAGTGTCGTCCATGACAGACGAGGCTTTCTTGTATAGTAGATTCGTGTACGGCAGAGAGGCGAGCTGAGACGGATGGCCCTGTGGCTCGTGCGACGATGCAAGCTGTGAGGCTGCTTTACCACGGATTCGTGATGGTACTACTGTGTGATTAGAGGCTTGTATCCGTACGTGCATGTATGTATGCTGGACAGCTGACGCGAGGGTCCGATTGGGCGGCATGGACGATTTCGAGGACTCTGCAGCGCATGGCCGCCCCAGCTCGGACGAACAAGGCACGGGTCGCGGCTACCAAGCAACTCATCCGCCCTGGTTGGCTGCGGCAAACAGAGGTGGAGGGGGGAGCGGCGGGGACGGAAGGCCGTGGCCCGTTGTAGGGTTGGAGCCGGTCGATGGATTGCGCCTCTTCCCCGAGTCGGTGCCGTTTGCTGCTGGCCTTTGCAAGGGGCGGTTGGACGTATCTGATGCTGTAACTTATGTACTGTACTCTGTACTTGGTTCTGTAATTAATTACGGCGCCATGTGTGTTTGCCTAGCACCTACTAAAGTACGTACTGTACGGACACTTGAGTACCTACCTAGGTACCTAGCCAGCTTACCTACCTTAAGGTAAGTAGATGTTAATTAATTAACTACCTACCTACCAGTAGCTTATGGGGGTGTTTGCTGCTGGGGGGAACTCGGCCGTGTGGCGGCGGGGACGACGGATGACGAGATCTGCGGTTCGCGGACCGAACATGTACTGTAGTATGTACTGTACCTAGGTACTCGGGCACTGTAGAGTACAGTGCAGTATAGTGCAGCACAGTGATGACCCTGTCTTGTCGCCCTAAAGTGTGCTCGCTGGGGGCCGTACTTATGCGCCCTGTCGACGCCGGACACGGCATGTACAGCCGTTTGTCGCTAGTTGCATGTCTCCGGGTCTCCGGACGGAACGGTCGAGGATGCGTTGCGACGAGGGCGTACGACAACCATGGCTTGCCTGCAGAAGACGAGTCTCGCCTTCTGCCAACAGATTTGCAACGGGGACGAGACCCAATGACAACCCACGGCATCGATGGACGCCCCCTGCTTCGGAACGGGCGTCGGCCGCCCCGTCGGCGTGCACCGGGACACGTCCAAGCCGAAGACCCTGGGCACCTGACTCTATGGCATGCATGCATCATGCACGTATGCTTCTTTCTTTGTTTTCAAATTCTCCCCCTCGAAAAAGTGAAGAATGACGGCCTCTTGGAGAAGAAGAGCCGCTAGTGGCTAAAACGTGGTGCTGATCAAGGAACAAGGGGCAGGGGGGCGCAAAGCTCCATGACTTCTACGCACAAGCACGCACACGCACACACACGCACACAAACACGCACACTCGCACGCACACTCGCACGCATAAGCATGGGAGCGACGGCCATTCACACCTAGCCCTAGAACCAACATATTGTGTGTGTGTATAGCGTGATCAAGGAGAAATGGGCAAAAAAGGGACGCATGAGAGGCTGTCAAAATGGGAGAGCAAAGGGCTCCCCCTCTTCCCTGGCCTCCATGTTTCTTATTTTAGTCACTTTCAGCCTCCATGTCTTGAGCCTTTTTTTCCCATGTTTCACCCTCTCTGTGACGAAGCACAAAACAGGAAAGACAAAAAGGAAAAAAACAAGGAGCGGGAAACTCACGGGGACGCATGGGCCTCCCGAGCATCGCTGGAGTTGCCCGCATAGCTAACGCCGTGCGTCCCCCTGGCCGGCTAACCAGGACGACGACGCTTCCTCCAACAAAGGAAAAACCACCCTTGGCTCCATACAAAGCTTGGCCTCCCTCCAGGAACAGCAGAGACAAGCAAAAAAGCAGAAGCTTCCCATTGTCTCATCCCTGCGTGTCTCTGGCGGATCAGTGCGAAACAACAGACGCCAGGCATCATCGTCGCGGCTGAAGAGCGCCGATGATGCAGACCGTCTTGCTCGTCGGCGGCGTTTCCGTCGTCTACGGCCTGTACTGCTATCTCTCCAACCTGCGGCACAACATCGCCGAGGCCAGGAGGAGCGGCTTCAACTATGTCGTCGTCCGTACGTCTTGCCCCTGTCCTTGGACATGAGCGTGTGCTGACGCCCCGGGCACGCACGCAGCCTGCGATCCCGTTTCCCTGCCCTGGCAGTTGACGCACCGCATATGGATGCGCATCATCATGCTGTTCCCCGAGAGCTGGTGGGAAGAATGGCTCGAGTAGGCGCCCCCTACCCCCTCCTCACCCCTTGTGTGTCACGAGAGACGGCAACGGACGAGAGACGACGAGGCCGGCTGACTGACAATGATGCTCGGCAGCCTCATGGTCCCCGACATGGCGTTTAGGACGGGTTTCGAACGCTTCAGGCGCCATGGCGAAGCCTTCCTCGTCGTCTCGCCCAAGTCGCTGCTCCTCCACATGGCCAACGCCGAGACGATCCGGCACGTGGCCATGCGGCGCGAGCAGTTCCCCAAGTGGACGGCCACGTACGACATCCTGCGGCAGTTTGGCGAAAACGTGCTCACGTCCGAGGGCCAGCTGTGGCGCACGCACCGCAAGGTGACTTCGGCGTCGTTCAACGAGCGCAACGCCGCCCTGGTCTTCCGCGAGGCCATTCTACAGACCCAGGGCATGCTGCGGACCTGGACGGCGGGCGCAGAGGCGCGCGGCGACGACGAGGAGGCCGAGGGGGGGCCGCTGCGGACCGTGGAGCAGGACACGATGCGCCTGGCGCTCAACATCATCGGCTACGTGGGCTTCGGCCTGCGGCTGCTGTGGCCCGGCCAGACGCTGCCGCCGGGCTCGGACCCGAAGCTGGTCAAGTACGCGTCGCTCGAGGCGCCGCCGGGCCACAAGATGAGCTTCGTCGACACCATGTCGAGCCTGATGGAGAACATCCTGCTGCTGCTGCTCATGCCCAAGTGGCTGCTGCGCATCCTGCCGTCGGCGCGGGCGCGCGAGTCGGCCGACGCGTACGACGACTACATCAAGTACATGGACGAGATGATGGAGGACAAGATGGAGGAGGCGCGCAAGGGCAACCGGGCCGAGGAGGGCATGGACCTGATGGGCCAGCTTGCGCGGACTGCGTACGGCGGCGGCTCTGCCGGAGGCGGCGGCGTCCCAGGAGGCGGCGACGGGAAAGCGCCGGTGCTGACGCGCGACGAAATCATCGGCAACGCCTTCATCATGTTCGTGGCGGGCCACGAAACGACGGCCAACACGCTGCACTTCAGCATGGTGCAGCTGGCGACGAACCCGTCTGCGCAGCGGCGGCTGCAGCGCGACATTGACGAGCTGCTGGGCGACTCGGACCCGGCGACGTGGGACTACGAGGCCCTCGTCAACGCCATGACGGCCAGCATGATGGGCGCGTGCATGTACGAGACGCTGCGCATCATCCCGCCCGCCGCCGAGCTGCCCAAGAAGGTGTCGGCGGCGCAGGACCAGGCCGTGTCCATGGACGGCCGGCGCTACGTCGTGCCGCGCGGGACGACGGTGTCGCTGGCCGTCGTGTCGGTGCATCAGAATCCGCGGTACTGGCCGCACGGCGAGAGCAGGGTGCGCCCGGGGTGTGATGACTTGGCCGACTTCAGGCCGGAGCGATGGTTTGAGAAGCAGGAGGCCGGGGGTGCCGGAGCCGGAGCCGGAGCCGGAGCCGGAGCGGCGGGCACCGCCCACAACAACACCAACGGAGGGACGAAGACGACGAAGACGACGAAGACGATGACCACGACGACCACGACAACGACGACAACGGCGACTACGAGCGACACGATGACGGCGGCGGCGGCGACGGAAGAGGACTTTGGCGGCCCCGCAGGCCCGGACACCAACGCGCAGCTCTTCCGGCCCGAGCGCGGGGCCTACATCCCCTTCAGCGACGGGGCGCGCTCGTGCCTGGGGCGGCGGATCGCGCAGGTGGAGATGATGGCGGCGCTGGCCGTCGTGTTCCGCGAGCACAGCCTGGAGCTGGCGGTGGACGAGGAGCAGCAGCCCGTGGCGGGCATGTCGCGGGCGGAGCGGCGGCGGGCGTACGGGCGGGCGCAGGCGCGCAGCCGGTGGACGATGCGGCAGGCCAGCAGCCTCATCACGCTCAAGCTGCACGGCGGGATGCACGTGCCGGTGCGGGTGGTGCCGAGGGGCCAGGAGCGGTTTGTGAGCTGGATGGATGACCATGTCGAGGCTGAGTGAGGCCCGGCTGTCCTGGGTTTGCACGTGGGTTCCATCTAGTCTTTTGGAGAGAAGAGAGTTGATGACTGCATTGCCCAGCTTGTCACCTCTTCTGCTTCTGCTTCACCTTGAACCTCATCTTGATGCCTATCTGCGTCTCTCATCGAGCATCGTTTGTTTGGCCATGTGCACGCCTCCATCTGTACATGGACTCTCGGCACTACGCCTTGATCAACCTCATCATCTTTGCATCAATCTATCCCGGCTACCCTTTGTTGTTGTTGTTGTTGACTTGGACAGGGTATTCCACGCTCAGAGTGAGTGCATGAGCCACAGTGTCAAGAGCCACCGGCTGGCCCAGCCACGGCCGCCTGCACGGCACCAGCCACAGTATGCACCGCGCGCAGCTCCTTCCCTCTTCTCCCCCCACTTTATTACAGCTAGTAGGAAAAATCAAAACATAAACAAGACAATCCCCCCCCCCCCTTGGTCACCACCACAACCATCATCATCACCACCGTAACCGCCTCCTCCACCGCACTCACAGGCACACGCGCAACAATCCGCGCCACCAGGATTAAAAAGCTACAGACCCGGGACGCAGGCAGAAAACTTGACTGCCACCATTTCCACATCGGTTCTCCATTATACTTTTCTCCAGGGACTCACCCCTCCCCCCCCCCCTGTTGCCTCGTCGTTCAACCTCCCAACAGGCGCATCCGTCAAAAACGCGTGCGCGCGCGTCGCTCTCAAACCGCGCCACACAAGTCAAAGGGCAGACCGGGGGGCGCATCTGCCCTTTCTCACCCATCCTTGCTTTTGCGCCCGCGCTCTCTTCGCAACGCGCGTTAATTTTGTACACGCAACGCATCCCCCATCATGTCTTCAGGAGCTCCCGCCGCGACGACAAACAGCTGGCTCAAGGCGCAGCGCAAAAGCGACCTCGTCGATCTGGCCGATAGCGTCGGCCTGACAAAGTAGGTGCTCCCCCCTTGGCATTGCTCTCTGCGGCGCAAGACACACAAGTATGGCAATGCAAATTGGTCTTGGCGCGTCGCGTTGAGCTCGCGACGACCTTGACCAGCTGCACTTGGCGACGCGCCGCCGCCGTTTTCACAACCAAGGCGCATCGTCGCTGACTTCAAAAAGCTATGAGGGCTTTAAAAAGGGCGAGCTCGAGGTGGCCCTCGACGAATTCATCGCCCAGCACAGCGCCCGCCTCGCCAGTCGTTCCGACCTGACGGGCTACTTCAACAGCCGCTCCAAGGCCCTCGGCTCGCCCGTCAAGAAGGAGAGGGAGGAGCCGGAAAGGGCGCTCAGGATTGTCAAGCGGAGGGCCAACACAAAGGTCGCCACCTCGACCTCTCCCATCGAGGACCCCACGTCCGAGTAAGCCTCGCCCGCGGCATCGTGCATGCCTGCCCCTACTGACGCTCAAAAGGAGCGAGGACCAGCGCGCCGTCTCGTCTGCCTCGGCCGTCGTCCACACCCCGGGCCGCAACCTCTCCCTGGCCGCTGCTCGCATTCCCCTGCCAGCCACGCCCGCCGACGTGGCCTACGCCGTCGACCGCTCCACCGTCGCCGTGCGCAAGCGCGTCTCCTCCATGTACCAGGAAAGCGGCATCACCGAGGCCTCGCAGGCCACGCGCGAGACGCTCAGCACCGTCACCAGCATCCTCTTCTGCGTCGCCGCCTTTGAGCTCTACTTTATCCGGCCCGAGATCCTCGCCAACCGCTACGCCTTCACCGTCCCCGCCGTCGCCCTCGTCGGCACCCCAGACTACCCCGTCTACCTGCCCGACATGTTCCTCATCCTCACCGCCAGCTTCTGGTCCCCGGCCCTGACCTGGGCCCTGACGGGCGTCGTCCTGCCCTGCCTCTTTGGCTACTTCTTCAACCTGAGCGCCACCAGCGGCGGCAGCGCCCCTGGCTCTCGCACCCGCGCCAGGGCCCAGGCCGCCGCCGACACCGTCGTCGACCCCCTGACCTTTAGCATCGTCAAAGCCCTCGTCTCGTACGTCGTCTACGGCCAGGGCGTCACCTTTGGCGGCCTGCTCAACGAGGCCGCGATTGAGCGCCTCAATGCCGCCGTCTACGGCGGCTACAAGGGCATGCTGGTCGGCACCGCCATCACCGCCCTCGTCAGCATGTACGACGCCGTCTTGCGGAGGTAGGACGACGACGGGGGAGCTTCCTCCCCTCGTCCCCAGACCGTGAGAAGGAGCTCCATCAGGGGGACATGTCTTCTTGGAGGCTTGGTGCGCAAGCTCTTTTTGTTCTTCCCCGCTCGGGAACCGTTTGTAGGGGAATTGGCGTTGGCCGAGGTGGCGTTGCTGGCGTCGCGTGACTTGGATAATACCAATCTTTGTCTTCGCTTTTGGATGGCCCTTGGCTGTTCCCCTGGCCTTTTTGCATCCCGTGCGCCCTTCGCGCCCTGCATGGCTCTCCTTGCTCTGCGTGCGCCCCCGCCGTGCCTCTCAATTGCTCGGCCTCGGGCCATCGACGCAGAGAGCGCCCGAGCAAGGGGTTGGTTGCGCAAAGGCACAGGTGGGAAAGGCATCCTTGGTCGGGAGTTGGTGGAGGCAGTCGTCCTTTTCCGCCACATACTTGCAGTTTTCTTTATCAATTTTTTTCGGCCTCGCCCGCCGCTCTGCTTCAGACCACCCTTGGCTCCCCGTTTGCGCTTCCGTCCATCGTCATGCGTGTGTGTATCCCCTCCCCCGCAGCCTTGCTTGCAACCCAGCAAGTGTGTGCGTGTGTGCGTGTGGTCGGGCAACGGCGGCGCCGGTCGTATTATCTATCCATCCCCCTCGTTTTTCGTCTCGCCAGTCCTTCTTCTCGGATGGGCTGCCCCCCTTTTGCTTTCCCTGGCTTCTTCAGTGGAAAGGAGACTGCCTCGAATGGGATGCTCTTTTTCGTCTGCTCTGCTGCGCTGTTCGGCTTTCACTTTGGGACCTGGACGGGGCAGACCGACGCAGATGCAGTGTCGAGGCGCCAGAGACACGAGGAGCCTACAGTACCAATCATTCAAGAGGGGATGAAATTCCATGCAACTCGTCGCTCACCACTGCCGGCCCTCTCCTGATCCACCACTGGTTAGAGTCTGAATTGTGTCTCGTCCTGTCTCCTCTCGAAACTCATGTGCTGCCAGAAATGTGCTGCCAGAACACTGCCGTCTTTACGATGCAAGGCATGGTCTAGTCTCACCCGCAAGTCTGCTTCATAGACCAACCTGTCTTATAACCCAAAATCGTGCGCCTTGAACCCAAAGTAAACGTACAATGTGTCGTTGAAAATCGCCCGCCGCCAACGCCTCGCGCCAGTTCCCGACCCCGTGAGCCAACCAGGGACGTCGGTTGGCCATGCTGTATCCATCCCATGCAAGAGCCCTCAATCCAGATGGACCCCCAAAAAAAAAGACAAGAAGAGAAACTCCACATCATGGCTCGGCCTCTTGCCGGCGTAATCCCCAGTCGCCTCGTGCCCGAAATCACTCCAACTCCTCCGAGGGGTGCTCGTGCTTGATCGGGTGCACCAGCATGCTTCGCAGACACATTCTCCCACTGCTCTCCGCGCCGCTCTCCTCCGACACGCCGCCTCGCTCGGTACCCGAGCCCTGGCGGCCGCCGCGGCCGTCCATCTGGGGGTAGCCCAGCCAGCGCCTCCACAACAGGCCGGCAAACTCGCTGTGGTAGTACCAGGTTGTGCCCTTTTGGTTGTGTTCGTTTTCGAGGTCGTAGGGTGAGTTCCTGCCAGACACCGAGTGGTGTTTGCCGCTGTTGAAGGCCGCGTCGATGGACGAGCCATGAGGTTGCCATGCCCGATCAAAGTAGGTGGGGTGCGGAGCATAGACGGCCTTGAGGCCGTGATGGAGCGCCACGGTAGGCGGGAACATCTCCGAGAACATGCTGTGGTGATGGCGCCACGTCTCCTCATGCATCGCCGTCAAGAGTCGCCGGCTCAACCGGGCGGCCGTGACGATGGCGCACCGCCGAGGCGGGTGCGATGCCGAGGGGTCCTCGTATCCCGTCACGTCGTTGGAGAAGACCCATCCAGACTCATGCGTGTCAAACATTGGGTTCAGCGTGATGATGTCGGCAGCCTCGCCCACGCCGCACTGCTCGGGAGGATGGCTAAAGTCGCAGCTTTTCGGCATGGCCGACTCGCCCCGTTCCTCGCGCCGCAGCGGCTTTCGACCCTTGAACTCGACGGGCCCCAGGATGCTCTCCTCGCCAGCATCGTCCACGTCTGCCTGCACCGAGGCCGTGAAGTTCTCCCAGGTGCCGTGGTAGCTGGGAATGTAGTAGCGGGCGTTGCGCTCCCACTGGAGCCGGCGCGGCTGCTTGTCGGCCCAGCGTCCGAGGCGGTCGAAAAGCTCGTAATAGTTGCCCAGGCAGCGCATGTCCATCTCCCAGTTCCAGATGTGCTCGTACTCTGGGTGTTGCATCGCGAACACCTGCAGGGGCATGTGAGCACTCCGGTAGACGCCGTGCAAGTCGGCACCGCTCTCGTTTTCCAGAGTTTCGCCGAATCCACCGGGGTAGAAGAGACGCATCTGCGGCTCACTCCAGAGCGTCGCGAGGCTGTGGAATTCCGGGGGAACATGGGAGTCCAGGAGTCGTTGCACAGTGAGGTCGTCGGCCCAAATAGGTTCGTCGGTGTCATGGACGTGGAGCAACAGATGCACCGAGTACTCGCCGCCGGACCTCAGGGACAGTTCGGTCACCATGGCGCGGAAGTTGAGAATGGCCAGGCTGGTCCATTTGAAGCTTTGGTAACACCGCACCACCACCGCCATGCGGCCCATCTTGTCGCTGGGCCTGTCTTGGCCGGTGGGCAGCTCTTGTGTCCGCTTGCTGGGCTCCAGGAACCGGTGGCTGTTGGCGGCGACGCATCGTTCCTGCGCCTGGCCCCAGTCCACCTTGTTGTAGTTGATCTGGCCCGTCTCGGCCCAAATCTCGTCGGTGCCGGAGCTCTCCGTCTCGGCGCCGACGCCGGCCCCACCCTCCATCTTGGAGTAGCCGAGTCCGTAAGGTCCATAGCGGCCGAAGCGATCAAAGCACACGTCGTCTCTGATGCCGAAGATGTCGTACGAGCCGAGCGCGGGCTCAGGCATGTGCTGGGGCACGCCCTCATAGGCGTACATGGCCGGGGCGGGCACTTGGTTGTCCGCGTCAAGGTAGCAGGTGCGAACGCTGTCGGCGGTATAAGGGTTATATACCTGGGGCACGGGGACTTCGTCGTTCAACGGCGGGGCCTCGAGGGGGGGATCCTGGCTGGTGTTCGGGTACTCGGGCACGAGATCCGCCTGGCTCACCAAGACCTTGAGACCATAAAAGTATCCGTCAAGGCTGCGAGGCAAGTCAGCTTGTGTTGTCGGTGGTTAGACGGAAGGGAAACGTACTGGTTGAAGCGGAGCCATGGCAGCCTCTTTTGGGCATCGTCTCCGCCAGTCGAGCCCGATGCATCACGTTGATCAGACGACCCCCTCAGACCGTCGTGCTGCTCGTTTTGCTTCTCGGAGCCGTCTTGCACCACGACCGAGATAGTGGCCGAGTCGTCGTCAGAGCCACCCTTGGGATGCTTGTGAAGCGGAAGCAGCTTGGCCTTGGCGTGCGAAGACAGGCGAGCCTTTCCAAGCTGGACAACTTCGGGGGCCGTGGCGTCAGAGCCGAGGAGGAAAAAGATGGCGAGCAACAACAGACTGGCCAGGGTCCATTTCAGGACGCGGCGGTAGAGACTGGAGCCGAGGACTGAACGGAAGCGTATGCCGCGCTTCTCGGAGGGCTGTTCTAGGCAGGGCAGCAGGGACTCGTGGTTGCGGTGCTCGGAAGAGCGAGAGCTTGAGCGGCTGCTCAAGCTCAAGAGAGAAGTAGCGCGCCCCATCTCCTCACGAGCGTCTCGAAGAGAGGGAACAGGCAAACATGCGAAGTGGCGGCGGGCGGCCAGACACGGATCTGGTGTAAGTCGGAAGGTTGTGCTCGTTGCGATGAGTTGAGGAATCAATGGGATCCGAAGGTAGATATAGAGTCGGGGAGCAAGACCGAGGCAACAACAACAAGGACCAGGGGTATGCGAGAGCGGGTTGGTTCAAGGAGCGGCGGCGGGAGTCGCGGGACGTGGTCTAGGGGAACTGCTGGATAGTAGGGAATGTGGGTGTGCAGTAGCCCAAGACGAGCAGGGACCAGGGTCGAGCGGTAGAGTCGGGGCGAGTATGTATAGGGGATGATAAGCGAAATCACCAACCGACGGCGGTCTTGAAACGGAAGACGAGAGGAGGTGAAGAAGACGCGAGAGTGTCCTGGGAGAGAGTGGGGGAGGTGGGGGGGAGACGAAACGGAAATAAGAAAGCTCCGGGCAAGGAGGGAGAGAGAAAGGAAGGAGAGGAGGAAGAGGAAGGCGAAGAAGAAGGTCAGAGGAGAGGAATGGGAGAAGGCAAGAGAGGAGGAGGGGCGGGGAGGGGCGAGAGAGAAGGAAGGATGGAGCGAGAAAAGGAAGGAGTTACAGTGACAAAGAGCCAAGGCTGGGTAGAAGAAGGAAAGAGCAGGCAAGAGAGGAAAGTAGAAACAAGGCCAAGGTGGGTGTGATATCGACCAGCAACGGCGGTGATTGAGTTTGGATTTGTGTATGTCCACGAGCGACTGGGGGTCGCACATACCGAAACCTGTTGTGTACACTGCCGCGCAAGTAACTCGCAGATATGAATAGAAAGAAAAGAAAGTGGATTCGATTCCTCGGCGCCGGGTTGTCTGCGATCCACACGGAGGCGGCGAGATCTGATCTGCGGAGGTGGATGCGCATGTGCAGGTACTGTACTCGGTACGGAGTAACTTACATCTCCCAGTACGTATTCAATACTGTAAGTACCTACCTAGGTGATGCTCCAGGGTCCTTGTCCTTTTCCCCCACCAACACCACCCGCTGTGCCACGCCGCACAACAGGCAGCCACAGCGAGTGTTTCAGCGAAACGAGGCCTCTGGAGCGGGCATTCCTCTGCTGCTGCTTCCAGCCCACGGTCCGTGTCTCCGTTGGCTTCGGTAACGCGTCGTCATGCTTGCCCTCCTCCAACGCCCAGTGTAGCGAAAATGCCTTTTCCAACTCGGCCGTGCCATCTAGCCGAGGCGCCACCGGCGAACAAAGCGCGCTGCACAGACGCAGGCAGGCCACCCGTTCTTTGGCGCCGCCCGCTGCGGACCCTTTGGCTTCCAGCTACCGGCGGCCACCGTACGGGGCACTACTAACCTATTGGCCACTGTGTCCGGGCACGCTTTACAGTGGATTTGTGCACCGGATGACTCGCTCGTTTTGTTTTGATGACGTAACTTAATGCAAATCGAAGTGGTTTTCTCGTCGTCAACCTTTCCAGCCACCGCCCGCCCGGCGAGAGAGACCCAATTGCATCACAACACCATTTGCATCACAGCACATTGCATCACAACAAGTCCGCATGCTCAATCGGCAGATATGCAGCCACTGCCGAAGCGAGCCGCGGCAAACCAACCACGCCCCGACATCCGACCGACGACTGCGTTCCAGCAAACGCGGCCGAGTGTTTGCTTCAGCTGTCCAAAACACCAAGGACAACAATACACACACACAGAACACTAATATTGGTCAAGGCGCTGCAGCTATCCAATCAACCCGGGCCCCTGGCCCTGGGCATGCCGAATCGGCCATGCAGGCTTGTAGATGGCATCTCGGGAATTGCGTCGAGTTGCGTCGAGGGCATTCACGTGTGGCGGGTGGACTGCGGCGTCGCATCGCTCCCTATATCTCGTCGATGATATTGCCAAGGGCGTCGCACAAGCTTCCGGAGGGCCCAAAAGCTTGTCAAGTTGCCCATGGGGCACATGTGTTTTGTTCTTCACGGTCAATGCAAACAAACCGTCTTTTGTACATTGTGCACTGCGGATAGACAGTTCGAGATCCAGCAACATGTGTCTCCCCCAAGACAAGACAGTGACATGGAGCAACTGCTCACAAGAGACACAAGTCCATTCTCCCTCTACCTCAAGAAACGATAGCCACCTTCCGTAGGTTTGATTCTCCCCCACAGTGGGGGGTCGAGGTGGAGTTATATTGGTTTCTCTGCTATACGAATTCTGTGCGAAGAGTTCACTCATTCATGAGCACGGATACGGATACACAGGGCGCAGCTTGTGGGTACAAACGTCGTCCCGGTGCGCCCCCGCTCCTCTTTGCCTCCCAAGGTTGCTGGCGTCTGCGCTCGAGCCGTCTCGCCACGCAAATAAGGGACGGATGGAACATGGATTGCTCCGAAGGAGGGTTGACAGGGTACAGGGATTTGCTTGCCGCTGGTGAGGATGGCCCGGTCGAGCAATGATGCGAGGCGAGGGACCGAGTGCGATTGGCACCTGGTGTTCGTACATCAAACAGCGAGGTGGGCTCTGCACAATCTATCATCCCTGCTCCGGAACGCTCCCTTGCCAGTGCTCTCTCTGTATGTATTGCCACTAAGTTAGTTAATTATCATGAATGTCCGTCCAGGATACAGTCAGTACTCTAACAATCTGTGCCACGAAAAGGGAGACAGATGTGCCCCGGACTCTTAGGTGATACAGCCATCTGCCAGGCACATCATCAACCGTCGGTCCATGTACACTCAGCTCAGTCCTGCCAAGAATACCTACACCCATGGACACAAAATACATATATATATATCCACTCCCCGGGACGTCTTGAAACCAGAGCATGCTCCGTGGGGATGCAGCGTCTCGAGCTGGCAACATTTCGTGCATCGTCAATGAAGGCCGCCTCTCGGCAACAACAAAACGCGTAAACAGGCATTTTGCACTAACACGCCGCCATGTTTGCCGGTGCGCCGCCGTCTCATTCTCTTCTCGTCAAGGTGTAGGGTAGCTGCTCGCGCGCGACGATTCCACGTAAAGACCGGTTTCAGATGGAACAGCCGTGACAAGTCGTGCACGTATCCTCGGCTGCTGTTCCGAAATGTCAGCCTTCTGTTCTTGGAAGGCTATCTATTCCATCCCGCGACCAGGCTGCCAACACAGATACTGTACGGTGAAGCCCTGTACGGTGAAGCCCCGTACGGTGGGACAGTCTCCGTTAAGCCTTTCCAACGTCCGTCATATGCCGACTATTCGTCATTATCCACGTGGCAAGCTCCCTTCTAGCCCTCGCCTGCACCGGATACCCCCCCCCTCTCTCTTCCGCCGCCCCTTCTCCTCCCTCATCGTCACTCCGCCGCCCCTTCTCCTCCCTCGTCGTCACTCCGCCGCCTCCCTCCCCTCGGCCCTCCTCCCTTGCCTCCATCCCTCCCCCCACCGAATCGTCGCCACGACGCCCGCCGTCGACGCCACCAGCAGCCCGGCCGAGATGGTCTCGAACCAGCCGACGCCGACGCCCTCGACGGCCGGCAGCACCACGGCCGTGCCCAGGCACCCGGCCAGGTACCGCACAAAGTAGTTGGCCGCCGTCACCTCGGCGCCGTGCCCGGGGATCACGTCGAGGCAGTACGTGTTGAGCGACGGGAAGCTGAACAGCTGGCCCACGCCCTGCACGAAGAGCGCCAGCGCCGGCACCGCGATGCCGCCCACCCGCCGGTCCACCGCCCACCCGTAGACCAGGATGCTCGCCGGCATCACCACCCCCATGAACGGCACCGCCGACCGCAGCCGGTCCTCGGCCACCCGCACCCCGCCGCGCCGCCGCACCCACGCCCGCACCGTCCGGTCCGCCCACCGCCCGCCCACGAACGTGCCCAGCAGGTACCCGCTCCCCGGCGCCAGGTAGAAGAGGCCCGACAGCAGCGGCGTCTGCAGCCGGAAGCGCGGGTTGAGCACGTACCGGATCGGCGTCAGCAGGCTGTACATGTTCCACACCAGCGCCGAGCTGCCGCACGCCACCAGCACCTGGTTCCAGTGCCGGAACAGCCGCAGCGGCCGCGCCGGGTTCACCATGGCCAGCACCGCCGCCGCCTTCTGCCGCCGCGTCTGGCCCGCGAGCTCGGCTATGCGCTTGCGGTGGATCGTCTCGGGCACCAGCAAGAAGACGCCCACCGCCGCCGTGCCAGCCAGCGCCGTCTGGAGCCAGAATATGCTCGTCCACGACGTGTATGTCACCATGATGCCGCCGAGGAATGGCCCGAATGCCGGTCCGATGAGCGTGCCGGACAGAAACCACCCAATGGCCGTCCCGCGCTCCGTCGGGCGGTATGTGTCGCTTTATTTGCCGTTCGACGAGAGATCAGTCACGCCCGTGTCAACACCGCGTTGCGCTGCCGTTGGTCCGCAAGACGCTTATACGCGGCCACATTCTCGACGCCCCGCAACCACCCACCACCGGGGAACGAGCTTTGGCAGCGAATACACAACAGAGGTTGAATTCTTGGGGATTCTTGGGAATTATTAAGGAACAAGTACGTACCCTATGCAGGCAGCGCCCAGCAGTATAAACGCCGTTCCCTCAAACGCCGTGGCCGCGCGAAAGACGAAAAAAGCAACCAGCCCCGGCGCCAGCGCCGTCGCCGCGCTGAGCAGGAAGAAGAGCGCCGCCGTCAGCAGCAGCACGGGCCGCCGGCCGAAGACGTCGCTCAGAGGGCCCCAGACGATGGGCGACACGCCCATGAGCACCATGTAGCCCGCGTTGCTGGCGTTGATGACGGCCCCGGTCGTCTTGTACTCGGCCGCCACCTCGGGCGTGGCCGCCAGGACGCTCGTGCTGGATTGCGGCGAGAGGAAGGCGCAAAAGGAGCACACGGCCACCAGTATGCGCTTGCGGCGCGGGCTGAGGCGGTGGTACATGGCGTCGTCGTCATCGGCGGCGGCCGAGTTGTCTCCCGGTGCCGTCTCCTTGTCGTGAGCCGGCAGGTGGTGATGGTGGATCGTGTCGGGCCCGGAGACGTGGGAGGCGCACCGGTACGCGTCGACACCGGCCGGCGCCGGCGCCGTCTTGGGAACGGACCCAATCTTGTCCTCCTCGCTCCCACGGCCGGCCTCCACGTCATCGGAGTGCTGCCGCGACCGGTCCGATGACGCCGTCTCAGATAGCTCGCCCCGTGACTTTTCCAGTGCCATGACTGGCCGGAGAGATGCAGCGTAGACGAGAGGGCGTCCTCATGGAGTGTTGTGTGTAAGTGATTGGAGGCCAATTCCCAATGCCTGCGAGTGCCAGACAAGGACAGATTCGCAACGGAGACTCTTTGTCAACTGGGCACATCGACCTAGCAAGGAAGCCATCGTGACCCTATACAAGATATAAGAGAAAGAGGAAGGGGGGGGGGGAGGTGCAGACGCAACGGCGGCCCAAACCGGCGCCCCGTCGGGCATACGAGAGGGGAGCGGAAATACCATGCCGACCACGGAGTCCCATTGCCGATTCTCGGCAACGACGGAGGTGGGAGCCGGCTACTAACCACATACACCACACCGCCGGGTAGGCACCGTAATACCGATGTAGCCAGCAGGCTGCATCATTTGGGGTGTGGCTCATGTCCGGATCGGCATCCGTTACCGCAGGACGAATGATGCTTCGCTTCCCGCGGTATTCCCGGCACCACGATGTCTGCCTCTCTGCCCAGAAGATCCGTCTCTGTAGGCTGCATGCTAAACGCAGATGATAGATAGCTCGGGCCCCGTTGTCCAAGACATTTATGAACCCATCTGTAATCCTAGAAAGCTGGAAACCGCTGCCTTTCGTCCCTCTTTGCTATGCCAAGTTGAACACCACAGGGGCAGCATCATCATTTTCTCCAGCCAACATCACGCTTGCACATGCACAGATACACATGTACAAGTACGAACCAAGTTAAGACATGGCAGCATCAAGTGACAATGAGTATTCAGTCGACCTTGGACCCCCTAGCTACCAGACAAGTGCTCCATGAGGCAGCTTTCCGCCCAAACCGCCTCACATCCGTCTCAGACCGACGCCTTCTCAGAACCCGTAAACACGACTCCGGGCTAGTAAGCCCGCCCTTTCCCAACGCCAGACCATGCTGTACATGATATTCCAGAACATCAAAAGGCGCAATACCATGCTTTCTTCATAGTCGTGTCTCATGGGGTATATCCACCCAAAGCATCAAACGTCCCGCCCAGCTTCCCCTTCTGCACACCGTCTGTACATCAATTGGGGGGCTCTTATGCGAGCAGCTTCTGCACCCGCTCCTGAATCACTCGGTCCACGGGCTGGCCGTTGCGCTGCACCACCACATTCTCCCGCCCCCCAATCGTCACCACCCTCAGCCATTCAGGGGCCACTTCCGTCGCAATCAGCCTGACGCAGGCCATGCCTTCTTCCTTGGACAGGGGCATCCGCAGCGAGTCCCGGAGCTTCTCCGAGATGGCCATCATGGTAAAGGCCTGCCGCGGCAGCGAGAGAGGATTCGATAGGCTGAGCATGGAAATGGTGGCTGCCACGTCTACGACGCGGTTAAGGGCCGCCCGCCGTTGAAGCTCGGGTCCGGCTGGGGCAAGAGGCTCGTTGGCCTTGGCGAGCTGCTTGAGGCGCAGCCGGTCAAGGAGACTCATCTTGGTGCCGTCGGGGTTGAGCATCGGGTTGTTGATAACGGCTTGTTTCCTAGACTCCTTGTCTTGCTGCTTGGCCTCGCGACCGCTCTTGAGTTCGGAAAGCGCTTGTTGGCCTTTGACGATCATGGGACTGGCCTTGGTGCCTGCCCCCATGTCGGTGATGGCAGCCTTTGGGAGGTCGTCGAGGGACAGGCTCTCGAGAGTCACGCCAACGTCCGCCATATCGTCCATGGCGCGCTCAGCACAAAAGGCGTCGATGTTTTGGCGAAACTGCCTTATGAGGCGCTCCTCGTTGATGGGGGTGCCATCGTGGCCGGGCTCCAGCTCTATGCACACTTTGCCACGGCCGTAATCAGAAATGATGAATGTCGACGGCGCGTCGGGCTTGGCGGAATAGGCCTGGATGGCAATGCATCGCCGAATGTCCTCGACGGTGACCTGCCGCTTACCCCACGTGCGCGAGAGGTTGGGGACGATGGTGCGGACGTCGATGGGGGCGTTGCTGCCGGCATGTGCGATGTGAAGCGTGACAGTCTTGAGAAAGGCCTTGTTCAGGCGGACGAGGTCGGCAAGGTGTGGAGGAAGCGGCTCCTCGATTGTCCCGTCTTTGTTGGCGCATTTCTTGCTCTGAAGGATGTCGTCGATCTTTGACTGTGCCGTGCTGCCCTGACGTCGCGACTTGGCGATGACGGTTGACTGGCTGGGCTTGTGTACGCTTTGGGCTCTCGGCGGGGCCGCCTTTGCAACGCGCTTTCCCTTGGGTGTAGACTTGACAGAGGCGGCCGACAGGACCCGGGAGTCGGGGCGTCGACAGGCCCTCTTGGGCGGAGCGGGATCGGCCTCCTCGTCGCTGCTGGGCGGGAAGGAGACGGTGCGGCTGGTGAGCCTGCTGGGAAGCTGGACCTCGATGGAGGCGGCCTTCCTCTTGCGGGTCGTGGTTGAATCTGCGCCGACCACAAGACCTTTGTCGGCGGATGTGTCGTGCAGGGTTGAGCTCTTGGAGACGCGCGCGTAGACGCCGATGGACTGGGCGGCCGGGGGAGGGGGCGCCTGAGCGAGTCGCTTCCTCGTGAGTCGAGGCATGGCCATGTTGCTTGTTCCTTCCGGTACGGGCGAGCAGAGGGAGAACGAAGCGTCAAGAGCGGATGAAGTGGACGCCGGCCGTGAAAAGCAGTAGCGACAAAGGGCGTTTGCTTGCGAGAAGGTGCGTCTCTGGGTCGTTGCTGCTGACAAGACGGGATCTGGAGAACAAAGCGGAAGGTTCTATTCAGTAGCCAGAGTCGGATTGGGTCGTGGACGTGGTGATTCGCAGTCGCGGCTGGAGTGGTGGCTCTGGAGATTGATGGTGGGAAGTTGCAGAGAGAGAAGCTTCGAGTGGGCTCACCTAGGGGGGAAAATAGTCGGTCGACGCGTGCCGAGACGCGTTTGGTTGGGGCACGGCGAGACGCGTTAAGTGACGTACCGGAGCCTTACGTAAGATACTTGTTTCTTCGTACCTCGTCACTTTGGCTCCCGCCATCAAACCGTCCGTCACCACCCTACGAAGCCGCAGCATCTGGGAGGAGCACAGAGGGAATACAACGATGAGCATGTCGCTCTCGTGCACCTAAAGAGCATGTCCCCTCGCTCGCCCGTCACGGACGAGGAGGAGCAAGAGTGGTCGCTGGTGTCTCTTTGGTCAGTGCACGGACGGGTTAAAGATGATACGTAGTACGTAATAATCCGGATTGACTCATCCGGACCAGAACTCAAAAAAAAGTGAACGCTTGCTCTAATAGGGCAATAGCACGCAGCAGGCGGGGAGGATGGGGGAAATGCCACCAACACGTGGCATGGCGGTGGTGCCGCGGGGGAGTCGCCGTGCGTGCGGCTTTACCAGGACTCTCTCGGTTTTTGTGACACCGACTCCCATTGTGCGCGCAGTTTCGGTTGGCTGGTTCTTTCAATACTTGTCCGCTTGTTGGTGACGGGCTCATCCGTCTTGATAGGCTCGCACGGCCCGTTAGTCGACCCCCGACACTTTAGACGAGCTCCTTGCCCTGATTTTCTTCCGCCCGCGCATAGCGCCGAGCCCTGACAATCCATCGCGCATAATCATGCCTGCCTACCCGAGCCATCGTCTGCGCAATTTGTAAGTTAGGTACGGATGCGCATTTTCCACGCGTCACACAGAGTCGCCCATTTCCCGCGACCCGTGCACCACGCATCACGCAATTAACGTTGAAGCACGTTATGGTATTGGCATGGTTCGTTCAGCGCTCCTCACTATCAAGCGAGGGAGAAAGTCCCCATGGAGCTACCTTGTCTGCGACATTGCTGCAAGGCCTCTCTCGATGCCTGTAGCTGTATGTCGGTGACCGCGTAACCGCCCGCTCTTTGGCCCAATCACTCCTCTCTCTACTCCGTCCGCTCTCCAGCTTGCGTCCGGTCAAGCTGCAGGCAACAAATCACCGCCCGCATCGCAAAGGCGCCACTCGACAAGCTCCAGCCCGTGATGAGAGGGTTTCATTAGCGGGAAGGGCTAACACGAGCCATGGCCTCCCGTGGCCCTCAACAATGGCCGCTGAAGACAAAGAACCTATATTCCCGTATTTTTTTTGTGCTTACCGTGAAGCGCCGGCCGAGACTGGGCCAGCAGGCCAGTCATATCTCCTTGCGTTGGTCTCCTAACCCCTTTTGTGTTTCTTCATCTACCCGATATGCCTTCTTTGTCCATGTCTACCGTGACCGCCAGTTTTCCCGCTTGGCTGTGATCCCTGCTTACTGCCGTAACGCCGTCAAGGTGTCTCGAGTGTACACGGACCCAAGAGATGCACCCGCACCCATGGTCCGTTCTATCCATGTGCGAGGTGCTCCAAATTCAAGTGTGCGAGGGAGCCGGGCTCCTCTCATGCTGTGGTGTAACGCTGGCATCGTCTGCTCAGCGACGAGCGGGAACGTGCCAGTGGTCAGCCCTAAAGCTGACGGGACTGGGAGGCGGCGGCGCCGGGACGGTATAGTCATCCTCTTGAATACGGCGGACGGGCGTCGATGGCCGGTTGTCGCCCGAGGTGAGCGTCGCGTTGAGGCTGTTGTACAGGTCGTGCGACGTCATAAGGCGGAGGTTGTTGCGCGGCGACGTGGATAGCGCCAAAGGCGAGGCGACCTGGGGGCTCGGCATTGTGCACAGCTGGCAAGAGATTGGGATTCTGGTTTGGTTTCTCGGGGCGTAAAGCGAACTGCAATGGGCAAAGCAGTCAGCGTTTGAATGCTCGGGGCCAAAGGTGGTTTTGTGCGCTGAGCTTTCGGGGGTGGCCTACGTACTGTTCAGTCGGTAATTGCGTCTTGAGTTTGCTAGACAATGCCGGCGGGAGAGCTTGCGTGTCGATTTGTGGGTAGCTGATGGAGCCTAGCCCGGGGCCGTCTGATGCGAACGCAACAGATGTGACAGACGTTGATGAATGGAGGGTTGGCGGGTGGTTCCGTGATCCACAGCAGCCGAGCGCTTCTTGACAAGACAAAGTCAAAGTCTGGCGAGCACAGTGTTTTTGGTTGCGCGTGGCGGAGGCCGCGCGAGGTTGGCTGGATGATGGTGAAAAGGGATGGGCGGGTTAGCTTTATGTTATAAAAACGAGGGACGGCGCAAGCTTCGAGCGGAGGTGTCGAGTCGAGAACGCAAAACACAATCCGCTCAAGGGAAAAAAAGAGGCAGAGAAAGAGGGAGGTGGGGAGAGAAGGAAGAAGTGAATTTATTCCCTCGAGCTGTCGCGGCTCAAGCTACCTGTCGAGCAAGTATCTGTACAGGCGCCTGGGAAGGAGGAGAAGGGGGTGCAGCAAGGATTCAGAATGTGCAGGGTTTGTTCGCAAGCGAGACCGAGGGCGATGAAATCCTGGGGAAGACAAGACGGTTGGCCAAGACTGGGGAAGAAAGGTAACGTAGCAGTACACGTACCGAGGTACCGTACCGACGCGACTGGAGGAAAGGCCAGGGTGTCCAGGTACTTGTTTGTTTGCGTGCGGATGCCGAATACAGATATTGATGCGCCTCCCTTTTCCTACTTTCCCCATTCGCCCTTGAATGGAAGGAAGGGCAGGGCCAAGAAGAAAAGAGGGATTTGGAGCTGGAGGGAGAAGGATGGGGGTGGGGGGAGAGTACGGGGCAGAGAGCTACGGCCACGACAGGCGTGCGAATATCTGAGGTACCGATGATACAGTACGAGACGCTGTGCTTGACGTCGTTGGCGTCGGTGCCTGAATTCCTCGGCAGAGTACCCAAGATGGGACTGCTGATGTCAAGACAAGGCCATCGCCGACCACGAAGCGTCCAAGTGCGTGCCGTCCCATGCGCCCTCAGACCTGCACTAACGCGTAGTGTACTGACGTGTAGTGTACTGACGTGTAGTGTACTAACGTGTAGCTTTAGGTACCCGGCCAAGGGGAATGCCAAGCGAGCGGCCATGTCGGGCTTCCAGAAGTCTCGGCCGAAAGCGTCAGCTCGGCATTCATTGGGCAATTGTAGCCTGCCGGGCAATCAACTGTATATCGTACTGTAATACTCATCGAACTGCCTCCGCTTCACTCCGTCCGTCTCAAAGATGGCCATGAATCCTCGGCCTACCCCCTGGGCAGGCTTCTATCGAGGCATCTTCGCATCCAGTCTGCAAGGCGACACGAGGCATCCTGAGTGTAGTAGAAATACTCGAAGCTTCAGTAAATACATACAAGCGCGGCAGAAGATGCCGACGAAACAGAGCCCTACCAAAAGCCCTTATCACGACCAGAGGCACGCCATACATCAAGCAACGAATGAATACATGTCCTTCCCTCCTGGCTCATCCCGTACCGTTGTCCATCCGCATCGTCGTACACGCCTGGCACACGCCAGTGTCTCTCGCATGCACGCTTCGGGCAAACCGGACCAAGGCCTTTGAGCCAAGCCGCCTTCGTCCAGACAGCCAATCGTCGGACTGTTCCCTCTAAACTTCCATCCATCCACGCCCTTATCAAGGCGAGCGCTCTTGCTGTGCTGTACAAGCCATCCCGTTGATTAGTAGGGAGGTGGGGGATCCGTATAGTGCGTAACCTGCTGCTTCGTAGCCAATGTCCATACCCGTCCATCTCCTTGAGAACAGCATGCACACGGCCCTCTAGCTTTGCTGCAGTATGCCTGCGACGGGCAATCCCGGGGGGAGGAGCTGGAAGAGGGAGGCCTTGTCCCGGCTGGCCTTCCCGATGAAGCCCGGCTCCCCAGAGTGCGTATGGAGATCAAGCCATTTTTCTCTTTTTCAGTACTCGCCCCATGTCAGTTCAAAACGAGAACCCTAATGTCCTTGCTCACGGCCGTCGTCGTGGACCGACTTTCGCAGCGCGCAAGGTGAATAGACGTTCGCCTCCCCTACACCCACCGCAGAGAGCGACACGTGGTGTTCTGAGTAGATCAAACATGTCGATCCGCTGCGCACCTCTACCCCAAGCAAAAGGTATCACCAAACTTAATGTCTATTCATTTCATCGTAAACACACGAGTTCACGTGTTCGCTTCTGGCGGCTCGTCGTGGCTGTTTCCACAGGCCCAACCGTCAAGGCCTAACCACCGTGACCCGGGGCAAAGAAGCTTTGGGGACAAAGGCCCAATATGCCTCTCGTTACATACACATTTGTTTGGCCCATCAGAAGGACTCTTGCATGATCGTCCCGAGTGGCTCCCTGAACGGCTTTCTAGCTGCAGAGGCGGAACAAGACACCCCCCGCCCGGCCCCGACTCTCTCCGACATGGCTCTCGTCGATGCACTTGGGATGTATAATGAGATTCCTCGCCCGGGAATACCGGCAGAAAAGACGGTCACCCGGATATACGCAGTCATAACTTCGAGTCTAGTACAATGTCTCGGCTACTCTCTTGCCTCGGCAGCGCACACCAAGCGCAAAACGAAGTGGGCATCGACCTCCCAAGCTAAAGCAGAGGATGAAATGTTCTCAGCCGGCCTGCCACCGTTCGCGTGCTCGGGCCGGTAGCCGAATTGATGCCCCCCCACAGTCCTCAAAGACTTGCCCGGGGGCAGCAACGTGCGTGTCCAAGCGCTTGCATTGATACCACGTAGGTCTTCGGAACTCTTGCCCGGTAGTCTGCCAGGTACGTGCCGATGTTGTCAAGCAAGTGGTATCATAGAGGGAGGCTGTCTTCTCGCGAAGCGCGTGCTCGGCTCTTCGACTTCCAAACACGGTGCTCATACGCATGCACAGTTTGCCGTGCTGCGGATGATGGGAAAGCCAGAGCCGGGATTCCCCATGGAGCAAGCTTGGGGGAAGCCTCTGCTGTCTTCACCGGGATGTCGAATGCATAAGCGCAGTATTCGTGTCTTGCCGTTTTGTGTGCCTCGCACACACATCAATGGCTGAACCGTCTTTCCCCAGGTTTCTCGTCCAAGACACCCCCCCCTTCCCACTTGGTAGTGCTGGCATGTGCAAGCACGCCCTCATTAGACCTGTGTACCGTAACTGGCCCCTCGATGGCGTCTTGTAGTCTGGACTCCCTTGCGCACCGCCCGAAATGAGCGCGCGGCCAGACGTGAAATTTGGCCGTCAGGCCGGCTCGGCCGCTCTGGAGGGCGAGTCTCATGGCATTGACGGGTCGAGGAATGAACACAGAGACATGTGTAAAAATAGTAGATTACAGAATGGAGAAGAGGAAGAGAAGAAAAGGTGGTCAATGCCATGGCAATCCGGTCCAGGAATGTCCTCGCCTCGCCCCGCCCCTGATGCCGAGCGGGAGTGGGGTGACAAGAGACCCGAGCCATGCATCATCCCCTAATTATGCAGGCTTTTTAACGGTCCACGCCCATGTAAACATGACACGCACGCACCAATAAAATGTTGGAAAAAAGAAGAAGAATGAAATTGAGGGCGATGCACGTCATGGCTCCCGGGCCGGACGGATCGGAACCCCTTGCAGCAGTGAGCCTTTCTTGCTTATTACACAATCCCAGCAGCCCCTGGCGGTATTCGTTGTGGTGACTTCAGCACAGTACGGTAGTTAAGTTACTCGTTACCCCCACGGGCCAGCTGGAGTGTCTCGCGGTACGGTATCGGTACTGGCATTGCGGCGATCCCTGTCACGTGATCTGAATGAGCCAGCACGTGACCGACAGCTGCGAGGAAATTTGAGGGATCAAGACCACTCAAGACCACCGCAAAGGCCTCTCTAGCTTCATCATCATCATGCAATGCATACACATCACAGAGTCATCGTCTCTCACGATAGCCTCTTCTTCTGTGAGCGACAGGCATGTACCGTCTGCTGCAGCCAATGTCGGCAGTAGCTCATCTCTCCCCCACAGCATAATGAGACAAGGCATTAGAGTCTTGGCTACGGACATTGAAGAATGCAGGGAGTTTTTAGTCAGAGAGGGAGGGAGAGGGCAAGCCCCAAATGATACGTCAAGACAGTGTGGGGGGCTTTGGAAGCTCCGGCTCCGAGGATACAGTACCGAGACACAGCCTGGCCATGCTTGGAAGAGCCAACCCGTCCGCCTCGGTCCGTCCAGTCCTTTCATCCGCTTCCACGGCCGAATTATCCAGGGCACCTGCCATCTCTTGCTTGTCAACCGCCAGTCGCATTTTTACAGCCTGAACTAATCATCTGCCTGTTTAAGCAGGGCGGCAGGGCAGGCGCCTTTGTAGCCCGCATTAGAATTTATGCCCACGGGGCAAATGATATCGAGCCAGGAGACTCCGTAGCGGTATACTAAACTCTATAGCCGTATTTGTATAGCATACGCCGACTTCATCTTTATTCGGGCACAACTACCATCTCTAATAAAGAGGCTGGGACCGTAACTCACCGCAAGACCAGCCATAATAAGCTGTCAGGGCAGAAAAGGACTTAAATTCACGTTAATAACACCTCCAACAGGGGTGTCCCTATTTTGCCTCGTATAGCGGTATTTAACCAGCTTCACAATTATAAGCCCGGTTGCGGGTCCCCGCCAGACAGATTAGCGAGGGTTAAAAAATCCATTCCGGAAGTTACGCCAGCTAGTTGGTCCTCTATTTGACCCCCCGGGGAGGTTCTAATGCGCTGTGGTGTCTGAAAGCCTAACCCAATTGTCAGGGGGGTTACCTATGTCTCCTAAACCTCACAGTATACACATTGCCAGATAAGCCCCTATTGGGCTCTGAGGATAGCTTGCTGGCCATACAAGTACAGCCATCAACCTAGGGGATGTGTCAGAGCAGAACGAGAACTTTAAATACGCGTTAATAACACCTCCAATGGGGGTGCCCCTACTTTGCCCGGTGTAGCGGTATTTAACCAGCTTCACAGAAGCTGTCTGGCGCAAACCTCGGGAAATAAGGACGTCGTACGGGTAGTTCTATACAGTACTAAGCATTTGTATTTTAGAATGACCTTGGAAGATATATCGCATCAGTACGTACTATCTATCCATATCATATGTACTTGTGCTGCGGCCCAACGGTTATCTTGTGACTTGGCACGCCATGCTCATCGCCGAGACGCACTGTTACGCCCGAACCGAGCTGTCCACGTAAAAGTTCATGGCGACATTTGGGCATTCGTCCCGAGAACAAGCGCGGACGCGCGAGTCAGGATTACTCTATTCATAAGGAAAGCTTGGCCAGATATCGAGCTGCGACGTGCCATGGTGCATTCCGGGGGGCACGCATATGGCTTTCTGGTAACAACGTCTCGCCGCTCACCTAGATCCAGATCCAGAGGTTGGGCCTGGACTTTCTAGATGGTGACTATGGTCTGTCAAAGACGCCTGATTGCAGCTCGCATCAAAGAGAGCCTTGGCGAATTGCGCGAAGTGCCGGCATTGACCCAACAGGGGGGCAAGACTGGAGCATTACTGCGCCAACTAGACCGACGAGCCATTTTGCCAAATATGAGGACGACAGTGCGAAAGTTTCCACGCTGCTCCAAATGACCCTTCGGCCAACAGCGTAGCTAGAAAATGTATAAATAAAGCGCACCCGAGAAGGCTGGAGGACTTGGTTGCAACCTCATCCGTCAAGCGTCTTACAATATCTACTCAGATTAACTGATTTCCCCGTTTGACGCCCAGTCATGGCTGTTCTTCAACACTGGCTCCTCGGCGGGCTCATTCTGTCAGCCTTCGCGGCCGTCGGCGCCCGATCGCACGGTTGCATGTACACGGTCGTCGCGGGGGACAGCTGCTGGGCCATTGCTGTGTTGAAATACGGCATAACTCTCGAGGAATTTTACCGCCTCAACCCTAGCATCACGAACCACGCCAGCTGCCCCATCTTCCCCGGGCAACTATACAATGTGCCTTGCACAAGGGTGCATGAGACAGCCACGTCCGGTGGAGGTGGCGAGCATGATAAAGGTTACAATATGTAGCCTGGAGATCACTGCTTCAAGATTTCGGTGGACAAGTCGGTTTCCCTGCAGAATCTTAGACAGTGGAACGGCCTCCCCGGGCCATCAATCTTTATCCTGGAGACAAAATCTGGGTCTCCAAATTTGTGCCAGTCAAGTGCGATGCCTCGCACATAGCCCAATACGGTGATACCTGTTTTACAATCGCTGAAAACTCTGGCGTTAAGCTGGACCGCCTGAACCCTTACGTGGGGAATTGGACAGATCCCACTCCTCCTAAGAAAGTTGAGCTCATGCCCTCGACAGAGGGACTGAAGGCTGCTAAAGAGGTGGCCGAGAAGGGCATAAAAAAAGCTTTGGAGGGCGAGTTGGGACTGACGGAGGAGTTGGCCAAGGTGTTGCAAGACTGAGAGCCTAGGAGCCGGTCGAATATGTTAAAATACTTAAGTGTAAGAGCCCTTTTAACATTTTGAAACCGATCTCCAAAGACGTTGATGAAACTTTGGCTTGGGCGGAAGTGCTGGGCTCGGTCAGCTACTCGACTGTCATCGTCCCGAGGTTTACTAGTCGAGAGCGCTCGGCCAGTTTACCAGTCGACGGTTGCCGTGGAGGGGGTTGCTATAGAGTGTATGGATAGTATCTGTCGTATAAGTCACCCGAAGACTGGACGGCAATGATTATTTAATAGTACTACATAATACCTATCGACCTTTCCCTATGGGAGTAGACTTAGTGGGCATGTACTGGGTCGAGCATGGAATACAGCTTTTATTTATATAGCAGACACCCGCAACCACCCTAGGGAGAAGAGAAAAAAGAGACCCTGTAAATTATAAGTCCGTATTCTCATTATAGTGCTCCGGAGGTAGCGGCGAGCGTGCTTTAGAGTCCTACGGCAGAAGAGGTCTTCGAGTTCACGAAGAGCGTGACGAAAAGGGGAAAAGGCTGCATTCCGCGGTTTTAATTAGTGGCTTTTTTATATCCGACCAAGTACGAAGTACGCATACATAACTTTTAGAAAGGCCGTATTTAAAAAGCACCTCTATGAAAACATCTTTGCTTTTCGATTTTCTTGGCGAGAACAGTACTTCGTATCACTTCGTAGCACCCAGGCACCTCAAGTCACATCATACCATACATCTGCTTCCGTACCCTCCAATCCCAATGCTTCTTCCCTTCCCCCTCCCTCTGTTTCTCAGCTTGCAGCTGCGCCGGTTGGCCCAAGCTGCTTCTGCCCCAGTAAGCAACTCACAGTAGCAACCGGGGAAAAAGGGAGCAAATACGAATACTGCCCAGCGAAGGCAGGGGGGGGGACGTGAGTGGCTGAGTGGGAGGGGGGGGGTCTTAAGACTTTTGCCGGGGTTCATTGTTGGGGAAGAGCTGAGAATTTGCGGAGGAGGGGGAGCTTCTGTACAGTGACTGAGCTCATAAGTACCTACAGTACGAAGTGCAGGCAGAGAATTGAGGGGGTGGGCGAAGCAGCAAAAGGGGGAGTGTTCAGATGGAAAACTGAAAACAACATCCCAGTTCTCACACACAGCAATCACAGTACATCGTTCCAGGTAAGTAAGGTAAAGAAACAGGTATCAGAGTCCATAGAAAACAGAAAAAGGATCTGACAGCTTGTTCGTACGCTTTGCTCAACCCCGTACCATTTCTGGAACTAGGCCCGCGCTCCCGGATCACCCATCTTATTCCCTGCTCCCTTCCTCCCTCCTCTCACCCCGTTTCCTAATCCTACGCCTCAGCCAACCCCAGGTTTCTCGACTACCGTGATGGATGCTGGCGAGTCCGGGCGCGTACTGTACACAAGGTTGGCCGTTCCTCGACAATATCTGGCCTTGACGTGTACATGATGGAGCAGAGCCCCTTTCCCCGTGGGGGTTTTACTGCGTTAGCTGCGTTGCGTTAGCTGCGTTGCAACGGAGCCCAGACGGCCAGTTGTCAGCTCGTCGGCGAGATCAAAAGGACCGCTCGTACCAACGACCCTGCGTCATAGGCTGCCTGTCTGTCAGCCTGTCTGTATTCGTACTTCCGCCGCCGTCGGGCTTTGGCAGCCTAAACACCAGATGGCATGCACCACAAGGACGGAAATGAAGGCATTCCGCATCCATTTCGTCCGGCTTACCCTACCTCTCTCCTCTTACACACCCCCGTGCACCACCGGGGATCTTGCCCGTCCAGGAACGGCGAGGAAGAAGAGAAAGGCATGTACAGTATTGAGAGGAAGAAAGGGAGGGGAGAGGGGGAAGCTGGGGTAACAAGGAATGGTCTCAACTTCCAAGCATCGGCTCCGCTTCCGTACGTAAACAAGGACGGATCACTCTCCTGCAGGTGAGATATTCCCCAGGATTTGGTGAGCCAGATTGCACCACCGCACAACACGTCGAGCTATTCCCTTGCGCCGCCTCAACACCGCTGACGCCTAAAATGGATTATTCACTTGGCTATGTCTTGGATATGTACTGTATGATCTCTCCGTCGCTTCCGTTCTTTGGGCCACTTGATAATATTTCCGGGGAGGATTAAAGGGAACATGGTTCACCTGCGCGAGTGAAGCCCAGCTGGGACAGTCCATTGTAGACAGCTCATGCCGTCACGCGTTTTGTTGTTTCCCTCCATCAGTTCTTAACTACAAGGCACCGTGTGGGGACAGGCAGAAAAGACGGCGAATCTGCTACAGTAACAAAGTCGCGGTCCCTTGACTCCTATCCCGTTGACGGCCTGACATCGAATCGTCATCAAATAGGAAAATCAAGATAGACGGACAAAGCAGCAGGGCTCCACGCGGCCTTGTCAACACCTCTCGCCTGATGCTTCAAGCGCTCATGCACGCTCATCCCTTGGACGTGTTTGCCGACGTGCCGGCCGTCTGTGGCACCAGCGCCATCTTGCTCTTCCGCCTCGCCGGCTGGTACACGTCGTTGAAGTTCATCGCCACCCCCAGGAAACGCATGTCCACGTCGGGCTGGTACGCCAAGTCGCCCAGCAAGATCTGCACCCTCGTCCGGAACGAGGACCCAAGCTGCCGCAGCCGCTCCCGCAGCACGGGGAACTCGGACGACACGCCGCTCCCGAAGGCGCTGTCGTCGATGGCCTCGAGCCGCGACGAGCCGCGAACGTCGGCTTCTTGCCGCCGCGTGAAGTCGGAGACGCTCCAGCTGTAGAGCCCGTCGACCGAGTCTCGGTAGTTGAGCATGAAGCGCAGAATGTCGCTCAGCTGTGCCAGGTATGAGGCGCGGTCGTCCTCGTCGGTGCCGTGCTGCCGCCGCTTGGCCCCCAGGAGGCCCTTGTGCGTGATGTCGTCGAGATAGCGTTCGTGTGCCTTGATGAGGTCGTCGAGCGTGCAGTCTTCCTTCTGGATGCGCTTCTGCAGCTCACCCCAGGACGACTCAATCACTTCAAACAGAATATAGTATTGCAGCTGGCCCACAAAGTGAATCATCTCGGCTAGCACGCCGCGCGTCGACTTCCACGTCTGCATCACCACGGGATCCGAGTTCTGGAGGACACCGCGAGAGCCCGTCATGCACTTCCGCCACGTGGTCAGCAATGCAAATTCGACTCTCTTGATCCTCCACAGAAAGTTGAACACCTTGAGGTACTGCCGGTTCCCCCATTCCGTTACCACGACGTCGACGGGAGCGTCGATTTTGTATTCGAGGGTAAAGCAGTCCCAGCCAATGTCGCCGTGGGACAGCTGCAGCATGCGCGCATCGAGGCGGCGAAGCACCTCTGGCGAGTCGTACTGCGCATTCGAGCCCCGAATCGCATGCTCCAGCTGGGCGGTGAGGGTGTGACGATACTGGGCGCCAGCAGGCCGGTCGAGGTTTGCTGCCAGCGACTCCATGAGTAGGGCTATAAAGTCTCCCTGGCCCAGAAGGATATATCTCTTTAGGGCCTGGAGGTGGTCGAAGAGGTGGAACTTGTCGGCCATTAGCTCCATGAGACGCCTCATAGTCGTCTTGTAAGCTTCGTCGATCCATGCCTCGAGCGTGGCCGTGTCGCCGTACCGCAGCTCCTTGGAAGCGGCTTTGGAGTACTTTTCCACCCAGAGCGAATCGCCACAGCTGTGACGGATGAAGTTGAGCGATTTGCCAATCAGGAATACCTTGTGGGCGAAATCTTGAGTAATGATGGTCGGGATCATGGCTTGATCAATGTCGTACTTGTCCTCCCATACGTTGCCGGCTCCCTTCTTCTTGGCAGCGTCGTCGGCGGTCGGTGTCTTTTCCTTGACAAAGAACTCGGCATACGGATCCACCAGCTCTCCATCATAAATCCAGTGCCGCAGGATGTTATAGAACGGCCCCGTGAAGCTCCCCAGTAATCGTTCGGCAAAGGCAGCGACGAGAGGATCTCCGTGTGACGACGAGAAGCTGTGGATAAGTGAAATCAGCTGGCCACCCTTTTTGTCCTCAGACTCCTCCGCGATAAGACACATCAGCCGCAAGCCCATGGTGGCTTCGCGAGTCCACACGACGCATCTTTTCAGCGTGACGCCGGCTTTGCCGATGCCTTCCCGGGGTAAATTCTCGTCCAAGGATGAGAGTGCCCTCCGAATCTGTCCCTCGAGCGTGGCAATCAAGCTCAGGTACGAGCGTAGCTCGCTGCCGATGGCGGAACGCAAGCTTTGGCCGAGAAGACCCTGGGGCGAGCTTTTACAGAACTCATCGAGCCGGCGGTACAGCAGAGCGGGCTCGGCAAGGGTGTGCAAGATAGATATCAATGGCAGGGGGAGAGTCGGCGGCAGCTTGAGGGTATCTTGGTTTAGAAAGGGTAGAGACGTGGAAGAAAGGCCTTGGAGAGTAAAGGGCAGATCGCGCAGCATGACGGTTTCAGGCGGGTCGAATTCGGTGTAGTTGTCTGCTAGAAGAGTCGACTTCAAAGAGACATCTCTTTTTGGCGCATTCTGCGAGGAGCCCTTGTCTTGACCGCCTTGCTTGGCCTCCTTTGGAGGAAACCTGGGCAATCCCTCGGGCTGGAAAGCGTCCTTGAATTGCTCGTCCTCGAACCTGGAAACAGAGGCCGATGCCCTTGGAGGTTCACGGCCTTGACGTGCCACGGCGTCTCGAGCGACGGCATCGCGATAGTTGGGCGCCGACGGCTTGATTGGGCTCGGGGGTAGCGGTTCGCTGGGATCGGGCGAGTCGGCGAGTTGGTAGAGGAGGTAGAGGATGGCCCATTTGTGCTCGAGCACGGGCAGGGCGAGAAGTCGAGAGTAGAGGTTGGAAAACCGCAGCGCCTGGCTGGGGTTGCTCTGGATGAGCTTTCGCTTGATGAGATCCGAGGCGTGGTTGACGTCGGAGGAAATGGCCGGGCTCGGGGGGCTGGAGCAGCAGCGGTCAGCAGGAAAGCAGAGGATTGCAAAATGAAGCAACTCACCTGTCTATGACGGACTTGACGACTGCAAAGCACGCATCGTGGCGCTCCCGGGCCGCCGACTCATCCTCGCGCGGGTTTTGAGGGACCAGGTGGGCTATGAGGCTGTCGATGGCGTTGGCGATGCGATCGGGAGCCATGACTGCATAGTCGCGCAGGGGAGGGAGAGCTTGACGCAGAGCTCGAGGGGAGCGGTCGAGAGGATCAGAGCCGTTGTATGAACAAAGTGCGATGCGGGAACAGGGATCTCGAAGACGCGCCAGACGCGACCTGGGGAAGGCTTCTAGAGACGGCGGGTACCAGCAGCCAGGCGGCGCCTGTGCCGGGCAAGGGATGCGGGCTGACGGTTGCGGACAGGTTTTCGTGACCTCGATGCTCGGCCGCCGTTGGCGCGGCCGCCTAGTACCAGCTACAGCGGGGGCCGCCCTGACACCGGCCAGCGTTCTAGTTGTCGGCAAAATTTCGACCTCAACCCATCAATGACCTCGCTCCCCACGGTTAAGGGCCAGCATCTCGCCATCGACTTTGCGGCCCCAACATGCCCGCATCATCAATTTGAAATCGGACCCGCGATCGCATCCCCGCCGACACCCGTTTGATGCAACTCATGAGCCCGTTGGCGCGTCGCGCGTTGCCCTTTCGCTGCACGCGACGCATCCGCCTCTAACCCCCGTCGCCATCATGCCCGACATCGACCCCGCGGCCTTGAGCCGTCCCACCGTCACTCTCTCGACTCCGGTCCTGTCCAACAAGTCGCTGTCTCTCAATGCGGGAAAGACGACAAAGTCGAGCCAGATCATCCCCGCGCGCATCGACCTCGAGCCCCTCTACAGTGCCCTCAAGTCGGCCGTCGGCAGTGAGCAATGGGCCGTCTACAAGGAGGCCACGGCCGAGTTCCTCATCGGTACGCAACGCCCTCTCTAACCTCGCGCCGTTACTCACCGTACTAGGCCGCCTGAGTCAAGTCGAGTATTCGGAGCGCATAGATCCAATCCTCAGCGGTGACAATGGCGACAAGGACCACCTGCACAACCAGCTCATCGCCGCCATCTTCGGCAATGTGACTCGCGAGATGCCCGACCTGGGCATTGCGCCATGGGTCAGTGCAAACGACAAGCCCATGGCGCCCGCGCCCAGCAAACCCGTCTCAGGTGATGCGGCCGAGCGCAGGCTCAAGGGGGACGTGATGCAGCTGCCTGCGCGAGACCGCAGGCGCATCAAGGATCTGCTCCAAAACGAGGTAGGCCCCCATAAAGGTCCGGCCATCTTCCTTGCTAAACACGCGCCTAGTACGATCCCCACGAGACTCTGTCCAACGTTTTTGCCGACTCGTATCGAAGACCATCGGCCGTCGCAGAAGTGCCATCCAGCGCCGCTGGTGGCATCAACAAGATGAGTGAGTCTCGGAGACGTCGAGCTCTCGCCAAGATCGGGGTACTGACAGCCCACATAAGACTTTGATCTGGAAATCCGAAAGCGATTTGCCCAACCTCTTGCCGTAGAGTCGGGCGAGTTTCCAGACGTCGGCTTGGTCTCGGGACGGATGCTTCCCATCAGCTACGAGGCTGGCTTGACCGGTGGCCACGCGGCAGATGCGCCGCACCTTATGTGTGTCGCGACCGAGACTTTCATCAAAGAGGTCTTGACGCAGATCTTCAGCCGCACCCGAAGCAACGGCCCCGGCGATTCTGGTAGTGCTGGCTTCGGCATCGGGACAACGTGGATCCAAACGTGGAAATATCAGCGGCAACTCGGTCAGGAGGAGGAGGCGGCCTTGCGGGGAGAAGTTACGCGAGACAAGAGTGGCTTGCTTCCCGTCGAGGCCAAAGCCGCCAGCGAGCGCGGACCCCTCGGCATGGCCGACATGCGCTTGGCTCTCGAGATGTCTGACACGGGCATGGCGCAGTTCCCGGTCTTGATGACACAAGTGCTCTTTGGATACCGGGAGGGTGAGCTGGAGAACTTGAACGACTACACGTGGATGAACGGAGAGCCCCCCAAAGTCGAAGAGCTCCCCGAAACCAGCAAGGACGCGTGGCTTCCCAATGGCCACTCTGATGCCATGGACGTTGACACTGAGGCGTGGTGGGATGGCACAGACGCCCAGGACATGGATATGCTAGATGGCATACTGGACTCGTGCCTTGCGGTGGGATCTTAGCCTGGGATGACGGGCACTTCCACGCCAAGACCGGAAACAAGGCCCTCGACTAGCCCGCGGAGGCAATATTGGACTCGGCACAGGACCGGGATTTGGCGTTCACCAGGTATGCGGCGACGGCCCTGGACCTCAAGGAGGCGGGATGCATGCTGCATTTGCATTGTTCGATATGGCGCCAGGGGTACGGTTTCTTTATCGCTTCTGTTTACTTGCCCAGTTCTGTCTTGTGTGTTTTGGGCTTTTCTTTTCAGGGTTTCTACATCCCTTGGTCCTTCCAGCAGGGAAAAATCGGGCGTCGCTGGATATTCCAAGTCTACCCAAGAACATGGCGACGGGGACAGGGTAGAGGACCCGAGGAAAAAGTCGTGGAGAGGTTTCGTTTCGATTGGATGGCTTGTACTTGTACGGACGATACCCGCGGAGCTTTCCGGAAGCAGCTCAGCACGAGGGGCCTGAGAGCGGGCCTAGGGCCACCAAGGGCGAAGAAAGTTGCTTTTGCCATTATCGGAAGGGAACATGCGCATTCGAGGGCTCGAAAGGGCAAGGAGGATGCCGAGACGGGTGCCCGGCGCTCTATGTACTCAGTCTGCGACAGACAGGGCATTGCTGCTGTGCAATGGAAGTGAGAATCATTGCGATGCTACGCTACAAGAAATCATCCTGAGCCGATCCGTCGCTAAGCTCGTCGTCTGACGCATACCCAAGGCGGAGCGGAGACTCATCATTGAAGATGAAATCAACGAGTCTCTCCAGACCCTGTAGATCCCACTCGACAGAACCCCCCAACGTCGCGATCAACCCAGCCCCTTGTCGTGCCGCCTTCTAGATCGATGACGGCATTATCATCTGTGTCGACAGGCCCGAGGCGTGGATGCGAGCGTATTTTTCAACCTCATCAAGCGCATCGTAAGGCGACCAGCACGTTTGATAGAAGAAGGCCTTGTCCTTGACGAAGACTTGTCGGGGAATGATATCGTGAATGCAACTCCCATCACTATACGGGACGTCGGTGTCTGCAGGATCGAAAATGGAGAAGCAGGACTGGAGGGAGCGCATGTCCCATTCTTCTGGCGGTGGAATATCCTCCAACACATGTTGTGTAACAGCACCCGCGACGGGTTTCTCGTCGAGGACCCAATACTCGCATTTAAAGGAGTCTCGCACTCCAAGGTCGGCGAGCGTCAACTTGCCAGTGGTGTGAGGCATCGGAGGCGCCGGCCTTGTGAAAGCTGGGACAAAGACATCGGCAACATGCTCGCCATAGGTCCATACTTCAGGGTCCTCGTCTTCTCCAGCAGTAATCTTGTCAAAGATTTGACCGAAAAGCTCAAGTGCACGGGGGAAATTGACGAAGCAGTCGGGAGACACTGTGATTGCGAAGCGAAATCCGTTGACGCGAACCGTCATGTCGAAATGATCGTCGCCGACACCCCAGCCTCGGATTTCGTACGGGGCTTCAGATTTCAGCCGCCTATCGGTGCGTAATGGCATCGGAGCACTGCGAGCTGTTTACGTAGGAAAGATGAAAGTCGACAACAGTTGATGTCAAGGAGTCAGACGCACGTGACAGGAAGTATGTCGCCGATGCGGGCAGCGTTTGATAGGACATAAGTCCTTTAGTTGCTGATGGGGGCTGATACAAACCGGCAACATATTCTCATGCCATTGAACTAGGAATCTGTCAAACATAGCAAATACCACTTGACCACTAGCAAAATAGGGACACCCCTATATGGAGGTGTTATTGGTATAGTTTATAAGTCTTTGTCCTGTTAACAGAATCTTATCGGCTAGATTCTCAACGTCTTGCTTCATGTCGTTTGGGTGAACGAAGCTCTTTGCGTCTGCTGCCGGCGCTCAAATGCTGCAACAACAACCTACTGGGCTTATGCAGCCCAGAGGAGCATGTGATTATTTCAAGGAACGATCACGAAGTTGCTGTGGATATACCATTTGACGTTAACAAGCATTGCTCTACGTATCAAAGAGGCATGGAACGATCATGACAAACACGGTTGGCTTGGTGGATCGACAAGGAACCCCGTGGATACAGGAGTTCTAAATCAAGGGCTAGAAGTTCATTTGTGGAGTAGCTCATCCCCCGATAAGCTGATGCAGATAACTTTGTGGATTATTGTTGTCGGGGAAAGACGCGGTTGCCAGATATGTGTCATTTGCAGCGCACCTGTAGGAGCGCGCGTTCCACTTTTGCCTGCGTGGCGCAATGGTCTTCGCGACAATTGTATTGCTGAAGTTTTGAGTAAGTTGCATGGTCGTTGGGTTGTGAATCACGTCGATGACTGCTGTAAGGCATAGGTGCCAGTGGTGTGACAGTTTTGTGACGATATCATTTATATCCTGCTCCATCATCGTACATAAACCAACGCTCCTGCCCAAGAAATTTCTCCTTGGCTGACTCCCCGGTGGCTATCATCAGGCCACTTAAGGAAGCGAGCACTTCAGCGTTCTGTCTCGTTTACCCCGATCGTTTGACCTGGTGTGGTAGGGGACTCTGGGCCTGAGCAGATGCCAATCCTCGGCTAGACGCACTCATCTTCACTGTCGTGTTAACCGTCCACACCTACTTACCCTTCCGCGCGGTTCAACGGCATGCTTCGTGGAAACTGGCGTTTGCGGCTATGAACTCTGGATAATTTCATCCCGCACATGCTCAGTCTGGGGAGCAGCTGCGTCTATGCGCCGGCGTCGGTTGATCACGAAGTTTCACCGGTAACCCTGTGCCAAAAGCAACTGCTGTCTCATTGGGGAACGGCGTGACGGGTGGTGAGACGAAACGTGCGGCGGCCCTGGCCGGACTAGCCTTCAATGGTCTTTGGGGACACTTTGCATCATTTTTAAAGGAACCACTATTAATTATTTTGCCCACAAGTTGGAGAAGGTAGCTCTCCCTGTAAATCAATCTTGACGTTCCTGACAGGCCGTGCGTCTCGGGTATGAGCCTTGCAAGGCATGCCGGGGCCCCGGGGCGGAAGCACAAGCCAACCGCAACAAGGACACGAGCCTCCTTGATACCGAGGCCAAAGTCATAAGTGCACTGACTTGGGGCCTTGGTTTGACTCGCATGTGGGAGAGCTCGAGCTATGCTGGCAGCAAGCTTGCGATTGGACCGACTTCGTCCGAGCAGCATGTTTCAGAGGGCTGGGGTCGAGTTTCGGCAACTCAATGCCCCCAGTCGCCGCCCCGGGTGCGAGCCGAAATCTTGTATCCTGCGCTTCCGAGGGTTCCGTGCCGGGTTATTGATGAGGTCGGACAATGATGTTACCATCTGGCATGAATACCGCGTCGCTCTTTGCTCTGCTCTTCAGCCCATCTTCTTCTCTCTGCAAGTTTGTTTCCAGCATTAAAGTGTCTCCGCGCTAGATTGGAGCAATTTAAACCCCCTTTCCCGCCAAGCTTTGGGCTGCGCGCAAAACACGGCCTGTCTTTACAGACCATCGATACGCAAGCCTGCGACTTTCGATCCTACACTATGCTGCTTCTTCACCAGACGGGCGGAGTCAAAGTGGGCGAGGTTGTGCGCTATACCGTCTCCTACACCCCGTCAAGGGACAGTGCCTTGCCGGCGCCCGACAAGTTCCACGTCCGCATCCGCAACACATCGGCCGCGACGCTGCGCGCTGCCGTTCTGGCCGGACCGTTCACCATCTCGGTTTGCGCCTATCCGTCCATCTTCAATCCCTTCAAGAAGTTGGAAAACCCACGTTCTAATGGCGTGCCCCAATTCGAGCCCATGGTCAAGGCCGGGGCCCACTGGAACTGCGACCTGCGGGTTCCGGACGAGATACGACAGGCGGCTACGGCGGCGACCGATCCTTGTTCGGACGAGGGGCCAGGCTCGGAAGAGGCAACAGTCAGCTGGGTGATTGAGATTTCGTCCCAGATCATCTTCACCACGTCAGCCGTTGTTGGCTACGAGGTCATGGTTGCGACCAATCCCGAGTCGCTCAAGTCGAGCACCTCGTCCTCGATGCTCCTGAACAGCAGTCCGCCGGGCAAGCTTGCAGAGCACCAGTACTTTATGAGATCCCATGGTGAACCAAGCCTTATGTCATCCTCGGGTGTCTTTTCCAAAGCATTGACGCTCAAGGTTGAGGATACGGCAATGTTGTGGAACTCGCCGTCCCTTCTGGGCAACAAGGAGCCGAAACCGCGCCAAGAGCAGCTTGGAGATGAGGGCCACGTCGAGACAGGCGCTACCTCGTCTGATGACTATGACCCGCATGCAATACGGCAAGAGAGAAAGGCTACGAAGCCAAGGTCGCATCACAAGCAGCGCACAACTGAAGCGCGTGCCGGGAGAAGAGCTGGAGGCCACAGCAAGGATGAGTCGCGCAAGCAGAAAAAGGTCCACCTCGTCATCATAACGCACGGCTTACACAGTACCATGGGGGCGGACATGCTGTTCCTCAAGGAGAGCATCGATGGTGCGGCAAAGCAAGCCAAGCTTGACGCCCAGGCAAGGAAAGCTCAAGAAAGCGCCGCGAGCCAAGACGACGACGACGACGACGACGAAGAGGTCATTGTTCGAGGATATTCGGGAAATGCGACCAAGACGCAGAGAGGCATCAAGTTTCTCGGCAAACGGGTTGCCAAGTACGTCCTGTCCATGACCTACCCGGACCAGCCATATCTCCCGACGGGCAAGGCTGTCCACGAGGGCTTCGCACAAGGCATAGCCGGCGACCATCACCCTCACCACCATCGTGCACACAAATACATGCCCCACGAGTACCGCGGCCGGCAAAGGCGGTCGTACAAGATCACGAGCATCAGCTTCATCGGACACTCGCTGGGCGGCCCGACGCAGACGTACGCCATCGCCTACATCCAGAAGCACTGCCCGAGCTTCTTCGACCTCATCAAGCCGAGAAACTTCATCACCCTCGCCTCCCCGCTGCTGGGCGTGAGCAACGAGAATCCGTTCTATGTCCGGTTCGCCCTCGAGTCCGGCTTCGTGGGGCGGAGCGGGCGAGACCTGGGGCTGAGCTGGGGACCGATGACTGCCGCGCGCAGCGGATGGGGTACCTTTGTCGGGTCAAAGACGGAGGCGTCGGCAAAGGCGTTTGGCAATGTTCGACCGGAAACGAAGCCCTTGCTGCGGATCCTGCCAACTGGGCCGGCCCACACGGCTCTCAAGAAGTTCCAAAACCGAACCGTATATGGAAACATCGTCAACGACGGCATTGTCCCGCTTCGCACGAGCAGTCTCCTCTTTCTGGACTGGCAGAGTATCGAGCGCGTTGAAAGGGCGCGAAGAGAGGCCGGTCTCATCGAGAGCGCAGTAGCCATCGGGTGGCACGAAATAATGGGAAACAACCTGGTTACCCCTGACCAGAGGGAATGGAAGCCCAGCCGCGACAGTATCATCCCTGAAGACTACATGGGAATGGTTCCTTTGCCGTCGAATCGTGAGATGATGGAGGGCGAGGGTCCAACGGCGTTTACTCCGGCGACGGCCTTGGTTGCCAATGCTGCGTTGCCTTCACATTCGGGCTACACCGCAAACGCACCCCTTGCGGGCTTCTTCAAGCTCTTCAAGGCCAACGCCAAAGACGCGCGTCAGGAGAAATTCATCTCGCGAAAGCACACGCAGATGCTCAGCAGAGGGCAGACGTTCAATCTCGATGAATTGCCATCCAGGGACGGATCTGGAGAGCTTAATGGTCCATCAGAAGGCGAAGAGCAGTTTCGAGTGCCGCCGACGACTTCATTCTTTGAGGGAGTCGGAGACCTCCTCAACCCAGCCGTGGCGGATGTCAACTTTCTCATTAATCCCAACAAGCGCCCCAAAACCATCTTGCACGATCGGGTGTACCTTCCATCAGACATACCGCCGGCGCCGGCGCAGAGACAAAACAACATGCTCGTCGAGGAAAAGATTGCGAGGAGCTACCACCGCGACATGTCGTGGCGCAAGGTGCTCGTCAAGCTCGAGCCCGACGCACACAACAACATCTCGGTCCGACGCATGTTTGTCAATTCTTACGGCTGGCCGGTCATCAAGCACCTGGTAGACACGCACTTTAGCGACGCGGCCGTCACCGAGGCGGACCGCCAAGGGGCCAATCTTGAAAACAGCGCCTCGGACGACACGAGCCGGATGCTTGACGAGGACACGCTGGCGCAGCTTGAGGCGTTGCAAAAAACGCGGCGGCCTCGGATTCATCAGCCCGGAAACGTCGTTTTGCCCGAGATGCAATGCCAGGCAAGCTCGCCACACGCACCGATGGAGCCTGATGGGGTGACGTGGAATGTGACGGATTGGCTAGATAGCGCGGACGAGAGCGACGAGGACGAGGGTAAGTTCAAGGCCACCCGCAGCAATAGGAAGACGAACCGTTCGGACAAGGCGCAGACTTGGCACTCACCCAGCGTCAACACTAGGGGGGGTGTGAAGTCGACGAAGTGAACCATAGAGTCGATTTGATGGCTTCTTACAGGTCAAGGGAATCAACTTGACCCGCTGACTGTTCAGTCACATGGCTCGACTGTATAGACCCTTGTGTCCACTTGTCCATCTGCCTGTTTTCGAACGCCGGCCGGACCTAGAGGTTCGGGGGGGGGCTCTCCCGCAAGTTTACCAAGGGTCCTAGGTCAAGGTACAATAAATATATACCTTAATTATGTGGCGAAGCTGCGGCGCAGCTATAGGCATGATGTTTCAACGGCACTGGAATTATATAGTGAAACTAAAACATAACCTCTGTTTTATTTGTTTCACTAAAAACTTAAGCTTCGTTTCAGTTTTGTTGTAATGTGACATGCCTGTTTAGCGGGCATAATAGCTAAGAGTTAGTTGGCATCTGGAATACTTAACCAATCATTGAGCCTTTATAGCATGCCTGACTAAGGCTAGAGTAGGCGGTCGAAGAATATGATGACATGACGGCAGAGACAGCGGCTCGCCTCCCTCGCTTATCAGGGGCTTTTCACGTAATAAAAATTAGCCCCCAGCATTCTAGCAGAGTACTTGTTTGCCATTTCTAGAGGTGAGAATTCTATCATTTCGTTGAGTAGTATATATAAAGCCCGGCGAACGACGGCAACTCCCGCTAGGAAAAGATTAATTATCACCTCTTTCCTTTGGAACTGTATTCCTGCCGACTAAATGCCCTGAATATCTCCCCTGCCAATTGTACTATTTTTATGGCAAGATGTCTGCATCACTGTGGATGAACCAGGAGACATCACCCTGCCCAGCCCCAGGAACCCCGGCGGTATCTCAGGACCGGCCGTCGGCGCCCCGGCATGTCCTCGATTGTATGACTGATGTGTTGCGCTCGGTGGGTGGGCTCACACTGAGAGCTCTGGTCGCTGTAGTGGGGGCCAAGCTTGGGGGCCGGGGACCGCTGTCTCGTCGGGTAGTGGCGGCGAGCCCCGCGGGGTTTATGTTTGCGTTGGCGGTGCTGGTTTGCTTCATGGGCACGGTTGCTGCAGAGCCGAACGCGGTGGACAGGTTCGTTGACAGCGACTTCTCGGCAACCGACCGTGTGTGCGTTCCGTTGGGCAGGCCATACGTCACCCTTGCCTGTTTTGACGGGAAGACGGTCCACTACCTCGCAGTGTGTGAAGTGGACGGGAGGGTCGTGGCTGGAGACCCCGCGGGCAACCGTGTGGATGGTGCGGGCCTATTTTACGGGTGCATCCCCAAGAACGTGCGCGCTCCCGGCAGGGGTTACACGGCGACGGCGCGGAAGCCAGGGCCACCGGGCATAAGTCGGTTTGTCTCGTATCCAATCTCCCGGCTGAACCTGTGCGGGTGGCCAACGAAAGACCCCGGCATGACAGGCGGGCGCGCCCACCCGCCCACAGCCCGGGAGCCGGTACGGCAGGTAACGGCGCCTTGGGGAACGCGCGATCAGAGCGGCCGGGAATCGCCCGAGTACGACGCGGACTGGCTCGAGGTCCATGCCGGGAACGAAGAGTCGGGCCGCCCGTCACCAGGCGAGGCTTCATACTGTGACGAGTTTGGCCTGCCGTCCTTGGTCTACCTGTGCAACTTTGGACGAAACGACGAGCTGGTCCATTACTGTCACGACTCCGTGAGGGGCTGGTGGTACGACCTTTACGGGAACCAGCTGGCTGACGAGGGAGTGAACTGTTATTGCCACCCCGTGGGGCTGAGAGTCCCGCCGACCCCGTACCGTCCAGCCAGCGGCGTGGGGCGGGCGCGCTTGGTGCGTTCACCAGTCGTCGGCGCCGATTACTCGCCGTCGGCAAGTGAACGGCTCGAGGTCTCCTTCCAACTCGGGGGCGTGAACCCTTGGTCACCAAGAAACGTGTCCACGGCTCCAGAACCGCAGTCGGGGCTTGTCCGGGGCGAGCTCGATCGCACCAGGGCACGCATCGGGGTCGAGGCATTTCAGGACAAGGACATCTCCAACTCCGAGAACGCATGCACCTCGCGTGGAGTGCCGTACGTAACCCTGGCGTGCAAGGACGGTCCGAGCATTAGACATCTGGCTGTTTGTGGCGGTGACGGGCCGGCATCCGTCAACTACGAGGATGCTGGCTTCACCGAGGGCATCGGGCTCTTTCACAACTGTTTCCCGACCAACGTGCGGGCGCTCGGGCGCGGATACGCCAAGAATCCAGGAGGGCGAGTCACGGGGCCCTTTCGCTGGACAAGCTTCCCGCAGGGGCGGCGCGTGGCATGCGGTCGTATGCGGCGCGACGGGCTGGCCCACGGACCCGTTGCCCCGGAGCCAGACGCTGCCGTGGTTCGCCGGCTGTCTGCGAGGCCATGGGGCGTGAGGGATTCAACCGGCCGCACCGCCGGGCTGTACGGGGAGAAATGGAAGGTGGTTGCACCGCCACTAGTACGGCCGGGCCCGGATGCGTGGTCGGGTAGGTCGTACTGCGACCAGCGCGGCTTGCCTACCCTTGTATATCTGTGTGGCGGGCTGGGCGGCAAAGAAATCCTTCACTTTTGCCGTGACAGTGAGCGGGCCTGGTGGTACGACCTCTTTGGGAACCAGCTGGTCGACAACCGGGTTGAGTGCTACTGCCACGCGGTTGGTACGCGTGTCCCCGACGCACGCTACAGACCAGTGGGGTCATCGGGTCGGGGGTTGCCCATCAGACGCCTGCGCTTGGCCGCTGATTGTTCCGCTCCAGCCAATGAGTACAGCCCCTTCTCACTGACCGTCGGCGGGCCAAACCACTGGGCCCGTTGCGTGGCCGGGAGACCAGCATGAGGTGCATTGGTTGGGGCCCCCGTGAGGTGCATTGGTTGGGCCCCGTAAGGTCGGCCGCCGGGAGGGGTGCGCCCGCCGGCTGGGCCGTAATTACCGGCGACCGACGGGGACACCCTATCCCGGCCCGCAGTACGTGGTGGTCAGGGGACCCGACGACGCGTGACGCCTAGGGGCGGTCCCGGCAAAACGCCCCTTGGCGGGTGGTTGCGTCCAGTGCCATGCAGTGTCGGGCGAGGAGGCGTGGCGGTAGCGGTCCGGCGCTCGGCTGCGCGGGCCCCCGGGTGGTGTCCGTTGGGGCGCCTGTCCCAGGGCTTTCGAGCTCGGGCCCCGGGTGTGCGAGGCCGCTTTCGGGGGGTGAGACGGGGGGACACCGTAGGTGATCGGTATCCACTGACATCACTGACGGGCTGCTTATGCCCCTGACCGCACTGACCGCAACCGAACGGTCAGGGTGCCCGGCTGCCCCTGTGCTGAACAGGAACAAGACTGCGCCTGATAATGCATACTTGATGAATCGAGTTACTTCAAAGGAGCTTGGAAGTATCGCGACATTTCGCATTTCCCACCCTATGGGGGGAACCAGTAGGCTCTCCTTGTACCCTTGCTACGGGCGGAAGCATCACCAACAGCCCATGCAACGGGTCTAAGCCTGCAAAGCAAATAGACCTTGTGCCACCTTACCAAGTTTTCCCAACAAGAGGAGTGGCGAGTCGGTCGGTCAGTTGTACCACGTCCTGGGAGCTGCTCTCTCCGATGCAGGTCTTACAGAGGTTGGTTACCTTCTTCTTCCAAAGCTGATGCCGAGGAGGGCAACCACCCCTTGTCCTGAGGCTTCGTACGCTGAAAGCTTTGCCACCTGCCGACCTTCTGCATATGCATACATTTTGCCACTTGGGGCCAAGCCGAGGGAAGAAGTGTATGCCCTTGAGAACGGTGCCATCGTGCCGCCGAAGCATGCCCCAGTCAATTGGGAACGAGAGAGAGAGTGCGGAGGACATGTAGATTGATGCTGGAGTGCTTGCTCTAAATCGGACGTTTGCTCGGTCGACGATATCGGCTCGTTTAGATCGGTAGACTGCCTCGTAGAAGAAGTAACAGAGGAGCTTCGAGTGCTTGACAGCCGGTTTGGGCCCCAGAACGTGTATAGAGACATAATAACGCGTCGATCCGACGCGTTGTTGCGAGTATTCCATGGGTCCTCTGGGTATAGGCACTTAGGTGAATGGTGGATTCGGTTTATCCCACGCGCCCCACCCGCTTGCCGTTATACCCTAAAGAATTTTGTGTGGTTTGGCAAGCAGCCGAGACAACTCTCCTTGTACAAATTCTTTATCCCGCGGAGCTGTTAGCGGCTCGTTAGCCGGGACAGGATCTATAGGCTACCCGACCGCGCTTTGCTGCGGGGTCTATCGTGACCCTAACAGCACAGAGGTAGACCTTAGGAGAGTTTATATTCCTCTGCGAAGCCGGTCTCGACAACACGGCCACTCGGACCTTTATGGCTCTCTTCGGAACCAAGGAGCCGTGGGTATTGGAAGGTCCGCCCTTCTAAACAACGGTGGCTGGTCGCGGAGGTTTTTCTCCCTTAAGGCAAGCTGCAAAGCCAGCCTCCGATTCCTTCTAAGGGGGTTTCTCTGCCGAAACCAAGAGTTGACCAACGCGCCTGAAGATCCCGCTGACGGGTGACAGGCTTGACACAGAGCGCCAAGGAGCCGATGAAATGCTGGATGGGCAACTGGGGGGGTCTGTTACAGGGGACGGACCAAGGGCGCTGTGCGCGGGATGTTTTGGACTCTGTATAGGCCTGGTGGGCTTTGCGGACGGTGTTCTGGGACGAATTTCCTGTATTTACCTCACGGTAGCCTAGCTCAGCACGTCCTGTGCTCCCTCGCGGAGACTTGAGCAGCCTAAGGGCCGCTGGACGGTAATACACAACACAACAACATGAGATGCCAACGCCCTCGGGAGGCCAAATTATGCTTCCTGATGGCCCAAGCCTCGAACTCATAGGTCGGAGACTTTGGCTCTAATTGCCGTAAATAGCGCATGTTATGTACTTGACCTTTCATCGCTTAATTATATCCATCCAGCATCGCGCCAAATCCGGCCTATCGGGACCTATAGCTGCCTGTTGCAACTGCTCGAGATACCGAAGCCTTCGTTTCTGTATAAGAGCCGTACGATTCTATGCATCCGCTCAATTGAAGCCTTTTCAACATTTCTCGTCAGTTGACGGCTACTATTCAATCGAATTGCGTGGCTGCCACAGTCTTGCATGCAGGCGACCGTAATGTTTGGCAGCCTATCAAGATCAGGACGCTCATTCACTGTGCTGCCTAACAGGCAGCAAGCAGTTCGTAATGCCATTAGTGACGGATTCGAACCTTCTAGGTGACATCGTCATCGATGCTACCTGGGTGGCGAAATCGCCACTCAACCCAAAATCATAAGGGCAGCCAAGCTGGCCGCGAATAACCTTACAGCGCAAGTGGCGGCAGCGCCTTGTGGAAGAGCTTTGTGCAGCGTACGGTAAAGAAGGCGGCTCAAGACAACGGTTTCGAGCTGGGGACGGGTTTACGCCTATTTTACAACACAATCATGTCGATCGTAAGAAAAGCGCAAGGTGCCTTGCCTGTCAAGGCTTCAAAGCCGGCCAGCCTCGCTCACGGAGTTAACGCAAGCCTCCACACACAACAAGCAGCAATAATACGCCTACGAAGACGAGGCGGGGATGCGATAAGTGCGATATAGCTATTTATATAGGCCCGACTTGCTGGGACTTCTATCATGGTGTAATTTGCTAGTAAATAGATGTACCGCTAACAGCATAATGTCCTTATTAGCCGATATCCCTGTCCGTGACCCGCTTGCTCCCTTACGGCAGTCAAAGGGATATAGTGCCTCCTATAAGTATCTGTCGCACTATGCCGACAGGCAAACGTGGAACACGATCCGAAGGGCGCCGTGTAAGTGGTCATTATGGCCGTAGACTGTGTTTGATAGCACCCACACCCTTTATATTAGGTGGCTAGTACTGGCTAGTTTGTAGGCTTTTGCATGCCTTCTATAGCATTAGCGTTGAGAACGTAGGATATTAGAGACCCTATACTGCAGTCTTACGAATTGAACGTAGCGCACGAGAAATTCCAATAGTCCATACTAGAGAGTGGCACGAGACAGGAGAGCATGCTTCACGCTTTATATATGATGATAAGATAGTCTGTATTGCGTAAAGACCTTTTCCCCGCCGGCATGTAATGTACTAGGATTGGCCCGAAGATGATTAGCCTTCCATTTTTTAGCATTTTCATTTCTCTACGAAGTAGAAATAAGACTTAATATAATGATAGGCATATACGGTATGTACGAAGTAGCGTTGTGCATTCGTAGTCCTAGGGGGTCCACTTATTAGACCCCCTACTTATGGTATATATAGTCCATCCATCCAAGGCTAACGCACGTCATGCCTCTCTAAGTCGCACAGCTCTCGACTAACAGCTCTAACTTTCTAGGGGTTTGGCCTGATTATAAGGTTTAAAATGAGACTTCAATCTGGTTTTGCGTTAACGCTCTTGACGTCAGGCTTTTCTTGGGTGACAGCCGAACCGCCGGGTTGTAACGTCCATGACAAACGGTTCACCTTATATATAAAGCCAAAACCGACCGACAGTACGTTTGCGCTCCTAATAAAGAACGAAATTCGCCTTGCTAATACATATATATAGGTCGCAGCTCGTGTCCGGGACTGAATTCATTCGCCAATCATGGCTTTCTCCCTCATGACGGAATGAATATAAACTCAACTAAAATCATTGCAGCATGCTATCAGACCTTCTGTTTATCGCCGGTTGTATGCGCGATTGTTACGCTAAATGCTTTGGCGAAAAGCAAAAATTCGTTGGACGCAACTTTCCCCTTAAACGCCGTTGGTCTCCCCAGCTGGGGTATTGAGCATGATGCCAGCTTTTCACGCCGGGATCTCGCAAACGGTGATACCACTCCCTTCGACCCCGATATTTGGGGTGTTACAGCTCGCGCCTTGCAACAATGTGCCAAAGATGGCGATGATGGCAAAACCGTTGACCTTAAATGCTGGGGCAAGGTAAGGGAGGTCCGAATGAAAGATGCAAAGAAACGCAATCCAAAATTCAACTACGACAAGGCCGCCGCCGCTCATACTTCTATCGAGGTTTCCCGATTAAAGCTTTGCTTGGCAGACGCGAAGGACGAGCCTGATGATCCAACGGATCTTAAGTATATCAACGAGTTTTTTACTGAACAGAGGCTTCCAACTAATGTGGGCTGGACACCCAGTCCCCGCGTTAAAACTGTTCAAGATGTTTTGAAGTACGCGGTCGAGGGCCAGGCTGCTAGCACGAAACTCCAAGACGCCAACAATGGAAAAGTCATCACTACGTCGGTAAGTCTCTCTCTACGTTTCTTAAATCTCTGCTCTGATTGTAGAAATAGGACCTCATCAATATCCTTAAGTCAGAAAACCCTAATTTTCTGGCCGATGTGGAATTGGCAGTCAAGCAAGCCGGCTTTAAGGAGGAAACTTATATAAAAGAGATTGATCAGCTTGAAAAAGATAAAGCGGCCTCAGGCACTAGAGAGAGGGAATATCACAGACCTCAGCCTGGTTTTAGTCCTGGAGACCAGGTCTGGTATGGTCATGGTGCCCCTGGAAAGCACGTCAAGCCTCGCCCCGGAAAGCACGTCAGGCCTCGCCCCGGAAAGCACGTCAGGCCTCGCCCCGGAAAGCACGTTAGGCCTCGCCCCGGAAAGCACGTCGGGCCGCGCCCTAGAAAGTACATTAAACCTCACCCTGTACCACGTCATCCTTATCACCGTAAACAACGCCACTACTAGCGTGGCTCTAGAAATAGAGGCTACGGTGCTCGTGCCAGCAAGCTATAAGAGCGGCAGGCTAAGTTATAGGGGTGATATAGGACAGTTACCCGTGCCAAGCCTTATTTTATTAGTACTAGAAAACTCGTACTATGTTTCGTAATTATCGCTATATTAGGTAGGTTTCGATAGCGATTATAGAGCGTTAAGCACTAGCTAGCTAATTAATTAATAAGAGCTATCTAAGAATTATCTTAAAAATAAATAAGGAGAAACGAATATATATACGATATATAATGTTTTTATTTCCGCTATATATAGACCTAGCGATAGTTAGTATAATAACTATTAAGTACCTATTAAACGTAATACTTATTACGACCTAACGAGGGTCTTAAAGACTTAATAAGGGTCCTAGTAGGCTATAGATTAATATATAGCTATTAAAGGTTAGGCTTATACCTATATATATTAATAGGCGTGCCCCTTATCCTTATAAGTAGAAACGATACTATCGCTATATCTAGAGGCACTAAATATAATAGTTAACTTAAGGGATATTAAGGAAGTTACTTAATAGATCCGGATAACTATAAGCTACTAGATTAGTAGGGAAATATATTCCCCCTTATACTTTATATATATATATATAGTTATACCTATAGACTCCCTCTTTTAAGTAAGATAGAGTAAATATATACCTTCTTTCTTTAATATAAAGACCTAATAACTATAAGAGCGCTACTAAGAGGTATAGGATAATAAAGTACTTAGGTATATATTACTAATATATTAATAGGGTATTAGCAGGGATTTATATATACCCCGCTCGTAAGTTATAGATTACTTACTACTTTAACTAAAGAGGAAAAGTCCTTATTTTAGTAAGCTTTAGTCTTATAAAAAAGAGAATATAATATATATAGTATAGTACCTCTAGCTATCTTTACTACCTAACTAATCGTACTATAATATATATTTCCTTATAATTTTTAAAGCTTTCCTTTTTAGTTACTTAATAGAAATAGCTACTTAAAGAAGACTATATAATTATTATAGAGTAGGTAGAGGTATATATATAGGTACCGTTTATAAGATAATATTAATAAGCTATATAGAGCTCTTTTATACGCGGCTAGCCTATATATATATATATAGGATCTAGCCCTCTATATATAACTATATAGCTTAGGCCGTAGCCTAAGCCTATAACCTATAATAGTTAAAGACTCTTATATAATGCCCTCTATTAAGCGCGGCGCGGCGCTGCCCTATTAATAGCTTCTATACTATTAAGCCTATACCGCTAGCTCTACCTAGCCCTTTCCCTATTAATCGTACTAGCCCTACTAGCCTTATTATCCCCGCGCCTATTAGCTTAGGTAGCTATAACCTAGCTCTATACTTATTAGCTAGCTAGCCGTTTAAATCTTAAGGTATATAAGCAAAAGCGGAATTTTAGGAAATCAAGGAATTATATAAGACTACGTAATAGAGGGGAAGAAGGAGTATAAGGTAGGATTTTCAACGGAATTTATTAGTAGTATATTAGTATATAGAAGTAGTATTAAAGTTAATAATTCTCTATCTATCTACTAGCGGACATACTGTTTTATATAGACAATTATAGCTAAATAGAAGAACCTTTTAGGACTAGATTTAGGCTGCCGTATAGCCCTAAGACTAGGGAGTTCCGTAATACCTCGAGTAAATCTAGAAGTGTCTTAGTTCTACTAATATTTATGTTTAAAGGAGGTTAGTCGTGCCGGTGTTCTTAAGAGGTCTTAGCTAGCATTCTAAGCTAGCTCTATTCCTTCGATTCCCGATTATACAATAACTAGCAACCCGTTTAATGCATAATAATATATAAAATAACGAGCGATTCTTACTTTATAGGATAAGATTTTATCTATAATTAATATACTACTTATTAGCTTATATAATCGGGAGAGTATATTATAGCTGCTTTATTTATAGTAGGAACACCGTTCCTTATATTAAATAAGGGCATAACCTATTATATACGCCCCTAGGTAGCTAGCGGCCGGCCTAGACCTATATAAGCCTTAGGTTGCCCGTCCTCTTAGCCTTAGGCAGCCTCCTCTACTAAGGGGTATATAAAGCGGTAACCCCCTTTCTTCTTCCTTTTTCTTCTCTTCCTTCTTTAACTATAGTAATAGTAATAATAAGTAAGTTCCGCTCTACTTAAGGCGTTAGTTTATTCCTAGCTATATAGGCCGCTTTATTAATATATATTTATAGTAATAGCCGCGGTAGTAATAATAGCCCTAATAATAATAATAACTTTAAATAGTAAGTTCCCTGCCCTATAGAGTAGGAGGCCGTAATTTATAATACTAACTTCCGCGATAAATATATCTACCTTTCCCTCCCCCGCCTCCTCTTTCTTAGAGTATATAGAGTTATTCGTCGACGCTATACTAAGCGCGGCCGACGATAGCTCCGCCGCTACTACTACTCCCGCCCGCGCCGCTACTACCGCGCCTACCGCCGCTACTAATACCTCCGCTACGCTAGCCGCTCTTACGTCGCCCATTAGGGTAACGACGCCGTCCCTACTACTACCTATAATACCCGGCCCTTTAGCCCCCGCCTCTATCTCTACTACCCCCGTAAGTCTATAGTTAATTAAGTATAATAAATATCTTCCGCTAACCTCTTAAAGTATAAGCGCTAGGTCTAAGCTAGAGCCGCTCGCGCGGCCCCTTATATATAGTATATATCGTAGGAGCTCCCTTACGCCGACTAAGTTAGGCGCCGCCGCGGTAGTAGTTATTACTAGTATACGTATACCGGCCGCGCTTATAAGGCGGCGCCTCCTATCTTACTTACTACGGCGTTAGCTTAGAAGGCTAGCGTATATAGGTAAGTATAAGGGGCTATTAAGAAGCGCCTTACCGCCGCCGTAGCCGCCTACCGTAACCTCTATGCCTTAAAGCGCTAAGGGCTTATCCTTAAGTAGGTTCTTCCCCTTTTACTCTCTTACCTCTACTATTAACTATCCCGGTACTAGGGATACCGCCTCTATCGCCTTATCGGCGGTCCCCTTAGCTATGCCCGCCGCCGCCGCTACTACCGCCGCTACTACCGCTGCTAGAGCTAGCCGCCGCCCTTTTACCCTTAGAGCCGCTACCGCCGCTAACTAGCTTATAGGCCTAGAGGGCCGACTTAGCGCGCTAAAGAGCGCCGCCGCCGCTACTAATAAGTAAGAGGAGGCTAATAAAGATAATAATAATAATAATAATAATAATAAAGGCAACGATAATAATAAGGAATAAGCTTAGGTAGTCTAGGAGCTCTGCTTTATAATAAACGCTATTTTTATCTCTACTTATATTACTACGCTTATATTACTATAACTACCCTTTTTATTTTACTTACTTTATAGTCCTAGCTTAGGCTACCGCTAGTAGTTTATTAGTTTATTATTCTTATTTATTAGTTTATATAGGGCCTTAAACTTATTATAAGCTATAGCTCTTATAAACTTATATATAGGTTCCTATATTAGGTTAAGGTACCTACGCTACTTTATAAAGACCTCTTAGCGATTTCCTTAGCTAACCTTCTTTTAGCGTATAGCCTATATCTCCTTAACCTTAAATTCGTTATCCCCCTTTACTTTAATAGCGGGCGGTTAAGCGTCTATTACTTCTTATCTAAGTAGTAGGTTAGAGAAAGCTTAGTAAAAGAGGTTAACGTTAATCTTATTATAGACCTTTATTAAAAGACTATTAAGCTTAACTACTTTTAGGCTAATAACCCTTTATACTATAAACTTTATATATAGCTAGTCTAGCTTCTTTTTTAGCCGCGCTAACCTATAGTTATAAAGGTTAAGCTATACCTTATCTCCTACTATAAACCTATTTACTAGGGCCTTAGTCTTATTAGCGTGCCGCTCTTAATCTTATACTAAGGCGGCTATCGCGGATTAATAGTATTTTATAGTTTCTTATAGCTTCTATATAAATATAGAGGCGCGGCTCTTTAATAATAAACTACTATATTACTCCGCTACTATATTTATAGTAAATAGGATTAAGGAGGGCGGCTTAAAGCTATATATAGCGAAAAAGGGGGCTATCTTAATAAAGGTCTAGGGTTTACTATTTAACGCGAGCTAGGCTATAAGGAGCTAGCGGTCTTAGTCTACTTAGTTACGGGCTACTACTACTTATAAGTACGCCTACGCTTTTTAGTTAACCCTCTTAAGTCCCTTATTAGTCTATAAGTAATAAGCTATACTAAGTAGCTATATAATTTAAAGTAACTAGTATAGGTACTACTAAAAGTAGCTAGTTTAGTTTAATCCTTTATTACTTATAATAAAGGTCGGCTAGCTATATAAGCGGGCCTAGTACTTAAAGAAGCGCTTTATATAAGCTTTTATATCTATAAATAGTATTAGCTCTAGTAATATTAATTTACTAAGCTAGTCCTTAATTACTTATATATAGCGGTTGCTTCCTTTTATAAGTAAAAGGTTTATTATAAAGTCTATATATATATATATATATAGAACTAGTTAGGTAATAAAAGCTACTTAAGTAGCCCCTTAAGCTACGCCCTTTAAATCTTAGTACGCGCTATAAATA